TTTGATGTTTGTTTTTGTGTTTGTTTTGTTTTTTTTGTGGGTTGGTAGATAGGGGCGGGGGGGCGGGGAGGGGGAGGAAAAAGAAAGAGAAAAAAAAAAAAAAAAAGCACCGGAACGCTTTTTCGGCGCTACCCCTTGGAAAACTCTCGATAGGTATGATGTCAAGCGGAACCTAGCGTATAGTATTTGTTAAATTCGCCAGACTCCAGTGCGGGACTAATGGGATCTCTTCCAGCGTCCCATCCGAGGTATTCCCGTATCCAATCGGGGGGTTAGGGTACGACTTCCGCGCCAGCCGATCGAGTATCTTGGTTCTGGCGTTTCCCCCCCTTAGAACTAACTTCGAGTCTAGGGGAGAAAGTGTGGGAAATAAGGCGATACGTACATTTGACGGAAAAAAGAAAAGAAAAGGGGGGGCCACCGGGGCACCGGGGAAGCGGGTAGAGTTGAAGGGTTCCCAGTGATCGTCCGATCCACCCGGCTCGATACTTCAAAACTGCGATCTATAGATATGTATGAATATCCACTGTGGACTACTCGTATACTTCCTTTAGAACACGTTAACTCACGAATTTACGCGTTCAACAGTAAATGCATCAATAGGAAAAATAAAAGTGAGACACCTAAGGGAGATTAAACAGATAGCCCGTCACTCTATCGAGTGAACGGCTTCAATAGCACCCAACCGGTATTCGCTGGATACCCAGCGCATTCACCGCCGAAAAAAAAAAAGCTTGCAGCACGGTAATCCAAGTAGGCGCTGCATCTGGAAATCCCACGTGGGATGCATATCCCACTAGCGTGTGGCTGTTGTTCTTGACCGCATCCTTCTGGTCCATCTGTGACCCGCCACGTACGGAGCATAGTACTTTGGTTTCCAGGTCACGTCAGTGAATCAACTGAGCCTACGTTAGGACCTTCTTCAGCTCTGATTGCCCTTCGGGCACTTGAGCACATGAGGTAGGTATATAATCGTGTGGGATTCCTATTTGACCGGAGTCTATCTCAGCCTTGATCCCCGTCAGCAAACATCCATGGATGACGATGATCATTCAGACTCCCGAGCTCGTACTTGTACGAGTAGTTATCGAGCACTTAGGCACCTGAGATCCTGAGATCCTAAAATGGTAAATATGCAATATATTCAGTGCCATGCATGTGGTTCACTATAACTCGCTCTATGGTTTGTCCGTCGGTTGTGGCACACTTGGCTGATACAAAAGGGCAGGGGTCGTGGTGATTTCAAACCGGGCCAAGGGCCGATCGTGGGCAAACGGGATCCGGATATGATTGTGGAAAGTCATAATGATAGCTGATTGCGTCGGGGGCATGGCCCTACATTGTAAATACAGGATAAGATGCAGTACATATGCCCACTTTATTGTTCATGCCCCATGCACCGGATCATCCAGTCCGGGAAAGAGATCGAAATTGAAATGAGGAAAATAACAGCAGGAAAAAGAAAAAAAAGAAAAAAAAAAGGGACCGGCAAACAAATCGTCACTTCTGTCGTTGGTGCCTGCATCCATTGGCCAGCCATGTCGTCAGAGCGGTAAGCAGTCTCCGTGCCCCATTTGGAATGAAGGTCCGGAAGTCGGAGTCGAGAAGGAAAGTGGAATGCGCCAGGCTATTACGCTTGATACAACGCCGATTGGAAACATTGATGGTATTGATCCCGATGTAAATCACTTCTCCCACAAGTACGCGTAGATAGTCCCTTATGACGCCATGATATGAGAGATCGCTGAAGAAACTGAAATGTGAAAAGAAGAAAAGAAAAAAAAAACAATAACAATAACAAAAATAAAGGGCAATGCCGCGGGATACCGGAAGTACGGAATCAGAGTTGGCGAGAGGCCTCGGACTCTTGAGAAGCTCGAAGCAGCCAGTCAACGTCGCTAGGGTCGAAATGGGAGGCGGATGGTGCCGCTGCACCGACTTCTCCTTCGAAGAGGTCGGTGATATCGTCAAAGGGGGTGAGGGTCCCCGAGGGTGGATTGTCACGCTGCTCAACGAGGCCAAAGAACTCGCCGGCAAACTCGGCCAACTCATTAGCCAGCTTGACCTCCAATATGCCCTCGAGGATCTGCATGTCCTTTTTCCACTTGCGCTCACGTCGTGCTTTTTCGTCCCGGCGACGACGGCACTGCTCGTCACGAGGACGGTCTATCATGCAATTGGGGCACATGTAGTTTTCCTCGCAATACGAGCATTTGCAGGGTGGATGGGCGAACATGCAGTCGGCGCAGACGTAAACCTTGCAGCCTTTGCATTCCCGCAGATAATTAGAGCACCGAGCTCGTGCGTCCCTGTCCCTCATACTGCCTCTGATATCCCTGATTGAGATGATCCCTTCACTTGGTGGGCAGAAGAAGGATTGGCAGCCTTGCCATCTGGGAGGTTCGAATTGCGGGGGTTCGAAGTAGTCGGAGGATGAGGATGACGGAGGTGATGACTGGCTAGACGTGGGGGCTGAATACGAGCGTGACGGTTGATTGGAAAAAAAGGAGGAAGGAGCCGATTGATCACCTGGCTGTGACTCAGGCGTATGTTGCTGTTCGAAGCTATCTTGGCGCATATTGACGTTGAGACTTTTGTTTGCTGAATCAAGGAGCTGTTGACCGCGGACCGGAAGATGGTATGCGGTGAGCTCGTTCGAGTCAGGGATTTCCGAAAGATGTGCTGCGAATCGATTTTCAATAGTCTGCTTTTCAATCTCGAGGTCACGGTAGCCGCAGATCCGTAAGCGTAATCCACGAAGGTCATGCTCAATGCAAAGAGGTTTGGAGCAGCTCTTGCAATGTACCTTCCATTGTGGAGACTCATAGCACTTTTGGCACAAATTGCGCGGACATGGTGAGACTTGTCGATTGGGTGGCCCAAGAAGCCATTTCATCATCGCAAGATGACCCGCTTCGAGGGAGTAGTCAGGTTTGCTCGGGTCGCCATATGCATACTTTGGGAACGTCTTGCTCCATTCACTGACTGTATACTCCAGATCCTCCCAGCCTTGACCACGAGGTAAAGGCACAGCTCGTACTTGATCCACTTCTCGGTTGCGAGGCCCTATGCTGATTCCACCTCCCCCGGAGAGGTCAGGCTTAGTGCAGCACCAGTGGAAGCTCAGTTCGGGGGGATCCAAACTTGGAGCTTGGGATAGATTCGGGTCTGCCAGGGCTAGAGGATCAACGGGATCCTGCATCGAGCCCGGAGAGTGTGTGGCCCCGGGTGCCCACCAGAAGGAATCAGGTGAACTGGAGACATCTTGGGGTGAGGGGAGAGTGTGTCGATGAAGGTATGGCCGTTCGTAGGCACAGCTCGCACAGAGTGTCTTGCGGCATCCTACGCAGTGCATCAAGACGCTGCAATGCTCACATCGTTCAGATATGTCCTCGAGACATTCGTCACATCGAATGCCATTGACGAATTGGGTGTGACTATGGCGTAGATGGGCAGGTGTCATTTTACCTTCCCCCCAGTCGATGCCTTCACCGGTTCCCAACGCTTCGCCATAACATCCCGTATCACGATTCTCCCAAAGCTTGCCATCGCGTACCTGGGGTTCATCTGCGGCGGGGCCGTCTTCAACAGGCCCGATCCAGTTCTTAGATCTCCAGAGCCTGTCAAAGACCACCCAAACTTCCGGCGATCCTGCCCCATGAGGAAACCTCGACTTCACGTAACCGGCTCTACGAGCACATCTGCCCGCAGGAGTGGTGCACCATGCAGTATCGGTCCAGATATTGAGTTTGTGACAAATGTTAACGAGTTCATGGGTCGACTCCGCGTCTGCGTCCTTGCGCATTAACGAGGAGGACAGATAAGGTCGTCGCCTATGGTGTCGGCATCTATATGCGTAGATACTCTTGAGGGCGAGCTTCTTCATCCCGAGGGAGCTTGCGGTCTTCTTCTCCATGTCGATATCGCATTGAAGCGCAAACATGGTTAGGAAAGGAACGATGTGATATTTGAGGGAGACATTCTTGCAGCCACGCACGGAGAGGTGCTCAAGTGTCTCACGACGGGCGTGTAATACCGTAGATGTAAGGTTCTCACCCGAAATGGCCGTGTTATCTAGTTCCAGACTCTTCAGACACCCGCTGTATGGCATGACTACGTTCATCAAGAGCATATCCAGCGCATAGGGTCGAGACTGGCGTAAAAGAACTGGATCAGGGAAATTTGGATCGGCCGAAGGATTCAACGGGGTCCCCGAAGGGTATTGTAGTCGAAACGAGAGCGACTTCCATGCGGTCGGATATGATCGAAGGAACGTACGGAGGAAGTTGGAGGTATGGTATAGTTTTATGATGGCATCAGTAGGAAGTTGGAGAAGTAGAGATTCAGTGATGGGCGTATTTGTTGTTATCATTCGTTCAAATGCTGATATGGTTCGTTCTGAGGTCGGGGGTTGCGAGGCACCACCCAACATCAGGAGACGCGGTGCTGGGGTCGCACTAACAACCTTTTCCTGATCCATGGCGTCAAGATTATTATTCGTCACCGCCGATGGATTACAAGTGGTTCTCAGGTTGAGAATCGGAATGACGCGAGGTCGCGAGCTCGGCGGTTAGAGACGCGGCACATGATAAGACGACTGGACGATGCGAACGAGGGGGTAACGACACCCAGGTGGAAGCCACCATGCAAGGCCATAAAAGGTAAACAGGCTATAATTGATAAGCCGAGGGTCCCTAGTGTTGGCGTGTCTGGAATTGAAGGGGGAGCGAGGGAGAAAGGGAGGGGTATAAAAAGAGGGGAGACGAAGAATGCCCCAGGAAGCCAGAAGCAACAAGCAAGAAGCAAGTAGAAAGCGAATCACAATCGTGACCCTGGGAGAGGAGAAAGAAGAAACAGAAGCAGAGACAAGATGTCTGGATGCGCCCGTTGGGATAGCGTCATGTGATGGGGGCCTTCAAAACCCCCGGATTTTGATTGATCGACGTGGGAATTTTTTTTTCTTTGCGAAAATATGCATTGATCGCTGTGTCTATTTGCAAAAATGAAAAAAATGAAAAATAAAACCACTATAATCCGTAGACCTCAATAGTCTAGTGGATATAACTAATGCCTTTCTGAGTCACCCACAGTGTATCCCTTGGCGATACCCTTGCGCCCTTCTTTGACCAGAGTGCTGTCTTCGTCGTCTTCATCATATCGAATGTCGAAATCACTGCCCAGTCCCTTCCAAGTGCGTTGAGATCGCAAGAATTCGGCGCCGGGTGAAACGGTGCCGCCGATCATCGCCAAATCGCCCTTAGTGCGGCGAGCCAGCGCCCTAGCAGCGGATGGCCCGGTGGTGGATGATCCATCGATCTGAGAAGCGCGGGACGCGGGTTCCCGCATGGGACGGGAATTTGAGACGTATCGACCGGTGCGCAGGTCAAACTCGGGCGGCGCCGATTCGGGTTCTGACATGTCATCTTCATCGGATGCGGTTGCATCTGTCCCCTGCTCAACATTTGCGTCTCCGGGAACTTGAGCCGGTTGGTCGAGAACGGCCTGGAAATCACTTTGCCATGCACCTGTCCACACGCGATCTGAATCATCCTTCAGGGCAAGTTCTAGCTCGAATGGGGTAATGACTGGCTTCCAGAAGTCCTGGCTGTCCACCAAAGAGCTTTCCCAGCATCCAATGACCACCCAGCCACCGATTTCACTGAAGTTGGCAACCTTGGCGGCATTGAGTTTCCCCACAACAAACATGTAGCTTTTCTTGCCAGCTTTGGCAATGCGTTCTTTGACATGCTCAACAATGTGTAGGTAATTCTTCACACTGAGGGTGTTGATGAGGACGCCCCAAACGGGCACCGTTGTCAGGGAAGCAAGAGTGCCGTAACGCCTCCGCAGCACAGCTGCAGTAGACGCAGGCAAGGGCTTGACATTCTCATTGGACAGGTCATCGGTAGGATAGATATGGATTGCCGCTACGCGAGACGCCAAAGTCATCATGAGAGCCGTTGGTGGATCGGATATATGGAAAAGCTGCCAATCGGCCAGCGTCTCTGGTGCCTCCTGGACTGGTGCTGGGACGGTGCGATTGGGAATCGGCGATGAAGGCTCATGGAGAATCCCTGTTGCAAAGAGATTTGTGTAGCCCTCCTCCACCAAGCGGGCATATACTGTAGGGACATGGTCTGCGAAAGTCACGTCGGCTGCGATGACCACCTGTGCGGTTAGTTCGGGATATGTTTCCTTGAAGGCGCGAACCACGGGCTCCAGAGGTAGAGTCTTATGGGTAAAGACGTAAATCACAGGCAGTCGTGCCGTTGGCGACAAACATGACCTCCCGTAGTGCACAACCGCGTCGGCGTCCACATGCTCCGCCGCGACTTCATCGACACAGCAGGTACCGTAAGACGTGTCGGCCAGAATGGTTAACCGCGGTGGCCAGCTTTCAGTCTTATCCTCCACCTGGAGCTCGCAGACCGCGTGAGACAAGTCATCGGCGTGGCTTCCGTTGGTTTGACTCGCAACACCATTGGCATTTCCAACTTCCTCATGTTCCAGGCCCCGGCTGAGCAATTGAAACACTCGCGGGGCATCCGGAAGCATATCATCCGGAAATTGGAGCGCAATTCGCTTGTACCGAGCCTGTCGGATTTCCTTCAATGTGCGCTCAATATCGTAGGTAATGGAGATTTCGTCGTCCGACAATGCCACCGAGTTCCGAGACGCCACGGGCGTGGTTTCTTCGAGGATTCGCTCATCGGCTGTGGACAGCACGGGGGCTGACTTCATTTCCGAGCCCATTTTGGAGGGGGTAGGGTGAGGCGTGATGTTATGGGAAAACGCTGAAGGAATAGAAAAAAATTGGAGAAAAATTCACCCCCACCACACCCCGCCATCGATAACGAAAAATACATGACAGCCCATTGGACGGCAACTTACAATCTTTTAAACATGAGCAATTCATCGGAACATTTGAAAATGTATATTTCACTCATTCAATCATATCAACATATCCATGAAAACTTTGAAAGATATGCAAGAATATCTACAAGTCCGCGCGCGCCGGCTCTCCCGCCCAGACCCTGCGAAGTAATTCGCGAATTGGCGCGCGCTCGATAGGACGAGGGTTCCAGTAAGCATTGGAAAGCGCAATATCGGCAGCTTTGTCTACATCCTCTTCCTCCATTCCGAAATCTTTCACGCCGCGCTTGACCTTGAGTTTAGACAAGAGGACGTTGAGGCCGTGGATGGCGTCGCCATTGCTATCCGGCAGAACGTCGGCCAATTGCTTCATGGTTTCAGGGATGTTTGGCGCATTGTATGAGATGGCATGGGGTAACACGGCAGTGTGCGTTTCGGCGTGGGGGAGATTGAAGCTGCCACCGAGCGTGTGGCACAATTTGTGGTGGATGGACATGCCTACGCTACCCAAACACGTTCCACAGAGCCAAGCTCCATACAGTGCCTTGGACCGGGCAGATCGAGATGATGGATTCTCGACGATCTCAGGCAACGAAGATGCAAGCGCCCGTGTGCCCTCGAGTGCCATCATGTTGATGATTGGGTTGGTGTTGCGCGCGTAGAGAGCCTCGACTACAGGGGTTCAGTCAGATTGTTTTGAGACACTAGATGAATCTGGAGATACTGACCGGCGTGTGCAATGGCATTGACACCACTAGTGGCACTCATAGCCGCTGGTAAAGTCATGGTGAGATCGACATCGTAGATAACAGTTCCAGGCAAGATCTTGGGATCAGAACGAGTCTTCTTCAGACCATCTGCAGTTTCGCCCAGGATTGGAGTCATCTCACTGCCTGCATAGGTAGTGGGGATGCAAATATGCGGCAATCCAGTGCGAATACTGATCGCCTTGCCGAGGCCAATGGTGCTTCCACCTCCAATAGAAATTACCGAGTCGGCTCCCTGGGCATGTGCATATTCCAGAGCCTTGTCGGTGACATTGGTGGGAGTGTGCATAGTAGCCTCGGAAAAGATGCCAGCGATCTGCCCTTGGAGCACATTCTTGACGGTCTCTGCCTGGCTTACTTGCTGGGGCGTGGAGAGCACCAAGGGTGCCTTCAGCTGCAGACGTGCGATCTCATCGGGGAGTTTCTGCAGTGTACCGCTGCCGAAAATGACGCGACCAGGGTTGGGGTTGTACTCAAATGAATCCATTTTGTGTTGCCAATTTGAGGGCGTGAGCTGCTGTCTTATAGTTCCCCCGCTGGCCCCACTGCAACCGATCAGCGCCATGCTCTTCCGTGGGGCCGTTGATTGTCGGCAGTTGGACACTGGTTGCTTCTCCGGGCTTGACTTTGTATACATCGGATCTGGCTGTATTTACAACGCCTTTTGACCACTGGTCCAGGACTACCACCAAGGCGTCTCCTATGCTGAGCCCTTTGCTTTATGCCATAATGTGATTTTCTTGAGGAAATCCCCTGAAAGCCTCTGGAAGACCGGATCATTAGTTCAGCATGAATAAGCACGGGTGTGAATTTCCCCAGCTTAGAGTACATCCGCGGATATATGGTATCCGTGTCATCGCTCAAGAGATATTCTTCCAATTGCCTCAAACCCTGACACCAATGCTATGTACACTTTTTCTTGTTTTCTTGGGGAAGAATGAATCTGCAAATGTGGGTATCAGATGAAATTTCAAGACCTCAGTCCAGGTCGTGGAAGGCCATGACATGCTGTCCTCCGCTCTGGTCCTTGCTCTTGCCCTTCTTGCGCTTCTTGCGCTCTTTCGGATCTTCCCGTTCCTCGGGCGCCTCGCTATCATCGGAGTCTCGGTCATCGTCGCTGTCGTCCATCATATCCTCGTCATCGGAGCCACCCTCCATGTTGTCCTCGGCCTCATGCCACACCTTGACGGTTCGGCCTCCACCAGAGACCATCCGACCCTCAACATCAAAGCCCAAACCCACGACTCCCTCAACCTCATCGTGTACCACCTCGGAGACAACCTTGTTGGGCCCGAGGCGAACAAACTTCACCTTTCCATTACCGAGACCGGCAGCAACCACCTTGCCCAGGTAATCGGGCGCAACTGACATCGTCTCAACGGGGTCTCCGCCATCAACGCTGCGGTCGACATAGATACGCTCATCTTGGTCGTCCCATTGGCCCTTCTCCCAGAGCGTCAGGATACCACTGGCTCCTCCAACGATCACCTTCTCGCCCTTGCTGGTTCCACTGGAGGCCAGACCACCCACGTAAACCGAGCTAACCATTTCTTCTTCTTGATTTTCGCTGCGCACCAACACACCTCGTCGTAGATCCGTGACGGCCAAGGTGGTTCCACCGGTGGTAACCCATTGCTTGCTGAAACCGGATGTGCTGGTTTCCGACGCGGGTAGAGGGGTCAGAGAGGAGATGTAGTCATCGTGGGGGTGGTGCGATTGCTCAGGGCGAGGGGAAACCTTCGAGTATGGGATGCGGAGATCGTAGAGATGAAGAGCGCTAGAGTCGGTACCGAGAAGAAGGGTTTGGGGCGAAAGCGCATGGATCATGGTAGGAGCGTCAATGGATCTATAGAAGGGTCATGTAAGCCACGTGCAGAGGGGGCGGCGCTGCAGCGATCTGCATTGGGAAAGAGGGTTCGTACCCGCCCTTGTCGTAGGGAATTGCAATTTTGTTCAACACCTGACCGGTCTCTGTTTTGGCGGCTTTGATGAGGCCATCGGTACCAGACGAGTAAAGGTTTTGGCCATCAGTGCCGAACCCTAAGGTGCGGCAGCTGCCCTTGTGTCGCCGGGTTCGCCACATGGATTTAATGTGGCCTTTGCCATTGCGGGCAGATGACTGAGAGGAAGAGTCGTCATCTTCTTCCGAGTCCAAGGAGGGCAATCGGAAAGTCTCTACATGGCCTGATGCCAGACCAACTGAGACCACTGGCTCCTCAGGATGAATGGCCTGAGTGAACAAGTCCTCAGATAGGGGAAAGGTGCACACCGTGTCGAACATAGCGAAGGTCCAACCGGTAATAGTTTATTGAAGAAGCAAGAGCGGCAATGACTCTAGAAATAAATTGAAGCAAAAAAGACAATGAGTTGAAGCTTGGAGCTGGTCACTTTTTCTGCCACCGCCAATTCTACTGGTCCAAATTGGGAGATGACATCAATCAAAGTGATCAGATGCACTAAACTGTTCTTGTATAACTCAGGAATGACACGTGAAACGATCAAGACAACTATCAAAATACATTGAATACAAGTGACAAAGATTTCTCACTAACACCAGGTTTGGATTCATACATAGATGCATGAACCCTACATTCCCGCCAAAAAGGTCCCAAGTCCTCTAATCGGCTGATTGCTTAAGAAGAGTAGGTGGAGCCAATGGGGCCAACCTTGATGTTAGAGTAGGTCACCTTGGCGGAGCCAGATTCAGACTCGACCTTGTCAGGGTCACCAGCACCAGAGGCGCAGGTACCGCGAGCAGTACCGGCGGCACCGTCCTTCGCGTCGGCGGGGTACTTCTCGCCATCCAGCCACTGCATACCGGCGTAGTGGTCATCCCACAAGCTCATAACGAGGACCATACCCTGGTCCAAGCCCTCGCCCATACCAGACAGACCACCGTGCTGAGTGAAAATGTCCTCATCGCCGAAAGCAGTCTTCTGGGCCTTGCAGAAGTCCGTGGTGATCGAGTTTCCAGTGGCACCGCTGACCTCCGAGGCGGAGTTGGCGATGACCTTACCATCCTGCACGTAGATACGCTTGATCTCACTGAGGGTACCAGAGTCAGTTCCGTCGCTGGTGATGAACTGGGTCACCACGGTCATCTTGGACTTGGAGTCGACAATCTTGCCGGGTCCGTAGAAGGTCTCGTTACCCATGCGGTAGGAGTTGAAGTCACATCCGTCAGGGTCGCAAGTACCAGCGTAGCGGCTGGAGGAGTAAGTTCCGCCGCACTTGTCGCCCTCGCACATGGTCTGTCCAGCAGTGTCGCAAGGGTGAGGAGTGAAAGCGGTGGAAATGCTGTTGGCCTCCCAGATATCCATCTCGGCGCAGCAAGACCCGTGGCCGCCAACACCGGCGTTCTTGTCATTCTCAGAGGGCTCCCAGTCATCGACGTTTGCCTATTCCGCTGCATCAGTCTTTTTGTTTTCCCGATATCCACGTTTCTAATATCCACGGAGACTCACCTGTCCGTTGATAAACTTCAGGTCGCGAGGGCACTGGGAGTCACAGTAACCGGTACCGTACTTGGCACCAGCCTTGTTTCCGTCATATTTGGCCAGACCACCGTCAGCGTCCATGGAAACGAAGTACAGAGCTCCGTTGAGACCGCAAGGCAGCTCAGAGCTATCCACGTCAAAGGTGAACTCCTTGTTGAGCAGCTTGAACATCTGGTAAGTGCTGTCATCCTCCATGAGGAACAGACGAGAGCCAACGTTGGCACCGGTGACAAAGCTCAGGGTCAGAGCATTGCCGTCGGTGGTGGCACCATATGTGGCTTCATAGTCAGCACCATCCAGGGCACAGTTTGTGGCGCAGGTCTTGTCGTCAGGGCAGAGAGTTGAGTCCCACTATTTGAAAAAAAAACTCAGTTAACATGGTCTGTTTGGCCAAGTCGAAATCTCTTACCGTGTTGCCAGTGTAGCAGTTGGTGGAGCCGTCGACAGAGTGAAGCCAACGCCAGTTGGAATCGATAACAACGGATCCCTTCTGGTCGGTGCAGCTTCCAGCAGCGGTACACTTTTGCCAGGTCAGGGAGGGATGAGTCTCAGCTGTCAAAGTGCCAGCCTGCTGAGCACGGGCAGCCGCCGCCAGGGCGGAGAAAAGGAGGGCCTTCTGATACATTGCTTGTTGGGCAAGGAGAGAGTGAATTGCAATGTGTTGTAATGTTTTCTGGCCTGCAGTGGATGATTCAAAGGAATATCGGGCTGGAGACAGATCTTTATATGTCCCCCGCCAAGAATTGATCCTGATTGCTGTCTGGAAAGGCTTGACTATGGACCCTTCAGCACATCAAGCTCAGCATGGCGGACCTTACGACCGTCCCCAATTTGGAACGGATACAGAGATCTAACTCATCAATCTAATGCTAGATTCCATACTGGGCGACCTCCGGTGTCATATATTGATTGGTTTGGGAGTGGACTCGGCGCCTGAATCAGTAGGGGAATGATCTTCGCAGGATGGCTCCGGGGGTTGTCCCATTCATCCTGTACCTGGCATAGTGTGGAGATCTAGGGTTAGAGGGTTTCAACACCCGCCCATACGGAGAACATCCCATCTCTTGTTAAGTATCTTCATGGATCAAATCATAATCAAATTTTCAAGCTATTAGGTTGAGCAATGCATAACATTAAGCACTTATAAATGGTGTATGTAGTGGCCCCGGGGGTCTGTCTGTCTTTCAATTGAAAATGGTGACTGGCATTGTCTGATGTTTGGCAAGATTGATTTACACCCTGAAGGACCTTAAGACATTTTGTGGGGATAAAGCCCCCAGAGCGCCGCTAGAGGGAATGTCCGCCATGGCGCACCTCCGCTTCACACCAAATCACCGAATGGCTTGTGGTGTATCCCAGATTTTACACGAGGCGTTAAGCCCAAACCCGGAGGATTGTTCTGCACACCTTTTGGGTAAGGTGTTTCAGCCCGAAACCAAGCCCCTCCCGGCAATGTTGCTTCCGACGAATCGCGGACACAGGAAACAAAATATCCTGCAATGGGAGAAATCGTCTAGCGCGCAGTGATATATGCATGTTCCTTTATTTTATACGAAATTACCTTGGAAACCAAGGGTTTGTCAAGGATTTGACAAACTCAGCCGAAGCAACTAGACTTCTCAAGTTCACTTCTAGCTTGATTAACCCCTACCAGAAGAACTTAGAAGCCACGACATGCAACCAACACATATCTATAGATATCGATATCTCAAAGATGACAAGGTTCGTGTCAATTTATAGAATAGGAATAACATCTGGGTTTTCCTAAGCTCATCTGGTCGTTCTAGAACATTTCCGAGTTCGGCATGAGCCTGACTTTGAATGCAAGGGCCAGACAACTCCACCCCTCCCATGTGGATATGTGTCTGTCAGTTTATTGGACAAATTGCCTATCATGAAGCACTGCGGATAGAATGGTAAGATGAAGGACGCATGCTTAGTACGGGTACGGAGTCCTCCGTATCAAGTTTTGGCTAGCATTGTCGATCACGTTGAGAGCCCCACCAACACTAGCACCGGGTATGTTCTACAGCCTAGAGACGCTGGACCCTAGCATCTCAGAGAAACTGGCGTATCAACAACATCAAGGTGTCTACAAGGCTTCAGACTGCTCAAGTGTGTGGGATTCGATATCAGAAAAGCTAGCGCCAATTTTATTAGGCCAAGGCCTCACACGGGCGGCAAGACCAGTGCACATATTTATTTCTTGTTCTACCTAATTAGATATCAACTTTGGTTCAGTCTTCAATGACTATGCATCTGTGGATGAGAACCTAAGCAGCTCCCATATTATCCACGAGTGATTTCGTGAGGGTCAAATATGTCACATGAGCACTTGAGTAGGAGGGCTGCACTGACATAGTCCGGCGGCAATGGCTTGCTTTAGTTCTAGGGGGTGTATTTTCCTATCCATGGCTCCCGAATCACGCTTTGTTCTGGTTCCTCTCCAAGGCCACCATGCTCAGGGGCCTCGGGGCCTTCGAAGTATTAAGCAGCAGAGTGGGATAGGGTTACATTTCGTTAAGTTAGTTCCTTGTGGATTATTTCCAAGGGCCGTGGGTTGCCCAATCCGTCACGGTATATAGTAGGTCTTCGGTAACAGAGCCAACGGGATGAGCAATGACGTACCTAATTAGTAGGCTCTTGATAAATCTCGCTTCCCACTCGAGATCGGTTAAACAGGTCATCTGGGGCCGCTTTGACAACTCAAGTGCCGTTTACATCCTCTGTCATTTAGGCTAAAAAGCCACGTGAATGTGGCTTTCACTACTCATGTGTGCAAACCTTAGAAATGTTATACTAGTCACTAGCTTCTACCTCTTCTAATTTTGAATCCTCCTGTATTCATAATCATTCAGATCATAACATCCTACTTGCATTCTACCTAGGTAAGGTTCTAAGGTTCCAAAGTTGAAGTTTGCCGACCTTTTTGTCACCTCTCTGTCACGTGCCACATATCTAGTTTGCCGCAGAGGCACTGAATACCTACCTAGGTAGGTACATAATACAATGATCTTCTCCCGCATCCTGCTTCTACCGTCACACTCTCCCATCCTTCTCTCCCACTTGGCCGACTTTCTTGGCATCTCCTTCACGGGAAAGATTGGATCAGTCACATCTAAATAAAGGAAGGGATGGTGAAGATTAAGGCAACTAGGTACTCCGTAAAAAGTAGCCCATCGACGCGACCCACTTTTGATCCTTATCGGTTCATCTGTTATCGGATGGCGTCACCGAATGCCTCGGTTCACCTGAGTCCCTCACACCTTCTCAGTCCTGAGTCCTCCAAACCCTCGCTCGCTTTGCGGTCATTTCTTTCTTTGAGATAACACTGCTAGAAGGGCCCGCAAATCCGGTGAAACCTGAAACTAAGTACCCAGCCCTTATCCAGCAAGCCCCCTCAGGGGTAAACCAGCACCCGACCGCAACCATGGCCCTGTACAACCAAACCGTGGATTTTCTGTCGGACTCTTTTTCCGGCCCAAACCGACTACCTCTCCTAGCAGTCGCTGGAGCTTCCTTTACACTGGGTTTATTGAGTAGATCACTTTTGCATCAAGAGTCAGGGCAGACAGTTATTGTATCGCCCCGATCGACGATCTTGCCCGGTATCTCGGAATCGGAAAATCGGCAGCTTCCTCTGCCAACTGATGTCCTACCCGGTGCCCGAGACGTCGACAGCCCGTACGGCTCTACACGAGTGTATGAATGGGGCCCGGAGAATGGACCAAAAGTCTTGCTGGTGCATGGTATCACCACACCCTGTCTTTCGCTTGGTGGGCTGGCCCATGCACTTGTCGACCGTGGCTGTCGAGTGATGCTTTTTGACTTGTGAGTATTGGATGATAGGATGATCGGAATTCTTACTGATTCGACGAAACCAGATTTGGAAGAGGATACTCGGACTGTCCCGCTGATCTTCCACAAGACAACCGACTCTTCTTGACGCAAATACTGCTTGCCCTGGCCTCGTCACCCATTGCTTGGACTGGGGCCGAATCTGGTAAATTCTGTCTCGTCGGATATTCTTTTGGGGGTGGTATCGCAGCTGGTTTTGCGTCTTACTTCCTCGAGCTTTTGTCGTCACTGGTGCTCTTGGCCCCCTCTGGATTAATCCGTGACTCGCAAATCAGTTTCCAGAGTCGCCTGCTTTATTCAAAGGGTCTGATGCCAGAGAATATTCTGGGTTACTTGGTTGGTCGTCGACTGCGAGCAGGCCCCTTGACTACGCCCAAGCCCAAGCCCAAGAACCACAAGCTCAGTGCTGCAGATGCGCTCACCGAAGAGCTTCCTTCCCAGGCTGCAGCTGAGATTCAAGTCCTATCTCGGAAGTACCCTCATATCAATGTTTCTTCGGCGGTGGCATGGCAGGTCAATACTCATGCAGGATTCGTCCACGCCTTTATATCAAGCATGCGTTACGGTCCGCTTCTAAAACAGCGCCAGTGGAACACATGGACCCGTCTGGGTGAATGTCTTACCGCGCAAAGTAATGGTTCTGGTGATAGTGATACAAAGCCATCTGTCAACAAGGTGCACATTTTGTGTGGCGACAAAGATGCCATCATGGTCAAGAGCGAGCTCGTTCCGGATGCCAAGGCTGCCTTGGGAGACAGCGCCGAGTTCGAGTTCTACGATGCCGGTCACGAGTTCCCTAGCACCAAGTACGAGGAGGTGGCTTCTTACATTTTTAAGTTACTTTGAGTGAACCCTTAATAATGAATGTTGGTTTCAAATGCTGGTTTATATGTGCACATGCGTCTTCTTACATCCCGTAGATATTATACATAGAAGCTCCAGGGCTGGAGCTCAGTTTGTCCGTTCTCTCTTCCCTTTCTTTTCCCTTTCTCTTTAGCTCCCGGTCTTCATGATCTTGTCCATTGCACTGAGTTGACTTGAAAGCCCTGTGATATGTGCCGATCTGTCTGACATCCTCGCGCCAGCAAAGTATGGACCTTCAGAGGCTGGTGCTCGTGTGAATCGATCGACACTGCTTCGACTGCTCCCTGGTACTTGGCTGAGATTGCCTTGGCTCATAGCACTGGCACTGGCACCATTTGAGCCGCTGTGACATCATTAGCTGGTTGCTCCAAGACATGGCTCATCTACATAGGATACTCACGATGTGTTCTTTGGGTCTGGAATAGGCATGATGTGAATATTTGAGGTAGACCTTGGTATCTTGGTGGCTTATATAAAGCACAGAGTTGATTGATGTTCGCAGGATGTAGTTCTTCTGGATCTCCTGAAGTCGAGGAAGCTTGTGGTGATAGTGCAGAGTTCGAAAGCAAGGATATGTGGTTGGCTTGAGGTAGTCTGCTTGAGCTGGAATTGATTGAGGACTGAATGACTGAATGACTGAATGACTTGATGACTGGATAATGATTGGTATGAGCGAGAGCTCCTATATATACACCGCAGGTCTGAGGCTATGCAGTAAAACGGCATGCCCTTGGACCCCAAACACGCGAGCTTGAGCTTGAGCTTGGCCCACATGGACAATTACGAGCTGAACGAAAGGAATGAAGGAAAGATCTCCGGTTCGCATCTCCGAGCTCCACTTGCCATGGACCTGTGACGGCATCTCCCCGTTCAACGCTCCAGATTTGGTCCGCATGAACCATAAGAATTCCTGAAGCGGGAAAGCCCGAGCCTCGAAAGGCACGTACCCGTTCGGCTCATATATGCGAAACAGGCGACAAGCCCGTCGCTATTGGGCGGATTGCATGAAGCTGGGGCTCAGAGCCCAGGTACAATGGATCCACTACGATCGTCGAAGCGAAAAAAAGAAAAAGGCAAAATAGAATTAGAGCGTTAAAGCGTAAAATCGTAAACTTTTGTCGGCACATGGCTAACCACATGTTTCAGGCTGGAGGTAACTGCATTGGGTATATGTGCCGTGGAATGAAGCGAGGGGGGGGTTCCATATTGGGAAAGTCGTGAAAAAAGCAATTCGAGTTCGGATAAGCAGATCTATGTGTTAGGTCTAGCAAGGAAACAAGGGACTAGAACATGATCTCTCCTTTACGAAACGTCACCCAATTCAAAGTGAAAATGACCTGATCATCAGTGAAAATGGTTCATGCTTGGCGGCAAATGCGCTTCACTATGGCATGTTGGAACCATTACGAAACTCAGCTCTATAGGAGTACAAGGTGAAACAATGGGGGTCAACGTGGCCGGTCACATGGAGGCTGATGCATTGACCCAGGGCATTGAGTCTGGGGCGAGGTACGAATTCAGAGTAAAAAGAGCGAATCAAAGCGAGAGAAAAACAGAAAAAAGAAAAAGAAAAAGAAACCCTCTAAAGCTTACGATACATTCCCCGGCAGGCGTATCTGCAGCATGTCTCCTTCATTTCCTTTTTTCGATACAAACCCTGTAGATCTCTAACGGCCAGGAGGGTCTAGATTGAGGTGAGAACAGCAGGTTCATACCAGCCACGCCCTGCCTGCCCTAAGAGCCCTATCGGTCACTTGCACAGCCATAACGCCGCCCTAAAGAATGCGTGGACTCCGACGATCTCCGAAACGCGACGACCTGTTTCAAACGGACTTGCAGTAGGGAGGAGAAAGGGTGGAGTACGGAGAAGGCATCCCATTGAGCGTTCAAGAAAGGGGACAGGCACGTGGAGTGCCCTGTCAGACGACGAGTAGTCCGTAATTGCATGGAAAACGGAGTACGTAGTGCACTATGACGAGTCCACAGGCTAGGCTATCTCAAAGGAGAAAAGTATCAGCAATGGATCTCCTCTAGTGTACGGAGTACCAGGCCGTTGGCTCCTAGATCTACAGGGTGTTCGTGTGCAAAAAAACAAGGCAATGAACTCGAAATCGTGGCTTCGAGTTCGTCAGTTTCACAAGAATAAGCCTCTCGAATGAAACACCGGGGACGGCCAACACGGAGGTCCGTTAGCGGACCGCAAAAGACGGTGGATCGTGCATGCACTACCGAAGTATGCACATATACGCTACGAGGATTTTGTCATCCGCACTTCGTAATGGGGGTATTTTCTTTTCCATTTTTAATCTTTATGATCACAGCAACAGTGTACATGGACACCGGTGTTTCAGATAATAGAGTTGTTTGATTCCACGCGTGTTCCGAATTCCTGTGTCTAAGCGAGCAATGTGTTCGGCCTAAATTATGGAGTCGATATGCAAGGCGCGCCTGGAATTCTGGTAAGCTTATCTCCATACGCTAGCTGTGCCGTCGATCGCTAGCGCATAGCCTACTTTTTAAAGACCCCTACCGAACCCCTAAAGGCGATCACCGTTCGTGGACTCTTAGGCAAAAGCCGATGGCGTTGATGTGCCCTAACACTGCACTGCACTAACTGCATTACCTTGCACTAACCCCCGCAATCAGCTCAGCCTTGGGATTTCACGACTCTGACAGTGGCACTTTAACCGAGTGTGCTTTTTTTAGAAGGCAAAAGAAAAGAAAAACCCTAACCCCTGGCACTTACAGCGACTGGGTCTTTTAATTTCCCCTAATGATACATATCACATAAAAACAAAACAAAACTGAATCTTCAATATCAAATTTGCCAAGGGGGTCAATCGGCTAGGCCTTTCGACCGAACAAGAAAAGATCGCCCATCTAGATCATCCCTTAGGAACGTTTGACGCACCTTGCTACAATGCAATCACCACACAACGCGTCGGTCTGAAACGTAGCCCAATTTGACTCCTATCATCGGTCCAGCACGGAGCTCACGGAAATTCCGACGCAATCGCATCGCGTTGCCCTGTCAACCTGAGCTCCTGACGCAGCCGGCCCACGAGACAAGCTCGAAGCGACTTTGACGTATTGCTCCATGGTAGCCCCACGCATTGCCAACAGCCCTGCGACCTGCTTATTGTGACAAGTGCAGTTCCTTCGGCAGACTGTCTTACCAAAACGGTAGCTCTGATCCCATCCAGATGTAGCATGCTCGCCGAGATAATGTTGATCAAGGGTCTATAATCCTTGGTATCGGATGAGGGCTCACAACCTCCGGGTCTTGGCTAGCGAGATGCTCCAGGCCTTGGCTTTTGGAGTTTGTGGAAATGAGGATCGCAATATCTTCTGCCTTGGCTGGTTCGTACTTCGTATCCCCATTTGTGATATCTGGTATACGGAGTATTCACCCGTGAGGTTAGGTCTGAGATTCAAGGGATACCGGCACTGCCGCATCCCTTGACCATAGTATCGTTTAGAAGCTCAGGGACTGGAGATGATTTTCGATATCGTGAGTCATTCCTCTTTGTCAGCATGTTCCAAAGTAGGCTTTCTTCATCCTCCTGCCTGGTAAGCCCATGGAAATCCATGGACCCCTGGAGAGAGCTTTAACATCAGCACTGATGTTCCAATCCAGGACAGACATATGATGGCCTGGTCTATTCATCCTGAAAATATGCTGATGACGCTAGATCAATGTCACTTTGGTGAAAATTGTGGAAGTGTGATCTCAACTTCCAATTTAGACATTCACACACGCCAATACATTCCACCGGCCGTTTCCTTGGAACCAAAAATCCACGACGATTTTAGCAACATAGCTACTTGCAGCTCGACGCTCACTTCCGTTCATAAGACCGCGGTAACTTATCTGAACGGGCAGAGTATGGAAATGTTCATCAAGCCTCAAGAGATCGGTGCGATAAAGCAGGCTCTTCTCTCAACGTGCGTGCAATGTATCACTTAACTCACACTCTCTGCTTGCTGCTTGCCGCTTGCCGCTTGCCCACGACCACCTGCATGCAGCCACTCCAATATCTTCGGTCATTGGCCCCCGTCCTCCTCCGCAGATGAGCCGGGCAGTGTCATGGCTAACGGGCTTGTCTCTCATTGAGAGAAAGCCCCAATGTCTCCAGCAAAGAACATTGGACCTTCTCCTGAAGTCGTCCTGATCAACAAATATCCTACTCTGTAAGACATGCGTCTTTGGTGAAATTGCGGGAAATGGAGAAGAGTCCTGGAGGCCATGCATCAGGGGAATAATCCCCCGAACCATGAATCCTGCAATCCACTTTCCTTCCTCGGGTATTTAACTCTGTCTATTAGACTGACGGTTTGAGCTAGACAACAAGAGACGCGGCAAATGTTGACCCTCATGCTTCAGCAGGTTGCACTTAGTGGTACTAGTTCACGGTGCACGTGTGTCAACTGGCGGTCCCGAAGGCTGGGACTGCATTGGCCTAATTGAAATTTGATTGATCCCGGTGAAAATTCACCGTGAATCCCCTTTATCAACACTTAGCCTCGATGGTACTTGTATCTTCCTTGGCGGGTCAACCACAAGTGAGAGGCAATGGCGTTGCCTTGAGAAAAAAAAAGCCGGTTGTGTCTAGCAAGTGAAATGACTCAAGCTATGAATGTTACACATATCGGAACCAGATGGATATATGCACAGCGGAAGCTGAAATGATAAATGTTTCTAAGCGGATATGGAGTAAGCCACGCAGATAAAAGTCCGCGGCCAATATTTTCAAACAGAAAGGAAAAGTATGATCAGACATGATGTGGTGTCTGACATGATTTGGGACAAGATAGAAAATCAATGTATGAAAGACCAGCCGAGCGCCAAGCGCCAAACACGATTAAGCCCGCTCTAAGATCCTAGAAACGCCATAACTGAAGGAGAAAAGGGATTGATGGAAAGCAGAAAAGAGAAGGTAAAAGGGAGAGAAAAGGGAGAGAAAAGTTAGGTCTCACAGCTTATGACCTTCGGCGGCCGGGGTCGTAGCTGGTGGGGAAGAGTGGAAGGGAGGGATCCACTACATCGTTGTAGGGTCGTCTGGCTGCCATAGAGACATCCTCATCACTGGGTGGGGCGGAAGCAACACGCGCGGGGTGGTGAGGGTGAGCCTCAGTGTCATCCTCTCCCCTGGCAATCTTCTCGAGAGAAGAAAGCTCAGTGGTGGTGTTGTTGCGAGACCAGCGGAAGGAGTCGCGGTCATCGGCGAGAGAGCGGTATTTAGTGTCTGGTTTCTTGAAGAATATGGCGTACACAAGTCCAACCAGCAGGTAGATGAGGAGGACGAGAGTGAAGATGGCGTTGAAGATAAAGAAGAGGACGCCGAGGATTCCAGTCATGAGGTCTGGTTGATCGAAAACGTCTGAGAAGACCAGAAGGAAGATGGTGTTGAGGGAGTTGAGTACTCCCGTGGCAATGGCGACGACATTGGCACCCTTGCTCATGAACGGCTTGATGATACCGACTGCGAGCATCATGCAAAGCTCCAGGATGAGAAGGACGATAGTCTGCGCGACTGGGTTTGATTGCGCAAAGGCGATGACCATTCCCTTCACAATGATATACACCAAAGAGGGGACGAGGAAGTAGTACACTGGAGCACGGTAGTAGATGTACAGACAGCCCCACTGGTTCAAAGTCGCTGGGTCGGAATAAAGCGTGTACGCAGCTGTGTTGTGTTGCTGCTTGGATCGCAATCCCCGCTGGAAAACCTTGAATGCGGCAAATGCGAGCACGCCTGTCGTCACCAGCCACATGGTGATGCCCAAGACGATCTCAGCGGCCGAGTCGCGGCGGGTCAGCTCCCAGAGACACAGGACACACATTTGGGGATACCCGATGCATGCCAATCGGAAGAAGGTGTTGCGGAGAATAGTCTTCCAATCTTGGGTGACACCCATTGCGCGATCGAGCTTCTCAAGCGAAGTCGGCTTTTTGGCCAGGATGGCGCGGACAAGGAGGAGGAGCCCAACACAAGCAGCGACGAGCGCGACGACAAAGTAGAAGAACAGATATCCGGTCATGAAGATATTTGTCAATTCAATCTTGTCCCGAATTCCTACTCTTTCAATGCCACGGAGAATCATCTGGCTTCCGGTCGTGGTCGCTCGGGCTGCGATCGATCCCCGCTTCTGCAGAACCAAGGAGACATTTTCCGAATTGGTCAAGACATTCGAAGGAGTTCCGCCCGTTGCGCGTTGGAACCAAGTCGCAATTGTTTGAAGAGCGTTCGCTCGTACAATTCCCATACTCCACTGCATGTTCTGAGTCCAAGATTGCACAAAGGGCGGCATGTTGACTGCCGTCATACCGGCCATGGCTTGTGACTGGATGAATCCAAGGAAAGCCAGGGACCGGAACGCCAGGTGGGTCGCGGTGTTCGAATGGCCGAGGAGCGAGATCACGGTGGACGCGATCAGACCTACGCCGGTGATGATGGCGAGGGTCCAACCCACACCGGCCTGAAAGACGGTTTTCCCATTGTGAACTCTGGTCTCTAAACAGGTGATCTGATTACCCTTGTCGGAACCGCTCTTGTACTTGAGTTTGATGCGAATGACGGCGTCGAGATCGGGGACGGTGTAGGCGATGCCTATGACGCAACGGGTTAGTAAGGATCGAGCCAGGATCTGCGGATCCACGGGTGGAACATTGAAAGTGAAACAGGAAATTTAAGACATCACAGAAGATGAAGAAAATACTCACTGGGAATTTGAGAGAGAACACTCTGACCCAGGGTCTGGGTGATTGTGGGGAGCTGCAGCTCGATGGCCTTCATAGGACAAAAGACGGACAGCTCGAGATCGCACGGGTCAAGCGTCTTGGTCATGGCCTTGTAACCGTAGACCAGCAATTCCACATCGATGAGGACATCGCCTGCGACAGAAGAGTAGCCATCGAAGTTCAAGCTGATCGAGGAATTGCCCGGGGTGAAAACGGCGTTAAAGTTGTTAATTTGGACTTCGGAACTGTCGGAACATTTGGTCAGACCCTCCGCTGAGATGAGTCTCTCGGCCTGCACGAGATGAAGACTCTGTAGGAGTATCAGCATGCAAGCCCCGAAACGGGGGGCATTCAATTGCATGGTCAAACGAGTGTGAAGAGGAAGAGGTGTGAAAGAGGGTTCGTTTTGGCTGGGGCTGCCCTGATATCATGCAACTCCACAGTACAACGTAAGCGCCTAGTGGAGCCAAGCGATCGAGGGCCCAGGGCCCTTGAAACACACACACAAGGCAACATGGTTAAGTCAGTGCCGATGATTTTCGATTTTCTATTGGACCCAGGGGTCTGTCCCTTGTGATCAACCTGGCTTACGAGGCTGGAAAATTGCCACTGTTCATTATATCATATAACGGCAGAACACTGCCCCAGCCTCCCAGACGATCATACAAAAGACTCTGCTCGGTAATATTGGCCCCAGTCTACTATACGAGTACGCATTCAGGCCGGTGCGACATTAAAGACACAGCTTGGCTAAACTCTCACATTCCAATGATCGAAAGACCATGAGTTTGACACATTCCAATGGCAAAAAGTGTGAACTGCTCAAATCCCTGCCGGTTTCGGATGTTCACGATCCCAAGTCTAAATTTAGCCCGATCCGGTTCTAAAGTTCTTTCATTGGCTCCATTGGTCGGGAATATATTTACATGGCATTTTCATCCTCTGGCCTTTGTCTCAAGCGTACAATGTCTACTCGTAGATCTCAGGGTCTCTCCACTCGTCGCAAAAATGGACAATCCCGGGGAACGGATATTTAGTGTGTTCTTTATTTCCAGCCCCATCTGATATACTGTAACGCATTCAAACATGGCTACCCCTCACCTGGGCGCTTCTGGGATTAAACTGGGATGAGCTGGGCATTCCAAGATTATGGCACAAAAAGTTGGCCTCATCTGCAGAATGCCCAAGTGTACAACCTTCTAAGTGGTAAAGTACGTACTCAAGTACCTAAACCACTTCTACTTCTGAAGTTCTACTTAAGTGAACCTTGGAACTTCAGCGTGACTCAATTCTGACTTTGAATTGAGACCGAGTTTGGAAGCACCGAATGCGGCCACTGCTTAAGTAACAGCCATCGAAGTGAAGATAAACCGAAGTTTTCTGATATATATTTCCGGGGCTTTACAAAGCTCCTTCAATACTCAAGCACGGAGTATATATCCACGCATATCGTGCTGCTGATCCATACCCATCAAGGATAGGTCGTGGCATGACGTACCAGATGTCAAAAGATGTCAAAACCTGGAATCGAAGAATGAAGCGGCAGAACGATGCATACTCGTCACCAAAGACGATCCCTTTCTGTATAATGATATCACATATAAAAACGAATACGCCCCCAGTCCCCGATGTGGGCTCCCGATGCATGTTCTCCATATCTGTCAACTTTAGAAAGTGCTCCACAGGTCTCAACTTTTGAGAAATGGGTGCCTCATATGGTTACCACAAATCGCTCGCATCCTTTCTCAGACTTCTGGTGAAGCCAAGGCTTCATTTGGACCCCAAACCAGATGAAGTAGCGTTGATTCCATCCAGGGATGATGGTCGAACAATCAAAACCCATATCTACAAACCTACCACCACTGGGCCTACCCCTGTTGTAATCAACTTTTGCGGAAGTGGCTTCGTCCTCGGTACCTTTGGAAACGACGACGAGTACTGTCGCTACGTTGCGGACAAAGCAGCCTACACCGTCATCGACGTCCAGTACCGTCTCGCCCCAGAACATCCCTTCCCGGCCGCCTTCCACGATGCCGAGGATGTAGTAAGCTGGGTGCGCTCACAGCCCGAGCGCTTCGACCTGTCTCTCATCTCCCTGTCGGGTTTCAGCGCAGGCGCCAACATCGCATTGGCCGTGGCGTCATCGTCCGATATCCTCCCCGTGGGCGAAAAGAACATCTTCAACGCCGTGATCTCCTTCTACGGTCCAATGGACATGTCCCTCCCAACGCCCGAAAAACCCCAAGCCGACCGCTCGAACTGGATCATGCGCGATATCTTCCCGCCCTTTTCTCACTTATGTCATAAATGCCTTAATCTGGATCGGGTTGACCCCACCGATCCGCGCATGTCGCCCATCAAAGCGGATCCCAAGAACTTCCCGGCGAATGTGCTCATGATTACAGCTGCGCAGGATCCGTTTGCGATCGAGGCGGAGAAGTTGTCGGAAGTGCTGAATAACACCGAAGGGAAGTACTCGGTTTCTCAGAGAATGGCAAACTGCGCGCATGGCTGGGACAAGGAGGCTATTCGGGGGTCGTCGCAGTGTCAGGCGAAGATCGAGGCTTATGACCTAGCAGTGGATATGTTGAAGCGAAGGGGCTCAGCACAGAGCGCCGAAATTAATGTTTAGATTCATATTCTGATACCCATGTCGTTGAATAATATTGTTGCCTAAATCGATTAATCACGCGGTCATGTTTACCTCGGGAGTGAAGTAGAGCGAGGCACGGAATCGAGAGGGTGTGCCCAGGTGACAAGGGTAGCTCAGATCAGGGGAACTGCGGAGGAATGTTATCCCTGTGCCTGCCAAGCCTGAAGCCAAGACTACAACGACTCGTTCAAAAAGATCTCATTTTGGTACTCTCAAGTGGAATGTAGGTCAGGTGAAAGAAAAAGGCTCAAATAGCTGAAATTCATATGTATAAATGCACGTCAATCTATGCAACGTCTATCGTAGTCATCTGTACAAGACTCGTAAATAATTCTATACACCCCCAATATCTATAATGATACGCTTAAGCGTTTCTCTGCGCTTCCTCATCGTGGGGTGCGGAGGTAGTCGCAGGTGGAGGCACGACAGCGCCAGTGTTCTCATCATGGTAAGCGTGTTCCTTGACGTCGAAGCGGAACTGTTCCTCTTCCTCGCGGAGCTGTTCCTTGAGCATCTTGTTTGCTCTCCAGACAGGCTTGCACTCGAAGAGACGATCGACCTTCTCGAGGGGAATACCACCAGTCTCGGGGATGAGGAAGAAGGCGAAGAAGAAGGCCAGGAAGGAGAGAGCAGCGAAGAACATGTAGACTCCGTATCCCATAGCTTCGAACATCTGCTCGGTGAAGCGAGAGATGAGGAAGTTGAAGAGCCAGTTGCTGGCGGTGGTGGCGGCCTGAGCGAGGGAACGGAAGTTGGGGTCGAAGAACTCGGAGTTGATGACCCAAGGGGTACCGTTCCAGGTTGGGGTGTAAACAGCAGTCCAGAGGTAGAAGAAGACAATGGCCGCGATACCGCCGCTGTTTAGGTGGTCGGTAGGGTTGTCCTCGGGCTTGACAACACAGATGTAGGCACCAATAATCCACATGCAGATAGAACCAGTCACAGCACCAACAAGGAGGAGGTTACGTCGGCCAAATTGGTCGACAAGGAAGAGGAGCCACACAAAGGTCATCACAGCCTTGACCACGCCGAAGATACCGGTCATCAGGTTGGTGGTTTCGCTGTCAACACCAATCTAATGGGGAGAGGTTAGCATCGAGCATAATGATGGACGCTGATAGGATCGAGAGCATACCGATTTGAAGATGGTGGGCGAGTAATAGTTAATGGCATTGATACCAGATCCATTCTGCCAAAAGAAGAGCATACAACCAAGCATCAGGCGGTACATCACATTAGGACGAGTAGCGAGGGCCTGGAAGGGCTTCCAGAATCCAATACCAATGGTGGACTTCTGTTGCTCCAGAGCCTGGTCAATAGCGGCGACCTCCTCGGTGATGTACATATCATCGGCGTTCAATTGGCGGATCCAGCAAAGGTTCTCCATCGCCTGGCGGCGACGGTCCTTGAGGAAGAGCCAGCGGGGCGATTCCTTGATCCACAAGGCTCCGATAAAGAGGAGACCTGAAGGCACTAGTTGAATCGCGAATGGAATGATCCACTGTTCATGGTCGGAAGGCATGTGTTGCTCAACACCGTACTGCCGATTCTAGATTAGCTTATCTGCGAACACGGCCCGATCGATGAAAAAAATTCAAAGATCGGCAAGGGGAGACCCACGTTAATCCAGAAACCGAGCATACCGCCGATTTGCCAGCCTAGCTCATACAGACCGACCAGCCGTCCTCGGATCGCCGGTGGCGCCAGCTCGGAAAGATAGATGGGAATAATATTCGAAGCAACACCGGTGCCAACACCGGATAGTACACGGCCAGCGTAGAGAATACCCAGTCCTCGGGCACTGTTGGCACCGAGTTGCAATCCAGATCCAAGAGCAAAGACAGCAGCTGCAACAGCTAAGCTCCACTTGCGGCCAACAAAATGACCCAGGGCGTATGTTCCAAGAGCACCGAAGAAGGCACCGGCGATGAAGAGCGAGACGATATTCTCGCTGATCAGACTCCGTTCGGCCGTGCTTAACTTGTCAAGACCGAATTCCACCTTGAAGGAGTTCAATGTGATGGTGGTACCGATGAAGGCACTGGTATAACCGATCATGTTGGAACCGCATGATGCGATACCGGCGAGTGCATACACACGCCAATTGTAGACGGACTTGGGTGTTGGCCGATCTTCATGGAGGGTGAGAACGCCCATGGTTGTGAAGGGGACAACCCAAGGTGTATGAGGGGGAGGAGGTGAGATAGGTGATGGGTAGGGTGAGGAGAAGTGAGGGAAGAAATTTTCTTAAAAGGGAGGAATGGAAGAAAAGAAAATGGGTCGAGAAGGGCTGGGATGGGGCCCCTAAGTAATGGGAGCTATCCCAATGGATTGTGGGTGTGGAAATTCCCCAACTGAGCGCTCTCCACAATACTCGTCGCGTATAACCCCATAGACTGGGGCAATATGGGGTTCGAACGTGAGGCTATGATACAGCAATGATTACAGATGCATGGAGAATGCCCGGTGTGGGAACGTCGACCGGGGTAGCGTTCTCCCCGCAAGAGAACAATAAACATTCAGCCGGCAAATAAGCTTCAGTATATATCTAACCCGGAACCCGACTTCCTCGATGAAATCATGAGGAACACCTTTTCTTTTTTTTTCCCCCATTCCTGATCTACCGATTGAAACACCGAGCGCGTGGGAGTTTTGGGGTTCGCCCCGTGGGCTGTGGATAATGGGCACGTTGATATGTAAGTACCAAAGAACATCGTTGCACGAGTCTGCGTTTAGCCGTCTGGTATGCATAGAGGCACCGGTGAAGATTTGCCACCGTAGATTTTTCTCCCCGGACCAGGCGGAATGCAGGATGTTCAGCAGTGTGGAGAGGACCTGGCATAGCATAGTCCCGCTTGTTAAGCGAATACCCCGAGATCTCAATTCCCCAGTTCAATCTGCATGTAAAAAGGATAGAAGATGGGGGAGAATCCTTTACCCTTGACGTGGAGTCGGGATTTTGCCGAGTTCCCACTCGGGAAGGTCAGTCGAAGGTCCTCGCGGAAGAAGGGTTAAAAGTCTGTTTCGCCCAGGGTTGCTTGTTCGGCGCTAAGCCTTGTTCGGTGGAACCTAAAGGTCACGTGTGGCATATCGTATTTGCCTCGCGCTGTCATCGACCTTATTGGCACAGGTGTACGGGCGTGCTTGAGACCTTGCATAATCTTCTGTGCTCCGGAATCCCGCGCTCTAGTATTCCCCGGAAATACCGGCGTGTGCCCCTCCCCGTGCGCCAATAATAATCGGTCCATATGCACTGCACTAAACGAAACTCCGGGGTTTCGGGACTGGGGGCGGTTTCAACTCGGATCAGCGACGAACTCGAAAGATGGAGAAGCCATTGCGTAGAAGCAGTGACGTTACACTGCATCATACCGACCGCGAGGGTGCTGCAGAAGGTCGCTCTTCAACAAAAAAAGCTCATGGGTACGGAGTATGCGCAATGGTATAAACTACTTTCGGCCCGGAGCCGGATTCGAAAGCCGGGCTCGGCTCTGTGCTTAAAAGTACACTGACACCGGAGTCAACAAGAAGACTAGCGGTTTTCGCTGAAAAGGCAGCGCAGTTCGTAGTACAGATGCTCAGTCTCTGGAACATCTGGACTTTTTTTGTTGACATCCCAACCTATTATGACCCACCTATCAAACTAAGAGCCGATGGCTCAGGGGAGGCGTAGAAGGAATGTTGCTAGTTATATGCAGATCAACAAATAAGTGTAATCAGATGATCACCACGGAGTACTCCGTATTATCTGTTGAGACCGAAAGTTGCAGCCCAGAGCTAGGAGACACTATACCTTTTTGTTAGCAGTACGAAGCTTGGCGCATCTTCCCCAAAGTTGGGCCTGCCATCCAGTGTGCGGAGTAGCTCTGGATTATTTGCAATCCTGCTGTATGTCGTTGTTTGACACATGTCAAAACTAGGATTGGGCTCACCTGCCCTCCCGTCACCGGCGATTCGGACTAGGTCTGTACACATTCAAGCTTCGACACCGCTTCTTTTCCCAGCCGGGATCCTCGGACATGGGATTTGACCCTAGGATGATCTGTGCCTGAATGGAGATCACCTACCAAGGTATTGACCAGGGCTTTTTACCCCGGAACAGTGTTTGGCCACGTAGCACAGGGAGCGGGCAGTTCGCAACTACTCCACGCGGGAGAAAGATTCGTAGAGCGCGCCCTTGGCACGGCCTGTATCCAAGTATGAGATCTGGTTTCGGCCGAGCTGGTGGAAATGTGAAATGTATCCAAGACAGGGGCGTCTTTCAGTGGTCTCTGCGCCCCTCTTTCGCCGAGCTCGGGGCATGCAGCGGCATGTTGGCTTTCTTTAGACGGAATCCCGAGAGACACATACTCGCACATCGGTGGTACAGAGCCAGCTAAATATCTGGGCAAGACTTGGCAGCGGGCAAAATCCGCGTCAAGACTCTTCCATGATTGTAGAGCATGCGCCATGCAAGCGTTGGGACATACAACAATCTGTCAAGCAGGACTCGGGCCAACGTATATCGAGGCCGTCGGACTCGGTAACTCTGCATGCCCGGAAGACCTGCCAAGTAGAGTTGATCGAGAACCGCTCGACACGGCACATGCTCGATGATATTTGCTTGCGTTGCTGCTGTCTAGTTGTGAGTTGCAGTGCCCTCACAATGCCATTGAGGCTACTCTCTATGTGAGATCACTTGGTTGCAATTCCGATAGAATGCCTTCGAGTAAAAACAAAATAAATACTCGATGCTTGACCATGCAAGAGACCCAGCACGTCTGGTGGTGATTGACTAAAGATGATGTGTGACTAGATGATTGCAGTTGAATATCAACTTGTCGATGTGCTTGCATAGGTTCGGTGTGACCGATGCAAACGCGACATCCAAATATTGAGCCGGCGTATGACCATCTGGGCAGGTACGACCTCAGTGCTCAAATATCGGAAAGGGGCGGAAAAAAGGCCTCAGGCAGAAACATCGAATTGGGGCCTGAGGCAAAAGCACGTGTCACCCTCGGCGCATCCAAGTCACGCGGAATCAACAAACCGTCAGTATCCAAGACCCCGAAGGCTTGGTGAAGGCCGTGGCTCAGACCGTTAGCAGTTGATATTCTGCCGGGGCTCTCCAGAACACACAACTTACCCGAGCATGAGCGCCAAAGCGGGGCATTTATCTGCGAATCTTATCGCTCAAGGTGAGTCTCCAATACTTGATTTGAGGTTGGTGAAGCGCTCATGGACACCATGCATCGGGCATAGATCTGTATTGACCGTAGACCCATAGTTTGACGGAAAATATCAAGACCCAAAGTGGTCAGATCCCATGATGGACAACCGCGTCTCTCTTGGCTCCATCCAGAAAACCGTCTGGGACGGTCGCATACCCTTGGAAATCATACTAGCTCCGTCAGAAAGTCGAACATTTAACAAGACAGATCCCTATCTGGTTTGTCTTTGGTCTCTAGAGCATTTGACATGGGATGGTGCTGATTGTCGGTTGCTAGATCGCGTATCCTCGCATTTCATATTTCCCCTCATTACTCCCAAGACTTCGGGCTTTCTTCTCGAGCTCACTGATTGCACCTGAATCTCAGCCCCATGACGGTTGGTTCGAATTTGAGGGTGTGCCCTTGAAGTGGCACTACCCTATCGGTCTGCTGTTTGACCTCTATGCCGGAGCAACCCCTGCCTCCAAGACTGCGTCCATAGGCGACGAGTCTCCTGAGGATGGCTCAAAGCTCCCTTGGCGCTTGATCGTTCACTTCAGTAACTGGCCTGATGGGAATCTCGTCCGCCTGGATGCCGATGGAATGGTCATGGGCGATGCCTTCATCAACAGTGTCAAGGAAGCTGATTTCCTCCGCAATGGCACTGCCAAGGGAATTATGAGTCTCTCAAAAGAATACTCATCAGGTCTCTGGAAGGCCGTCGAAGAGGGTGAGTAGATCTGTCAGGGGCAATATAATTGCCCACTATCTTTGAGGATTGGTTTAACATCGCAACACAGTTGATCTTCCCTCTTTCCAGCGAATCTCAAACATACTTCTCCCCCAGCTTTCACAGCCTTTCCGCAACGTACCGATCAGGATATTCCTGCCACTACCGCCAGATGACGATTCTCCATCCCTCAAGGTTGTTCAATCGCCACTTCCCCCTTCAATACCAGCACCGAGCATGCAATCCAGCCAACTATTGAACCCGCGCTCCAGCCCATCCACCCAACCCCAAACGATCGGCACTGTTTTACACACATTGCTCCCAAACCTGTTCCCTAGCAGAAGAACCCCTGTTCTTGCAAAACCTGTACTGCATGGCTCTGTTATACCAATGTCTGCTCCGATAGAAGAGGTGGTACGGAGCTCTGCTTACGGAGATGGCTGGGCATACTTGGTAGTGAGGATGATGGGATAGATCAAATATCACCAACAGGAATACATCGCCATACTCTCCATATCATCGAAAAATCTATTATATGCGCTAGGACCCACGCATGCAGACTTCCAAGATTTTCAGTCACCGTGGACCATCAGGATGTGACATAGTTAGCCAGTGTTCAAGTGGAGCATGCTCCCGAGTCCTCCTGAAGGTTCGTTCATATAACCATCCATGGACTAATTTACCTAGGAACACTTAGGCGTTGATTTATCTTATGCGCTTACACTTAATGGTTTCGAAATAGAATCTCCAAAATTAACAATCTGTTCAATTGCCCTCAATACCTATTCTTAACTAAATGCAACTATACTAATGGTGGGGGTATATTCTGGCCGTCCTATGATGATGTGTATGGTGAGCTCAATGAAAGGGTGACAAAGGAAATGTATCATCAATAAGTACGCCAGAGCAATGAGTTGTACTCCCCCGGGAAGGACTGGGAGACAGCGACAAGAAAAGCAAAATCAAACAACAGGGACATAGGCATACACAGAGAAAGATGAACGCATCGCAAGAAAAAGAGCACTCGGATCAAATCCAGGGGTTGCCGTTGACAAGGATATCATCGCCACTATCCTTGCCCTTCTTTAGAGCCTTGGCAAGCATAAGCTCACGCATCCAGTCAATGCGCTGCTCACGAGAGTCAACAGCAAAGTGATGGTTCTTGATACCCTTGTTGCCAAAGAGTGCTTTCTTCTCATTCTCCTTGGTAGCAGGAATGAGCGAAAAAGAGAAAGCCGTGCCATCCCGATTATCAACGGCGCTGTTTCCATTACGCATAATGGAGCGCTTGAATGCTGCTGTTAACTTCGAGCTTGTCGCCTGCGACGAGCACGCGACGGCATAGTCGTCAACATCGATATTCTCGAGGGCACGAGAGATACGATGTGCTTCACTTTGGTTCTTGTGCATGGCTAGATTGGTGCCATTGAGAGTGAAGTGAGCCTTGGACCACTCATGCTGTCGCAGAATGCCAGAGGTCTTGCGCTTGCGCATGTATCCCGAGTGCGTGACGTCCGGGTTTGAAGAAACAGATGATTGCGAGCCATTGTGGCCATGCTGGTTGACACGGGGGCTCCGAATCAAATCCGCAGGGTTGTCAATTGGAGTCAGAGGCTTGTCTTCGTTGACTCGACGAAGCGGCTGCACATGACGAGAGTTGTTGGAGGTGCTCCGTGTAAGAGGAGCGGAATTCAGGGCAGGTTGGTACGGAGGGAACAAGGTACCATATTGCATGCTTGGAGGCACAGATTGAGATATATCCCGGGGGATGGGGTCATTTGGAATGGCTGTGATGGGAACATCCATCTCGGAGAATGGTGTTCCTTGACGGTAGGTGTCGATTGACTGCGCATCGTGAGCTCGGCTGAAAGGGCCAATCTTTTGAACAGCAGTGGGAGAGTCATTCTGGTGAGTGGGAGTGAAATATCTGTTGGTGGTAACAGCAGTTGTCAAATCGTCCACATCGGGGCTGGTCGGAATCATGAGCTTAGGAAGACTGCGAAGATTTGCAGCCATGTTGTCCACATGTTGATAATCGAGGAATCTTCGCACGTTGTCGTCCTTGGGCAATTTGGGGATTCTTTCAACAGCATCTTGTGACAAAGATGATCCATAATGAGGACCAAGAACGTCTGAAGATGCCACCTCTGAGGGCTCTGTCTCTGATTTAGGTCGCAGAAGATTTCGTCCAGTCTCAGGGTTTCCCGGGTTTCCCATGATGATGACCCCGTCGATTTCCTGGAAAACTGCATCAGGGTTTTCGGCAGCAAGCTGCTGCAGATACCTCTGGCGCTTTCTGAACTTGGAACAGTTTTCTCCCTTGGAGCATTTGTGGGCCTTTGGAATTTTTTGCTCAATCCCAACAATTGATACAGACTCCGCGGGTGTGATCTGGTTTCCTTCTTGTCCATAGGTCTCACGGGATAGAATTTCACCAGTTGGGGATACAGACATCGCGTAAGAGCGTCTCTGGGGGGAGCTCCGCCCAGGAGTAAATCGTGCAGGGGCGGACCATTCAGCAGCGACTTGCTCATCAATAATGTGCTCATGGTCGACTTGCTCTTGGTTGATTTGGGGTTGATTGAATTGCGCATAGTTCTGCTCGTAGTTTAATGACTCTGGAGAAGATCTTCCGTGTGAAAGGGAAGCTTCAGAAGCAAATCGAGACGGCACTTCCGGGACAGGCTCCGGTTCTGTCTGCATGGTGGCTTTCAAATAATCAATCGAGATCATGATCTCGCGACGCTTTCCAAAAGAGTGAATGCTGAGCTCCTTGAGGTCGTCAGCTTGCAAGGTCAGCAGGACTTCCCCGGTGATATCATTGATCAAGAACTTCTCAATGACAGCATCAGTGTATCCCGCAATGTATAACCAATGGGCAACCTGGCTGGGCTTCCAATTTCTGATCTCCTCCTCGCTCACTTGGGACACATCAGGGTGCACTGTCTTCAAGGCCTTGGGTGTCTTGGGAGAGGTTAAGGGGAATCGGTTGGGAGTGTTGGGAGAGAAAGGAATGTGGCTGGGGGTATCAATGGACTGAGAGAAGCCTGACTGCAGGGGTGATCGCTCATAATAAAGAGATATTTCAGCGGTACCCGCTGCGGTATCAGGCTCGTAGATCGAAGATCCCCTCGAGTTTCTGAATAAGTGTGGACCGGAAGGACCTTCAACCAGACCCTTCTCCAGTTGAATAGGGGGCAAGTTTCTTTGGACAGCCTCCGGTGTCGACGGTTCTGGGCTCGAGAGAGTCGTGTTACTGTCATAACCCAGCTAATTGTTTCAAGTCCTGTTAGCTTCTATGCACTATTACGCCCTGACTATGGGATGCTTACCGATTGCATACTCTGCCGGAGAGATTCCTCGTCTGAGTCACTACCTTCGAACTCGGTGTCATAAAATTCGGTGGCCTCTGACATCCGCCGCCGCTGTACGATAGTCTTTGCAGGATAGAACCGCTCATGGTTCTGCGTGCTCAGTGAAGCAGGCACTGCCTTTCGTCGAAAACGTAGTGATGAATCCTATGTACCATTAGCTATGATGAATCCACCTTGGGTCTCCAGACTGACCATATCGTGAATCGTTATAGACTGGTCGTCAAGACTCAATCAAATTAAAAGAATGTGTTGTCAGCGGTTCCCGCACAGCAGTGAACCAACTGGATGTAATGAAACAGAGAATGAAAGTAGCCTCAATGTGAGTGGGGATCCAGATCACGAGAGAAAAAGGAGAAGTGGGAGATCCAACATAGGTTCGTGACACACGGGAAGTTGGATTATATGTACTGTATAACCACACAAACTTATTACTCAGGCCTTGAAACACGATAGCGCTGGGGAGGGCGGCACGGACAACGACCTAACCAATCCAACGTGTTCGACGGGACAAAATGTCCGTGACATGCAATTTGGTGGAAATCAGCGGCAAGGTTCTAAAATCGGCAGTAACCCGAAAGCCCAATGGCTGGGAGCAGGGAACATGGACATTTGTGATGTGATGCGGAGTGATCTGCCTGCAGTAGCTCGGGTTGAGCAGCGAGCACCGCGCATTAGCATTATCCAATTATAACCCATCACTACTGGCTCTGCAATACGAGGCGTACCCCAACTAAATTCTCATAGGTCCAACGGCGTTGGATTTTTCTGACCCGAAAGTGTGTCGAAGTTTGCCTGGCTTGGAGGCAGAGATGTGACTGGCCTGCAGTTAGCGCCCATGCAGCAATCCCCATGCCCCACATTCCACCTATAGGCTCCCGAAGGAGTACAATAACCAAACATTGACCGTTAATTAGCGCCGAACTAAGAAGTTACTCGTACACTTGCTTGTGCTCCGTACTATACTTCCAATCCTACAAATGTCTATCTTTCGGGGCTATAATTATGCTGTGTCCCTCGAGTCATGTCCATCTTTTTCTCCCTCCACGTTGCTGGGGTGCTGCTCGCTAACGGCGGTCTGGCCTTACACTTCTAAATATGACCAGTTCTATCTTCCAATGACCTTACGGCCTCAAATGTGGAGTCCCATCGGGATGGCTTGAGCCTCCTGCACGCTGATTCTCACCACCTAGGTTAATTCTTGTTCGATTACACCGTCTTCCATCTGAAGATATACGATAATGCACGCTCAAGTGAGTATCTGGATTGTTGCTAGATCTGTGTAGGATATTCCATATATTCTGATTGAACCCTGATTCTTCCATGATTACATGTACTTGCAGGTGGACCTGGACGTACCTTGGTAGTCAAGGTACAACTTTGGAACACAAATCAGCATTTCCCCTCATTTTAAAAGCCCCGCTTCTCGCTTTCCTTTGCTTCTCCGGCCAAAAAGGTCTAATCTAAGAGGCCTGATGGATCCGATGCGGATAACTCCAAGGATTCGTGCTTCCAACCCTTCCCTAGCTTCGGCTTCTCTCACCGCTGTGTCGACCATAACTATGTACTTCAGTTCGCAGATCAACGGAAATAATGTGCCATATGGTGCACATGTTCCGGCCTCGGAAGCTAGTACATGATTACTCGTCACAATCAGCCATCTCACACGGGAAACGATCGAATGCAGGTTACCGAGCTCCGTGGGATGACTTTCAAAGCTCTCTGCTCACAAATAAACTCAATATTGCTCGCCTTAATGAGAGTGTTCAGAGGCCTATGACACCCTGAGTCGGTGTGTCTTCCGGCCTAAACTGTAAGCTATCCTTGCAATAAATTACCTTGTTTACCGAGACACTCAAAATGCCTTGAGGTGTGCCGTACAATATTTGCCGATTGAAGGTCACCAAGCAATAAATTTTGCTGGCATTTCATGCGAGAGCAGCCCGAATCGAAATTTGCTAGGCACTTGCACTTATTCTCACCCGTCGACCGGACTAGCGTTCGGCCCAAAGGGCAGTAATTCGTGTAATAACCGAAAAGAGTACTCTGTATCAACCAAAGATGAATTAATAGTTACAGAGTGCTCACGGAAGAATAATCCAAGCCCTAGGTTCAGTTCATGCGGGCGAAATCGAAGACATTTTCCCATTTCCACATGATAGCTCAAATGACTTACTATTTAGCACACAAGCACAAAAGCCTTTGGTAATCTAAAGCTAACATAGCGGATTTCTTGGACGGGATGACTGGTCCAAATATGCATTTTCATATTGCCTCGGGCTGGTCAATTGTGTTTCTCTGAGGCTTGGAGATACGAGAGCAAGCTGCATGTGCCTGGTTTTGAGCGACGTAAATTCTGCTCTAATGTAACACCGCAAAAGCGCACAAAAGAACCTTGGAAATGCTACTTCGTACTCTGTACCTAAATTAGATAACTCGGAAATGAGTTGATGTAGAGTATTAGACTCACTAATCAATTTTATCACTCAATCTTTATACGACCATGGCGTGGAAGCCTTATATATAGACTATGATTGTCCAGCATTCAAATGAATGATGGCAAAGCATCTAATCAAGAAGGTTGCAGTACTCCGTAACAATGAGTCGAACTCCGGATAGTACGGAGTTCAGGAGCACACAGTAATGGAATTTAGAATCCGACCTATGGGCCATGCTAGTTTTTATGTTTGAATTGCCACATGTACAAACACTCAATGTCGAAGTTCGAAGTAAGGTCAAACCTTCTACCGCGGTCCATCTGAGGGGTGTGATTAAATATGAATGGCAGTGATCGAATGGCGAAAAATGGAGTATACAGAGTAGGATATCTAATGGTACGGAGTACTGGGATCAAATTGTTTCATTTTTTTTTTCTTCTGTGATCCGTAGTCACGAGCCTCTGCAGGTGGCCGTTGCTGATCCGGCATGGAAAAGAAGGAAGGGTCCGAAGTGCATAACGACCGACAGGAAAATGTAGAAGATCCATTAGCATACGGAGTACGGAGTAGAGGCCTAATATTGCTATTTTTGGGATACTTGCAACACTCAAAGAGAGGTATTAATAGTAGTTAGTGCAGAATAGGACAAACACAGACTAGGGATGATATTGAAGTGAAGCTTCACTCATCACCAATAGATCCAAATGTGGATGAAATTAGCTACCAAAATATAGCGTAATTGGAAAATTAACACTCAAAATTCCGTGAACGGGCGGCTAAATGTTGCTAATTAAGGGAGTATATGCACACTAAAAGAGGGACAAAGTACGCTAAAATTTCTTATCACATCACATCCCCCCGCTCCAGTCTGCACGGAGCACCCGTGGACCTGCAGAATACACCACTCAGAGCCATAAACAGCCCGGTCGAACAGTGAGCAATTTCCTGATTCTCCCCCCTTGTCCAATAGACACCCCAGAACTTAAAGCTTGGCCGACCCCACCCATATGTCACACTTCCTTCGGCTCAAGTAACTGTGATCAACCAGCCTTCTGATATCGACTACCGTTGATGATTGGTTTGGCTTTCTCCAGCGGTCAGACTCCTGCTCAATTTGTCCGAACCTTTGCGGTATTTTCTCCTCTCAATATAGTAACTTAACCAAGATTATGCCGGGTCATCACATCTCAACCCCGCCTGCAGTGTGGCCTCGTTCCTTGCAGGTTGAGTAATTTGGTGTCCGTAGGTAGAACAGGCCCGACGCTGCAGTTGGTTATTGGCAGGGATTGACCAACAAAATGTAAATACTGTTGGTTGGATTCTAAGTCTACATCATAGCAGATATTACTAGAGTACGAGTAATGACCGAAATTCACCCAGATCCAGTCAATGAGCAGGAGTCTGCAGCCACCCTTGCTAGTGGGCACAGAGCACTAGTCGACTGAAGGATCTCCATCCAGTCCCTCGAGAAACTTGGACATCCAAATGCATGACGCCAATGCCGCCAAGCGGACCATATGGGACTAAAAAAAGTGAGCAAATTGACCCAAATTTAGTCTCAAGAGGCTGGATGGTAACATTTACTACCCTTTCTGCAACTGTAATTGGCTGGTGATGGATGCTAGGTTTCTAGCCTAGTGAAGATTTGTGATGATCTGACCCAAACTAGCACTGATGTCCCCAAATTATCCCGATCTTGCAGTCAATTTGGACGTGCAGGTGGGTTCTAAAATAGAAACTCCCGCTTCTGGTATTGTGGACTAACATGAGTTTTAAAGCATCGGAAGTCCCGCGGTCTTAGCTCCTCATTGCGATCATATTTCCAACAGTTGCTTAACCAACACTTTCCTTTCTTTCTACGCTCCTAGATTGCGAAGCCTGCTGGTTCAGCTTTGCTATAATTTCATTCACCTGCAGTTGGACTTTGTGTTTTGATTTATTCGTCACCCTCTGCAATCGCTTTGTGTCACTTTGACCTCAGTATATTCCAAGATGCCAATCTCGAAGAAAACATCCATCTCCGCATCTAAGCCTCTTGCCTCTGCGCATACTCCAATGTCTCAACGGGCTTCTCCTGTCAGCGGAGACAAGACAAACGGTCGTATGCACAAAAGATCTCGATCTGGTAGGTGATATTCCATCACTATCGCACACCTTTTACAGAAGATCATCGCATTGAACTATACTGACTGGACAAGGCTGTTATACATGCCGTCTTCGCCGAAAGAAGTGTGATGAGAACCATCCTACTTGTGGCGCTTGTGCCAACCTACAAGTTCAATGCAATTATAAACGTCCAGACTGGTGGACAGATGCAGCTTTGAGACGAGGACGTAAGGAGCACATCAAGAACACGATCAAGCAGACAAAGATGCGCGAGCGCAATGGAAATCATCCTAGTACGTACCTGACTGCACAACCCTCACTTGGTCTCTTACTTACTTTCAATGTCTCACAGACCACCTCAATCGTCATCGCAACATGTCTGGAGCAATGCCAACCTCCCCTGTGAATGAATACGGTGGTCCTATGTGCAATGAGCCATATGATATGTTCACATCTCAACTACCTACTCCGGGTCTCGGTAATGCCCCATATGGGCCTTATGCGCCTTCTTACGAGGTCGATGTACGGACTGAGCGACAGACTTTTGTCAACGATGTTCCCATGCGTCATGATTCTTCGACTTCCACTTTCAGTGCTTTTGCACCACCTCAACTAAGCGCTCCAATGCCAACATTCGCCGGCGATGAATGGTTTGGAGATGAGTACTTTGCACAAGCTGGGGGTTACAATGGATTCAACCAAGATGTTGCTGTGGATCCTACGATGGATAAGACAAACTCATTGTTGCAGAGCAACATTGCTGTGAGTGAACATGATCGACCACTCCTTGACCACTTTATCCACAATGTTCTTCGCCAAATTTTCCCGGTTTTGGAGGCACATGGAAAGGGCAATTTACGCGCAAAGGCAATTCTCCGTGCTTTGGAGACAAACAAGTGCTACCTTCATTGCTGTTTGAGTGTGGCTTCGATTCATCTCAAGACTACCGAGGGGCTGGAGGGTGAGCAAATTGACCATGATATCATGCGACACCGATATGAGGCCATTTCCCAGCTTTGCCAAGCTTTGGGGGAAGACATCAACCACGAGGAGATCCTTGATGCGACACTCGCAATGATTTTCTTCCATTGCTCCGTTGGCCCTGCGGATGACTACTTGCCTGATATCCCCTGGTTTGATCATTTCCAGGCTGCATCCAATCTTGTCACAAGACTTGACCTCCCAACTGCCTTGATTCAAGACTCATACGGAGCATTGGCAACTCCATTCAGCATGAGCTTGACATCATGGATCGATATCCTTGGAGCAACAATGGTGGGCAAGACACCGCAATTCGCACACCAGTATCGATCAAAATACCTTAGTCAAACAATGTCTGGCTTGCGCGAGTTGATGGGATGCGACGATAAGGTCATGTACCTCATCTCTGAAATAACCTGCCTGGATTCTCTGAAGTCCGAGGGTCGAATCGACGGAATGGCTGTCTGCTGTCATGTGCAGCTACTTGGCCAACAGCTCAAGTCCACCGAGCCCGCGGATCCCACGCTAGAGAGCCCCTACCACCCTGTCACTGGAGCCATCCAGCCAGAGATTCTTACCAAAACTATCTCCCACATCTTCCGACTCGCAGCCCGCATTTACCTTTGCAGCCTTGTTCCCGGCTTTGATCGTAGCCAAGAAAGCAACGAGAGCTTGATCGCAGCAGTGACGAATGCACTTCAATTCATCCCTGCAGGTCCATATGGTTATGACCGCTCTCTGGTCTGGCCACTTCTCATGACCGGTGTTTTTTCCGGTCCATCAAGCCCCTTTCGCGCTGTTCTCGCTAACCGCACTGCGGCACTGGGTGATTATGGCGACCTTGGTAGCTTCGGTCGCATGTACCGTCTCCTCCAGGAGGTGTGGCGAATGACCGACGACCCAATCAGCTCTTCTCAGGTTTCGCCTGGAGATAAGTCTCACAACTCATCTCTTACCAGCCCAATCTCTAAGCTGGAAGGCTCCGAGTCACCCTCTGGCGCTGGCGCCACGATGGGTGGACGGGAGATCAAGAGGCAACAAGCACATTGGCGAGACATCATGAAGAGAAACAACTGGAACTACCTCCTCATCTAAGAAGCCCAGTCGCTTCTTATCTTCATTCCAGTTTTTTTTTTTCTTTTTTTCCTTCTGCTTTTTTCTTTCTTTCTGCAGAGGTTGACCCTCTTTCTGGTTCACCATTGCCTTGATGGTAAAAGATACCCCATTTCGCGATCAGATTCTTTTTCATTCTTAATATATCTTGTGTTTCATATTATAGAGGCAGAGCCTACACACAAGACAAAAGGAGCACTGGTTTGTTCCTGTACATAGCTTAATGAAAATTCAAAAAATTTCACGGACCTGGTTTTGCATACCTTCGCTAAATTCAACACTAGACTCATTGCTCCGAGCAGTATCTTGTTCCAACAACACCCCCCTCTTAGTTGTTGGAACTCTTGGCTTTGCGTATACACGCTTGCTACCTACCCCTAGTCCGTAGTGGCCTGCACAATGCTTGTCTTCTTGCCTGATTGTCATGGAAACTCACGAGATGGTTCTTTGATGTATAGTTGGCAAATAAGTTCGTTCAAATATCTACCTTCTCGAACCAAGAGGATTGGCTAGCCGCTCCCGAGTCGCTTGCAGAACACAACCCGTCGACAAAAATAGATGCACCAAGGGTCTTTGATATATCTACGGATATGGCACTTGGTCGGTGTTACTTCAGTATATGGCAAGGCGCTTATACTTAAGTAGCTCCAAAAAGCTAGGTATCCTGCGAAAAGCCTCCGGCCGTCCTCTCAATGCCACAGCGGCAACGAGGAACTTGATATAGCACCCTGGTTTCGTTTTCGCCCATATCTTGTCTCATATGTGGAAATGTACTTAAGTAGCGGCATGGGAGTACGAGGCAAAGCATCGCAATTGCAGCAGAATGCCAAGTCTCACATACCCCACTGGTGGGGAGTCTTAGCATTTGGGCGCAAAGGCATGGATCTTGAATCACCCACTGGCACTTGCTCAAATTATTCTCCGAAACTTCAGGATCAATTGAAGTGATTTTGCCATAGCCAGTCATGAAGTCTGCATGGGCGATTGAAGCTGACCTGACTACCTACTGCACTAGCTTCCCTCTAGCTCAAGCAAGGTTGGCTCAGGGTTGACACTGCATGAAATGAAACTTCCCCTAAAGATAACGATACTTAGTTGGTCATTCAGAAAATCTAAAGATATGTCAATTCTTCACGGATCTGTATATGCATGATCGATTGGACCTAAATCGAATTGCATATCTCAAACAAGGGTCCTTGTTTTATCAACTAGCTCAAAACATAATATATTCGAGGTACGAAACTGAGTTTATGCAGTCAAGCTGCAACCGAGAGAGGAAATCTTCAGGGCGTCAATCATGATACCCCTTAAAGCGAGCCGCCAACGGGGATGCAGCCTGCGCGCGTTAGGGCTGGACCAACCAGAGCATTATACAGTGCGCATAACAGAGCGTCGCCTAGGACAACAATCAGTTTCTCCGGCGGCTTCTGGTACAAGTAACCAGGGGCTATTGTGCTTCATATGGCGCGCGTCAATGATATTCTTGTATGCTCTTGCATTACGCCCTGGGCGGTTATGGGAGGCGAAAGACGAGAGAGGGAGAGGAGAAGTCAACGAGCTATAAGAGCAGATCATAGAAACATTCAAACTTGAATCATTCTTTTCACATCTTCACGTCTTCCACTTGATATTTCAACCCTCAGACCTTGACGGTCGAGCTTTTCTTTCTCTCTCCCCCTCTCTCTTTCTCTACGCAGGTCTGTAGAGAACTTGAAAAGGTATAGCTTTTACAATTGCTCTTCCCTTAAAAAAGAAGAAGATATTTTTATTTCAGCACAAAGGGTAAGTCAGATTTCACCGCCACCCTCTTGCCGCCGAGCCTGAAGGATTTTTGGGATGTCCCGCCCCCTTCAGCCCGTTCAGCCCTTTTCGGTTCTTTCCCCGTAACTGACGTGAAATATTACCAGACCAGTATCTTACGGTCCCAAACGTGAAATACGCTGTCACGCCTGTGCCCGTGCGATCATCTCTTCTGCCTTGCTCAGATAGATAAAAAAAGTCTCTCCGCATCCTCCTGTTCTGCTGCTGGTCAGCACTCTGCCTCTGTCCCAAGTCCCTTTATTACTTTTCTGCACCTTATAATTCTTTGCTTGTTCATCCTCGCCGATCAGTCTTTGACCTATCTTTCAACCTTATTGATCTCCCCTCTCGATCGCGACCTACTCAATTTCTTGACACCTGTTACTCACGCGCCCTTGGAAATATTTTGGTTACTCCTCGACATCAGTCAAAATGCCGAACGCCAAACCTGTTCTTCCGCCCCTCCAGACTCAGACACCAAAGAGTGCAGCGTATCCATCGCAACTTCACAATGGCTACATGCCCAGTCCCTCAGAGTTCATCAAGAAAGAATACCCGGCTCTCAGGTCGGCTCCTCTTGAGAACTCGTCAAAAGTTCACAAGGGTCCTATATCAAGTCCCTCCGACTACATCAAGCATGAAGATTTGGATCTCAAGACCCCAATGGAGGTGCCACCAGCCTATAAGGCATTCTTAGATACTCTCTCACAAAAGTTCGAGAAGTCTGGTACCTCGAACTCACCCACCTCCCAACCTGCGAGTGCTTTGAGTGGGTCTTTCATTTTCAGCGACTCTCTCAGGTCTCCAGATTCTGTGGATTTGAGATCCCCAACTGTATCTCTGCCGCCAGCCACACCTGCTTCAGCTGCACCACACCGAAAACGGTTTCCACCACCATACCGTCTTCGCACCCAGCACTTATCTATCCTATCACCTGGCGTGGACTCCCCTCGGAGTGCAACTCCTAGAAGTGCAACCATTTTACGATCGCCATTCTCACCGGATTGGAAATTACGTTATTACGAGGCCCCCCACAGCGCAACTGGAAAGTCTGTCAGCGTGAGGGAAATTGTTACGCGCACAGTGACCTACAAGCGCACTCAGCTTGAGGCCCCTCCTAAGGGAAAACGACGCAAGTGTCGGGATGCCAAGGAGGTTGAATGATACTCTAAGCTGACGGCTGATTCTCTTTGGTCAATGCATTTGGTTCATTGGAGGCTTTAGCGTGGGGGCTGGATCTGGCGTTGGGACGAGGGATTTGCATTTAAAATCATACACTGAAAGTGCTGGCGTTTTGCTGTCTCGTTTACTTCTGTTTCCTGGATGCTGTGCTATCCTCTGCTATAATTAGGAGATACCTAGCCATGGTTTGACGGCGGCTTGAAAACACAATACTATTCGTGACTATGATTTACTTTTGGGCATCCATACATCTGTGCGGAATAGCGAAAGTTATGACACCGACCGACTGATTATGGTCCGCCTTGGGTCATAATTATTACAGCATCTATGCAATAATCTTGCATTGTTGAACCGTAGTATTCATTTTGACTACTCTATAATTTCTTACCCTGTTTCTTGCGGCTAGAGAGTGCTTTGTTCCCCCTTTTTCCCCGCCTAACCAGTCAATTCAGTCCACGAATCCGTTCAATGTTTGCTCCTTTGAAAGCGTTCTCGAGTCCGCCTCGGAGAATTGAACATGTCATTACCTCTTATCGAATCGGAACGAAGGGGCCTCAGTTAGCACCTCAGCGTTAGCTGCTTAACCAACAGTTAAATGATAATCGGATAGGACGAAATTTAATGGGGATTCGCTTTGACCACGAGGCGACATGGATAACAAACCCGATTCAATGAAAGCATGCTTAGCCCCCAAGATCTAGACTGCTAGGTGAGAAACCAACACCAGTCGTAGGCCTTAAACAAGCGCCTTGTGTTGGCGCCACACATAAGCTCGAGAACCGCTATTACTATCCCTTCCAATATTTAGCCCACATCTTGCAGCTATCCAAGAGGCTCTTAATGCAAGAACATGAGCCTCATGTCATGTTCAAAAGTACCTTCAAGACTTGTGCCCTTTGGATACGCAGCCAAAGCTACATAACGGTCTCGAGATACCTAGGTATGAGGAGCGTCCTGCCTTCCATGGCTCTCTTGTCTCAGTATCAACAAATCCTAAATAAACAGTATCATGCCCAAGGATGAGGGATATCTCACCGGCCCCATTTCTATACCAACGGCAGGAAGGCGCAGGAAGATAATATGCGAGCAACGTACCGCCCCCAAAGTCCCAAATCCAAAGCCCCTATCCCTGTCCTCAATTGGCCAGATATCTTGATTGAACATGAGGCGCTACACAGTCAAGTCGCAATCCATGGTTTGCTGCTGGCGTAAATGCCTCTCGACAATTTTGGAAGAGCTCTGACTCGTATGGCATCAAACCAACAAAGGATTTTTGGAATGAAGCTCTGATAGGGTAAGATTATGTACATCTGAGAGAATTACACACCGTGTTCACCTGTCTATTTCTTCGCAATTTACGAAGGAATGGCCCCGAATGCGAATGATTATACAAGACATTAGGAGACAGGACATTCTTCCATAAGCCGTGAAATGTAATATTACCACCCGTTTTATTACACATTGATATCCAAAGGTTTTATTACCATACATACGCAGTAGGTATCCAGCGCAAGGCTCATTACTTAATTACGAAGTACATACATGCATGCACATATTTCTGAGCAGGGCATTCAGTAACATCACATTTTCTTTTCCCCTTCATGCAGGAAGATCGTGTCTACAGCCCACTATTCATTAGGATACCTAGTCAACATACGAAAAACAAGTCCGCTGCCACACCATCAAGAGATGTACGGATTATGTGCTGCAGGCGACCGGGGCGTGACAGTGAAATCAGGAACGCTAATTGGGCAAGATAGCGCCCCCCCCCGTGTTTCAACTAGTCGCTGAAGAAATGTGACCAGGATAAACGATCAATCTGTGACTAGTTACAGAGTAGTTACGGAGTAATTTTCTCAATGGTCTCCCTCCTTCCGAAACCCCGGTTTCAAGCCACTCAAACATGTGAGATACATCAGGGTGGTTTCACGTTATAGTGATTAAGCGTGTCATTAACTTTGGTAGAGTTTTGGCAGTCAACCGAAGTGTAAAGATCGTCGTGCAAGATCACATTACCGGCTAGAAACATCAATACAGCATTTGACCCAAATTGCAGCGGTGTCTGTTAAAACAGAAAACAAAACATAAAACGGTAACCTTTTTTTGCCAGAGATTAGGTTTCTTGTTTCTCGGGCACTCCTCTGTCACTTCTTCTGGTTATATAGAGCGTTTATATTGGTTCTTCGCTCGATCATGATCACAAAGAACGCAGGATAAAAATAAAATGCCGCTCACATCCTTGAGGCTCTGGCCAATGAGCTTGGGATTCCAAAGGTGTGGTAGCTGCGATTAAGCGCCGGCGCTAAGCCTATTTCAAACGAGAGAACAGTGGAACACCGGGGATAAGGTGATGCCCCTCCGCCATGTCCCCACTAGTGGAGGTAACGGCATTTCATTGGATCATTCTCTTGCGAATAGCGGGGCAAGCGTGACGTGGTTGAGGCCAATTTCCTTTCTACGCTCAGCTTAACGCTGACTTATTTTTATGTACTCAATACTCTGTACGGAGTACTCCGTACTAGTAGTGTGAACTTACCCACTCCCGTTCAGGCTAGTCTTGTGATAAAGTGAATTAGTCACAGTAATTGAATTCCAGTAGGTACGGAGTAGCACTTGATATAAAAATAGATACAAGAGTGATATCGGTTATAATTACGGACACCATCATAGCAAGCATTGGGATGTGATATGCACCAGCACTCCTGAAGTCATAAGTTTAGAACATTAATGGGGATAATTTGAAAATTTTCAAGTTCAAGATCACTTGGAGTGATCGCCATTTTCTCTACCCTCCATCAAAGAAGAAGGGATCCCAAGGTTTGGGCCAATTCGGATGATGCTGATGTGAGACCAATGACATCAAGACGATGAGAGCACCGTGCATAATATGTGGGCTCTGCATATTCCCAGGTGGTGTTATATTCCGTGTGATCTCGTACGCTCCGTTGCCTATTCATAGAAATTAACAACGAGTGCGGAGTAGTTCTAAGAAACTACTGCAGGACTTGCATTCTTGGCTTAATCGAAAAGTACAGGGCTGTGATATTTTTGGAAATGAACGTCATGTCAATTGCAATTTTATATTGAGGTACTTCATAGCAAATGGGGTCTAAATTTGGAGACATTGCTGGATAGAACAGCATTTTATATACTTGCGAGGAAGGCTCCTGGGCTTCAAGTGTTTAGAAATCAAACCATTGACTTGAGCTGTGGATATTATGTGCAATATACATTGACGTTCCTGTTCATAGCCCAGTGTATGACTTGAGAAGGATTTCAAACTCGGCTTTGCAAGGTTTCAAATTTCTAAGCTCCAGAATCAACGCTAATAATCACCGGTCTATAGAGTACGAGTACTCGTACGGAGTATGACCTTCTTTGCTCCACTCATCTACGGTTAGTCCGCGTCTTTAATCACAGGAGAAAGATTACATCCTATCAGAAGCTGTTAGGTCTCATATTCCAGCTCTTTGAACCTCGCTTTGCCATACTACAGTCTAATAATAGTTCTATATAGACCCGAAGCTCTAGACATGGATGTCTTTGACTTGTCGATCAAGGGCAGCTTAGGGGCGTCAATTTCCCAAGACCAGATATTTTCTGTGACAATCATGATGGCTTTGGGCAACTGTCCCGCACATCAGCTTCTGGTTGACGGGCCATACACCCAATCCGGTTGTTGCTTCTCTCGAATGCTTCTCATCTCACACCAATTGGCATTCGCCATTCAAGCTCCTCAAGCAATCTCGATTCTTGACTTGGGAATTCAGGATAAATTTAGAAGTGATAACTTCACTAGTGATACCTCTCCCGCTGACGCTATCACTTTGAACAACTCCCCCTGCATGATCTCCTCTGATTATCTTGTTTGAACCTTCTTGATCCCGACCTTGCATACTGCATAGGGCTTTCACGCACGCCATCTATTCCTGTTCACCATGCTTTCCTGTCTTGTCGCTGGTTTGTACGATACAGTATGATACAGAGAGCTTTTACTTACCAAAGGTTTGGATATGACTTGCACTTAGCTTGGTAGTATGATCCACCTCTGGGAATCGCTCCTGAATCTGGTGCACCTTGGTCCACTCTCCAGCTCGGTTCTATAATTAACACATGGGGAGCCCTGAAGCCCTGGATCGAATTTGTTTCCAAAGATAGAAACCTTGTCTCAGCACGAGTGTCCCCCGAACGAAGTTCTTCTAAAGTTGACGAACATCCTCTTGAAGTCCCAAGCTCTGGACTCTTCAACTTTCTCCAGGGATACTTATTTACACCCATGAAAACGACTCGAAATCTGCCCAAAGTTGCATTGATGCACCTTTCCAAGGGTTGTCGTCATGTTGACTTCCCCCAAAGACCAGCTGGGCAGGGTTTCTGATACATTCGGAAATCAGCATTCGGATCCATGATCGACAACTTCTCGTCTTGAACACAGAATTGTGTGCATCGCAACACCGAAAAGCTGGCGACTCTGCGAGTCACACTTTACATATCTTTGGGGAAGATTCCAGGGGTTTGGTTCATCTGTTGACATTTAATACAAATGTTTATCGAGCATCTACGCTTGTATTTTGTCCTGTGGCTTGATCAGCTGACTCTAAGTACATCCAGTTAAGGAGTCGGCAACGACCAAGGTGTATGCGAATATTGAAGGAACATTGAACAAACGACATCTACGGTGACTCATTTAGAAAATCGGTGGGTTTCTTTGTTCAAATTACTATTCCACAACCTTGGAAATGACCGACTCGAAGAGGGCCCAATATATAGATCAAGGGAAACTCCAAATCTTTGATGTTGACGAGCCATGCATAAAGCGGCATGCCAAGAAGATTCTATAATTAGAGGTCCAATAAATTCCCCTGTCCCAACTCACACCCTTGCAATAGATGAAACTCCACGAGTAGACCCGAACACGGCAGGGCCTTTGACAATCGAAGGAATTGCCTGCGTTTCCACAATCCCGTGACCGAAGTTCGATAGCAAACCCCGCAGTGCGCCCTTTCGATATTCTGTCCACTCTTCTCCCTTTCCCGCCTGGTGCCGCCCCCATTCTCTAGTCCCGATTTCAAGTCTTCGAGTACGCGCCCCGTCAGCCTTCGCAGTCATGGCTCAAGTACCGCCCGCTTTCACCCCGGACAGCGAATTCACCGAGCTAGAAACCCCGCGAGGTCCTCCCAATGGCAGCCTTTCTGTCACTGCCATGGCTCGATTTGAGTTTGAGGCAGGCAGGGCCAACGATGGCACTAAGATATTGATGGTTGAGTGGGAGGATGACGATCTGACCCGATCTGCAACCGAGGGTTCATGGCATATTTCGTGGGCCGGCAAGGATGCGGTGATGCCCGCCGATGAACGACCAAGTGATAGCCTTCGCCGCTGCTACTTCTTGCTTCCGCCTAATACTACGATTCCGCCTGTTGTTACACTGTCATTCGAACACCACTCCACAGATAAAGAACCGGAGGATGCTGCCGCGCCTTCCTCGACCCACGCGGCAAAGCCGCAAGAGTCTCTCCAGCTCAATCCCCTCCCCGCTATCTTCCCTCCAGAGCTTGGAGCAACAGGCCGTGCGGCGGGGAAGAAAGGAGTACTGCATACTATTTGGGCAAAGAAGCGGCTTCGCGTTCTTGAGAATGAGATTGAAGCGGAATCGCGCAACAACGTGGAAGGAATTGCGCTGCTCATGGCAATCCAAGAAAAAGAGTGGATTGAGCTGAACTTTGGAGTTGGGGCGCGCGCTATTGATTCCGTTGCCAGCAGCCACGACTCTGATAATTCGTCATCTTTATACCCAGCTACACCAGTGTCGCCCGTCAGCGGGCGAAAGCTGAGTGACAAGCTGAAAGGCCTAAAATTGCAGACTAGCGGAGATCTATCTGGTAATGGTAATTTTCCCTGCGCACTTCAGACAAATGTTCCCCAAGCTAACTCGGGATCGCCAGGCTCCCATGGCACCTCTCTGCTATCGCCGCAATCTCCTGATGTTGCTGTCTCGTCATTCAGCTCGTTCAGGAACGTAGCTAATCGACACATCCATTCTATGCCAACCCCTAACACTAATCCCACCCCAACACCAAGTATCCAAACAAATATCTCCGGTCCTGAATCTCTCAAACCGGTCGCGCTTTTCCCACCCGACTTTCTCCAGGAAGCCCAGCAAGCCAGTGGGCCAACAGGTTTCGCGGCAATGGGTGCTTCTATGGGTGCGCTACCCCGGGGCACGAGTAACGATTCGGGCGAAGAGCTATTCGCTAAAGCATTGAGCCCACGCTCACCGGATCTGCCTCGCAGTCCCTTCTCATTTGCCTGAACTTCTTATGCATGATCTCATACCATCTTTTCACGACTTTGCGCAATGATTCCCCTTCTGCGGTACCATACCTTGTCCATATGTCCTATGCTTCTTTTTTTTAACCTTGTTACATCCATCTATTTGATACATTGCGAACGCATATCATGCCTCATACTTGTGCATTATCATCTGCTTTCTTGTTGTATGGATATGCCATACCATTTTATGGGTCACATATGTACATAGGGGACAATCCCACCCCAAGACCCCTCACAAATAAGAGATCCCAAAGCTACAGCAATATCCTTATTTGCTTCACGGATGCCAAACCACGTAGGCTACGAATCAAGGTAATGGAGCTAGACAATTTAAGCAAAGCGATCAATCCCACAATTCAAGCCCAGTATCCAATTCAGGACGAATGAGAACGAAAGGAAAAGACAAAAGGCAGCCAACAACTCAATCAATTGCCCCTCTTGCGCTGACTCCCTTGTCGGCCAGGCTTACCAGCGGTAGCAGTGGAGGTACCAGAAGTAGCACCGGAGTCAGCAGACTCTTTCTCCTCCTTTTTATCCTTGGCAAACGACTCGGTTTCCTGCGCATCCTTGCGCTCGGCATACCATTGACCAGCCTGGAGGACCAGAATGCCAACCAGAACTAAGGCAAGAATGGTATTACTAGCGGAAAGGACCTTGAGGGAGTCCTCGCGGCCGAGGATCTGCTCTTTCTCATCGGGGGTGGTGGCGAGCTCGGCGCCGTACTGGCCCGCTGAGGCGAGGCGCAGACCCTTGACGATGTTGGCGATGTATACTGTTACACCGCACATGTAAAGGACCAGGGAGGCGCCGTCGAAGAGCATGTTTGACTCGGAGGGTTTGTAGAGCTTGGTGAGGAGGCCGGCGAGACCGAGGAAGATCACAATATGCAGGATGCGAGGAATGAGCGGGGGCGAGGCGTGCAGGAAGCGCAGGTGGGCTTCCAGGTAGTCATAGTGGGCAGCTGGGGTGGTCACGGTTGACCAGAGGATTGGGTAGTCGTAGGGGAATAGAGAGAAGATGATGCCGAGGAAGAAGCAGGTTGCTGGTTCAGGTTAGTTTGACCGGTGGCCTTTCGGTGGGACTTTTGGATCTGCGGACGTACGGCAGACAATCAGAAAGGTCGCGAACGACCCGCTTTTGAATGCCATTATCGGAAGGGGAGTCGGTTATGAGGATTGGGGAATGGAATTGGGATGAAGTGAGGAGTAGACAAGGGGGCAAGACAAGAGGCCTGTGGTCGCTAAGCGGGTGCCAAGCCTCGTAAAAGATAAGGTCTCTCTATCTCCAGATGGGGATGTTTTAGACAAATGACTGTCGATTGATCACTAATGTAAATATGATACAGGGGTTTTCAACGCCTTCGTTCAAAAAAATGCAAAAAAAAGTGGTATCTTCCAAAATATTCAGCCCCGTAAATGCAAATGTACATAACAACATCAACGCTGGTACCGAGGTAATGACTCGTCTGCATGCGCCGTCCCACCAACCAGTTGGTCGTCCTCATCGAAGACCGGTGCACTTGGCCCAGCCTGCTCCGGTTCGGGTTCATCTTGAGGCGCACTTACCTGATCTTGCAGTCGGTGGCGCTCAAGCTCCTGTTTATCATCTGAGGCACCTGGCTCACTGGGCCCGGCAGTGCCGTTCACAACGACAGTCTGCATGGAGTCTGCAGAACGGGTAATATGCGGCCTCCCGGTGGTGTCCGGGGATGGTAGATGCTCATAGTCTTGGAGATGGTGGTCGTCTGGCAAGACTGGTGCGGTTGGGACATCCGTCGGCGAGGTAGATGGCCCTGCGTCGTCTTCGCCCGGCGGTTGACTAGGCAAAAGGGCCTCTTCATGTCGGCGCACCCGTGCTTTCTCGTCCACGGGTTCCTCGAGTTCCGGAGGTGCAAGCATTGGTTCCATGGGCTGGAAGTTTTCAGAGTATTCCTCTGGATATTCAGCCCAATGTTCCTCTTCCTCGTGGAAATAGTCCTCTTGAATCCCGTGGTCAGAATGGGGATTAGGCAATGGACTTGCCTCAGGCCACTCTTCCCCATCTACAGGATTGACTACCATAGTAGATGTAGGAGGCACCACTTGTGACATGGTGGAGTCACCAGCTGTAGATGAGGTGCGTTTCGTTTTCCCTCGCTGAGAATCGCGAGTGCCAATGACGACCTCAAAGGCCACTGATATAACACCTTTCTCGCGACGGATCGCATCTGTGTCAAGAATATTACCAGCCCAATTGGCAGTAACGCCGTTTGAATCGGTCGGGTTGAGAACTTGCCCGCTGGGCGAGAAATTTGTGCCGCCCGATACCATATTAAAACGTGGAATGAAGCGATCAGGCGAGGTGATCTTGCCACGCAGGTCCGTAACCACCTCCACGTAGTAACGGAAATTGATCATGGCCCCGGGTACACGCGTGATGGTTGGGAACGCGTCCTCCGGGATCCTGATAGACGTTTTGACTACTGCAGTCATATTGCTAGGATCGACGATCAGTGGGGCGAATGTCTGCGACAGATCTTTACGAAATGTGCTGCTTGTTCGACTTGTTCCCAATGTGAGTCCTCCAAGCCCAGTCCTTGATCGAGGATAACAATCCTCGTAGACCGGCTTCTTTCCAGCTGCCGTTGATCCAACGGGAATTGCGGGATGTAGATCAATACGACCCTGGCGGTATAGAGTTACCATGATGCCATGCGCACTGCGCACTTGTTTGAAATGGTTTATAGTGACTGTGATGGGTAATGTATCGCCGGGAAGCACCCCGGCGCGCAAAAGCTCAGCCTTGGCGGTGATGGTTTTGTCGGAGACAGAGGCTGTCGCGCTGCGAGATTCGCTATTTCGTCCACTCGTGCTCGCCGATGAACTTGGGTCGCTCGCGATCTGAAAGCTCAAGCTACTTTCACTCGGTCGGCTGGATGAGCTGACATTGCTTGGCGAGGGGCTGAGCGGGGGCCTGGCGTCCACCGAGGGGGCTGCGCCACTTATAGGGGTATCGATTGAAGATGTGTCGGGTGCTGCTGTTGCGTCCGAGCTTTGTGATTTGGTTTTGCTCCTCGTCTTCGAGCGTTTTGATATAGGTTCCAATGTGACTATGCGAGCTTTGGGGGCAGGAAATGGTGCGATGTCGATGTTTTCTAGGAGGTTGACTCGCCTTCGGCAGGTGAGAGTAGGATTCATGGTAGTTGGTCGGGTTAGGGTAGAGGTAAGTGAGTAGCCGATGATGCCGCGTTCGAACTGCAGGTGGCCGATTCGTTAGCTTGGTACGGTCGTGGGGGTTGGTCGCACTTGGATACGCACGTTGATGCTGCTGGGAAGCGCATAAGGCGGAAGCCCCATTTCGAAACGGAATTTGTAGATGCCCTCCTTCAGCCGACCGTCACCACAGAGAACAACTTCATCTTCAAAAAGGGTTGCCAATCCGTTTCCCATGTATTCTGCACCTCGTCGACCCCGCCCTGGTCCCAAGAAACCCAAGTCGGGGGTGGCTTCGCCTGCCGGAATCGCGTTCTTGAACACTTTGACATACCCATGGAGACAAACCACGATATGCGTGATGCGGACGGGCCGGACGACTGTCACAACGACAGTTCCCTTGATGACATCACCGGGGAAATAGGAGCGCCATGGGTCATCGGGGTCGATATAGAAGTCAGTGATGCCTCGATTGCGTTGGCCAAGCGGAGAGCGAAACTTGGAGAGAAGCGAGTTTCGATTCCGACTGGGCGGCAACGTAGGTTGGGTGGGAGGGTTGGCGGACATGACACACAGACACACGACTGCGATCTACTGCATCTATACAAGACAACGTGACAGAAGGAGGGGGGTGGGAGGGGATAGACCGAGACCACGTTGACACCGATCGGAAAGGCACGGACGCGACCACAAGTCTCCCAGGCACGGAATGGCGGGGATGCGTGGACAAGCCAGTGATCGATGTCAGGGAGAGCGATCGGACGCGATATGTAGATCGTCTCGTCGAGAAGGGAGAGATCTGGTGTCCAGGGTCCAGTGCAGTCGACACACGGCCTGGTTCCAAACGTTGGAATGTATCCTCCACGCGCCAGGTATCTTCGTTGGGGTCCAGGGAACGGAATGGAGGACTATGATCGAGGGTCTCTGTACCACATTGTTTCCTGTGACATCGAAGCGCGCACTTGAGACGGGGGACCCCCACCAGGGACAGGTAGTGTAGACCGCGTAGGTATCAAGATAAGGTGGGTAATGGGATGCGGAATGTTCAGGGCGAGGGACCAATGGCGAGGGAACCGGGGGGTAAGTCGAGCAGAGATGCAGGCGCAGAAGAGAATCAAACACAGTGGAGGAATGTGGGACTGGAGAGCACGAGCCAGTCTTAAAATGGAAGAAAAGAGAAGAAAGAGAGAAGAGACCGGAGGAGAGCGGGAGGTTTGCGATAAGCCTGGGGGCGGAGAACGAGAGGACATTCGATTCGCGTGTCGCACGGTCAAGCTTCTCTTGGTGGCTCAACTAGTGACCCCCTTTTCTGGGCAATTTACGACTATCACTTGGGCTCTTTGTTTCAGGTCTTTGCTTATTATTTGTAGGAATATTCCGGTCACATCCTGTGTGTCTTTTTTCCATACAGAGTACCTGCTCAAATCAGATCTCTGCAAGCCCTCCATCCACGTACTCATCCCCGTAGCAGTCCTGCAGGATCATATCCACCATCTGGCGGTCCCCGGTCAGCTTGCGCATATATTCCTCCAGAATGTAGATATTATCCGTCCACTGCAACGCTTCCTGTCGAAACTCCGCTAGCTCATCCTGCACTTGCTTTGCACCCCTGTTGCGGAGCGAATTTGGCCCGGTCAGTTGGGCCTCTGCATTCCGTACCCAATCCACTGCGGCCTGGAGTTCGGCTTTCCTGGCCGTCAAGGAATCCCTTTGCCCCTCATCGGCTTCTCCTCGGAGGCCAGTCTCCGCAACCAAGCCCGCTTGGGCGTCGGCACAAGCCTGTCGGGTATTCTCCACATCCGTACTCACCCGGGCCAACTGACGCTCACGCTCACGCTTTTCATCGCTGCTGAAGCTCCAGTACCAATTTCCACTGCCGATCTTTTCCACACGCACTTGATTCTCGTCGGTGAGTGCCTGGATGTACTCCTTGACCTGGATGCCATTGATGGAGGCAACAGCGGGTAGTGTTTTCTCGAGATCCTTGAGCGTGTGACAGGTCCCAGTGGCGCGCAGGTGAGTCAGAATCAGGTCTTGCTTAGCGCTTTTGGATAATTTGGGGGCCTGCGCGGTGTCAGAACGAGACCAGGATATCACCAAAGTCCCATAATCCCGTACCATGGTGCATAGTCTTTCAATTCCCTTTCAATGTCCTTGAATCAAACAAGCTTTGCCTGATTGGGACGGTGTGGGACGGCTAAGCATTTCTTGGTGGAGGCGCGGATGGGATGTGCAACGAAAGACCCTGAAGGGGGGTTCTGCAACATCTCACAGCACTTCGTCTCTACTTACAACGTCATATTGACATCTTGGGACTTTCGCAATTTGGACTCAATTACACCGTACAGAGGACTTTTATTCTTGTTCTTAATGGTTTAATTTTTTTTTTTTTTTGACCAGATGCTTGCGTAAGGATCATCATACTGGTTTGATACTGTCCAAGGCTAGATTAAGACTGCCCGCGCTGTAAGAAGTACTCCGTACAACTCTCCTTTATGATCATGCCATCCAAAGCATAAAGCAATTAAGTCGGACCTAAGATCCCGGAAGGATGAGCACTGTCAATTCCTGGAAGACCCTGCTTGGACAGATCAGATGGGCAAGTAGATCTTTTCTCTGCAACATGACTTGCGTCCGACGACACGGTGTTGCACCGTTACGGACCGGAATTGAGACGATATATGCAGATTGCACGGCCGCAAGAGAGCTTTCTCCTGCATATGATGTGAATAATGACCGAAACATCCCAAACCGGCTCAATAGCCGATAGGGGGGACCCCTACAGGTGTACAAGTCTGACCTTTGAGGATGGAGCACAGTGAGGCGGAGCATCGTCATTGCCTGACGCAGAGAGGATTGACTGGTCTTCTGTTTCTTGTCCCTTTCTTGTCCCCGGTGAAGGGTGAAATAACAGACAGGATATCTGCCGACACCATGCGTAGCGTGGCCGTGCCACTGCAGGACATGAAGCGGCCCGATTCGACACCAAGGGCGTGGGGTGAGCCCGTAAAAGACCATGCACAAATCTTGATCCTGGGCAACCGATATGAAAAGCCTCCGAGGAAGTGGGGGGTCCACAAAGGAGGATATCAATCGCGTGGACACTTCATCGGCCCTCCTCAAGCTCGGTCTCCGCATCGGTCGTGAGGGACACCGAACGAGCCACTTTGCGTCGCTTGGACGTTTTGCGCCCCTTGCTGTTTGCTCGTTTTCTTCGCGGAGCTCTCGCAGCGGAATGCGTCGTGGTGTCGCTCTCGATGTCAATATCTTTCTCGTCCTCCGATAGACCCTGTCCTTCAACAAGGACCAGATCGCCTGTGTCGCCCAGCTCCTCTGTGGCCATCTCCTCAATCAGAATGCCCATCGCTAGTAGTGCTGTCTCATCCATGGTTCGGTGGTCATCTTGGCCGTTGTCGGCTGTAGCGTACTCGAAGTAATCGGCGGCATAGGCATGCATCGCCTCAAGAAGCTCGGAGCTCGGCAAGGGCTGATCTGGTGAGAGTTTCTCGTTTGCGAAGTATTTTTCTTCGTCGAGAGAGCGCGTAGCCGGATCTTGCCCGCGAAAGAGAAGCTCCTCTGGACGGAAGGCTCGAGCGCCTGATGAGGCTGTATCACGGTATTGCGAGGCAAATGACTGTATGGCTTTGACACCGCGGGGGTTGACACGACCTACTCTGGGTGAGTCGCCTGGTCGGGCAATGCAATCAAAATAGGGCCATACCAGCTATCGCATCGTAGAGATTGGCGCGGCGTTTGGAGGGTTTCGAGGCCTGTCCATCCCGCAGGTCATCTTCCTCGACTTCGGCAAGACTTTCTTCATCCGAATTAAGCCACCGCTCAGAAGACATGGCCAAGGTGTGAATGAAATCAATCAACTATCGGCATGTCGTTGAAAACTGCGCAGAAAAGACAACCAATCGCGCATCGCAGCCAAAATGCGCCGACACGAAATTAGTCATCGATGCCGAGGGCCCATCACCCGAGCTCTCCCCGCGCTCAACGCTTCCATGTCAGAGCACCAGCGCTGATGAATGAATTCCTATCTGCTGAACAGAGCCCTCGGGTCTGTGAATCCTAATGACTTTCACGTCGCCCAAACCGACAGGCTAGTGCACAGCATCGAACCTGCACCAGGCATACGCTTCTCCAGTCGCAAAACAACTGCGCCAACAGATCAGTCCGAAGATGATGTGGCACCCTTGGACCAGGAGCTAGGTGCTGCTGCGGAGGTGTTTGCTCACAAGTCTGGTGTTAATTGTCTTGCCGTGGACCAGTTTGAGGGCCGATAGTGTGTACCAAAAGGGCTAATATCCAGCATTGGCACTGACGTAGCGCAGTATGATATCCGGGGGCGCTGACCCATCAATCCACCTCTGGGACCTTGAGACACGAGGCTCAGAACTCGAACACGTACACCAGGCTTGCGCGTCGGTCAGCAAGTCGTCTCACCCTGACGCGCATACTCACGCACTTACCTCCCTCTCGATCTACCCGTTCGACCCAGTGCCCTCGACTATCTTCTCGACGGCACATGATGGTACATTAAAGCTTTCGGCACTACAATCGCCCGCGATCACCCCCGTCCATACATTCAACCTCGACTGCACACCCTATTCGCACTCCTTCTCGTCGAACCCAGGATCCACGTTACTTGTCGCAGTTGGCACGTCCGAACGATCAGTCCGACTGGTAGACCTCCGATCCGGACTATCCACACAAGGACTACCAGGACATAATGGAGCGGTCCTATCAGTGGCATGGGCTCCCCACCGACCGCATCTACTGGCATCCAGCTCCGTAGACAACAGAGTGATCATATTCGACGTCAGACGTGGCGGGCACAATTCAGCCATTGCAACTTTGGACATGGACGACTCAGTTGGCCTAGTGGCCCCAGGGACAGGGACAGTGCCAGTATCTCACGAGAGTCGTCTGGCATTCTCCCGTGACGCGCGTGCCCACAACGGGCCCGTGACAGGAGTACGCTGGACGTCTAACGGCAGCCACATCGTGACAACGGGGCAAGATGCGCGGATTCGAGTCTGGGATGCTGGGACTGGTGCTAACACACTTGTTCATTTTGGTCCTCGCGTTCGCAATAGCTCTACGTCTCATCTGGCGGAGCGGGCACCATTACTCGTTCCCAAGGGGACTATGAATCCAGGTCATGAGGCTCTACTTTGGTCGAACTTTAATGAACAGGATGATCGTGGGGAGATCTTCATGTTCGAACTTCAAGAGGGTACTTTCCTCAAGCGTCTCCGTGTGCCAGGAATTATGGCCGGGTCGCAAAACATGCGTGGACGATCAAGTGCTCTCAGCGCTGCGCGGGTCAATGATCTTGTCTGGCGTGGGAACGGTGGGTCAGGTGAGGGGATCGAACTATTCTCTGCGCATGGCGATGGGACGATTCGCAGTTGGGCGTCCCGTGACCCCGACGGTGAACCTGATGAGGCCGAAACAGCAGCCAACGCCGATCGCAAGAGGAAGCGAGATGTGCTGGATGAGATCTCCCGAGGAATCCTGGGAACCGATCAACCCAGTCTACAAGTGTGAACAAAATTTACTACGCCATGAGAAATACCCAGAATAATTTGGTACAACATTGTCCAATTGCTTGAGTTATCAGATAATTCGCCATTCATAACATCATACACCAGCCTCGTTGTCATTCCGTATACAAGAGCGCTGTCCATATCCAAAAGTCCCCGAGCTTATGACTGGTAACGCTCATATTCACTCTTGGCATACTTTGCATGCTTGAGTTCGCGAGTATCACCATGGCCGGCATGGTGGTTGGCGCCCATGTACGCATGCTTAGACTCAACGCCAGCGGGCATTGAGTTTCCAGTGCCAGTGATGACCTCACCGGTCTGGCCAATATCCCGAGTAGAGCGTGGGAGGTCGGTGGCGTTATCAGCGGCCATGGCCGTGGAGGGCTCAGCGATGCCGGCATTGTCGAAACCAAAGTGCTCGGCGCGCTGGTCGGGGCGAGGTACTGAGGGGATGGTGTTCATTTTTCCAGCATCATTGGGGATGGTTGTGCCAGTTGTGGCCATTTCAGAGAGGCTTCCGCCCTGGTGAGGATCTTGACGGACCATTCTGGTTGTGGTTGTGGTTGTGGTTTGATGAGGGTTGATGAGGGTTGATGCGGTTGGGAATTGCGTGAAGCAAGTAGAATGAGATAGTATGCAAAGGATGTATGGGAAAGGAGAGGATGCTTGGAACATTGCCTTTTATATGCCATTCCATGGTCTCGAGTCTTGATTTAATGCCTAGCACTGATGTCACTGCTGATGTCTGGTGATGATGGAGCGATGATCTCACATGAGGCGATATCTTGATTCAGACGAAGGAAGTCGGTGGAAAGCACGTTTAAGGGGGATAAAAACCGCTTTCGATTCTGCATTACAGCTGTCGCTGTCAAGACACTGGCAACGGGACCACAAGTACTGTCCTCGAACCTGTTATCAAATTGGAGACCCACTTCTGCAGATCAAAGGCTCCCGGCATCTCCAACCGTGAATGAGAGTTCTCAGCGGGGGGTTTCGAACAGTTTCCTTAATACGATTGAATTGTCTACATACATACACGGCCAGAGCTTGCTATTGAGTAGCTGGAGGTACTATGAGGCTGTACGGTGAGGGGAGGGCCGATTGGGTAATCAGGATCTTCTGATGACTGAGGTTCATGGATTCATGAACCATGCGAAGAAATTTCAATTCAGCTTGTGGATTACTCTTGGAGTATGTTAAATGAAATGGGACATTATAATGCAGTCAGACACGTAAGGTACATGAGGTGTTTCGCAAAGAAGTGATATAGAGAATGTATGGGAACTAAGCCCGAACGAGTGACAGGATGGTGGATTGCACATGACCAATGACGAAAGCGTCTAGAGAATGAAAGCGAGGACACCCATCACGGCGGTAGCCGCGGAAACGAGACCTCCTGAGAGGCGAGGGGCGGCACCCATGAACATGGTGCCAGCGCCATGGGAGTTGGAGGGAGAAGCAGCTGCAGATGAGGAGGCAGCCTTCTTCTCAGCGTCCACACCGGTAGGCATGTTCAAGCCGTGGGTACCTGAGGGAGTGGCCATGGAAGCACCGGAAGAGGCGGGGGTTGCCATGGGCACGTGGACGGGGATCATGGAGTAAGAGGCAGCGTGGCTGTTAGGGCGCTGTGAGGCGTAGTCATAGCCGCGGTCAAGTGCGTCAGATGAGGCAGGGGCCGGAGCAGAGACAGCGTACGACATCATCTTGGGGTCGACTTGAGCAGACTGCTGGGCAGTGTTGGCCATGGGCACGGCGCTGGTCATGATCTTGGGGTCAACTTGGGCAGACTGCTGGGGAGTGTTGGCCATGGGAACGGCACTGGTCTCCATGGAGGGGGCGGACTGGTAGAGAACGCGGGTAGCCATGGCGGTCTTGTACTGGGTCTTGGTGACGGTGCGGACGACCTCGTGGACCTGAGCGGAGCACTCCCCGTTCTCCTCGCGAGGAGGGGCGGACTCCTCCTTGGAAGAGAAGGAGGCTGGAGGGCCCTCAGAGTGGTCCCCTGAGGGAGGAGCCTCTTGGTGGGAAGGCGAAGCTCCCCAGGGACCGTCAGGGTGGTGGATGTGGGTAACATCCTCCTTGACAGCGTGGTTGTCCTCGCTGTGCTCGTCGACATCAGTGTTCGAATCGACATTGGTGGGGTCGGAGTAGGCAGTGCCGTCATCATCGTCGTTGGAAGGACCACCGAGAGCAGTGCCATCACCGCCAGTAGATTCACGAGTAGGCGCAAAGGCACGACGACCGAAGGGTCCAACGGCACCTGCGGAAGGTCCATTGTTCACCTGCTTAATGGCGTTGAGGTCATAATCCTCCTCGGGGGCCCAGTAACCAGGGTAAGGATGGGGGTGAGGGTGTTCCCAGCCCTCAGTCGAGCGACGGTTGAAGGGACCAACACCGCCAGCCGCAGGTCCGTTGTTGATCTGCTTGATAGAGTTGATATCGAAGTCCTCCTCGGGGGCCCAGTAGGGGTGGGGGTGAGGGTGAGGCCAGTTCTCAGTGGAACGACGGTTGAAAGGACCAACACCACCGGCAGCCGGGCCGTTGTTGACCTGGTTGATGGTGTTGATATCGTGGTCAACCTCAGGGGCCCAGTATCCAGGGTGAGGATGAGGGTGGGGGTGCTCCCAGCCGTCAGTAGAGCGACGAGCGAAGCCTCCGACACCACCGGCAGAAGGACCATTGTTCACTTGGTTGATGGTGTTGATGTCAACGTCCTCTTCGGGAGCCCAGTAACCAGGGTGGGGATGAGGCCAGTGCTCAGTGGAGCGGCGGTTGAAAGGACCGACACCACCAGCAGCTGGACCATTGTTGACCTGCTTGATGGCATTCAGGTCGAAGTTCTCCTCAGGGCCCCAGTAGCCGGGGTGAGGGTGGGGCCAGTGCTCGGTGGAGCGACGGTTAAAGGGTCCAACGCCACCGGCAGCGGGGCCGTTGTTCTCCTGCTTGATCGAGTTCAAGTCAACGTCGTGGTCGGGTCCCCAACCACCGTGGTGAGGTCCCCAGTGTCCGGGGCCGCCAGGGCCGTTGATATCGGTGTGCTTGAGGTCGATGGCATGGCTGTCCTTGTTGACGTCGTTGACATCAGTCTTAATGTTGGCAGTGTTTGACAAATCGAAGCTCTGACCGCCATCATCGCCAGAAGGTCCACCTAGGGCAGTGCCGCCGTGGTCGGGTCCCAGTCCGCGCTTCCATGGGGGAAGACCGTAGGAGTCAGTGTGATCGAGGCCAATAGAGTGGTCATCCTTGTTGACATCGTGAACGGAGGTAGTGACGTCAACAGTGGTAGGAAGGCTCACGCTCTGGCCTTCATCATCACCGGAGGGACCGCCGAGAGCAGTACCACCACCGTTTCCATGTCCGAACGAACGCTTCCAGGGAGGCAGACCGTAGTAAGCATCCTTGTGCTTCAGGTCGATGGAGTGGTCGTCCTGGTTATGCTCGTTGACAGCAGTGTTGATATCAACAGTGGTAGGGAGGCTGACGCTCTGTCCCTCGTCGTCTCCAGAAGGACCGCCCAAGGCAGTACCACCCTCGTAGCCATGTCCAAATGAGCGCTTCCAGGGGGGAAGGCCGTAGTATGAGTCCTTGTGGTCCAAGCCAATGGAGTGATCATCCTGGTTGTGCTCATTAACATCGGTCTTGATGTTGGCAGTGTTGGACAGGTCGAAGCTCTGACCACCGTCAGTGCCAGAAGGACCACCCAGGGCGGTGCCACCTTCGTGGTCGTGTCCCAATCCCCGCTTCCAGGCAGGGAGACCGTAGTAAGAGTCCTTGTGGTCGAGATCAATGGAGTGGTCGTCTTTGTTGACCTCATTCACGTTGGTGTGGATGTTGGCAGTGTTGGACTTGCTGAAACTGCTGCCTTCATCATCTCCGGAGGGACCGCCGAGAGCAGTGCCACCTTCGTGGCCGTTGCCGAATGAGCGCTTCCAGGGAGGAAGAGCGTAGTAGGAATCCTTGTGGTTAAGACCAATTGAGTGATCATCCTGGTTGTTCTCGTCGACAGCGGTGTTCACGTTGACAGTGGTGGGCATGTCGAAGCTCTGTCCACCATCGTTACCAGATGGTCCACCCAGGGCGGTGCCGCCGGGGGCGTGTCTCTTAGAGAAGGGACCCATTCCGGGGACCTGAGGTCCTTCGACCACAACGGGAGCATGGTGCTCGGGGTAGAACTCAGTGGTGTGCTTCACGTTCACTGAGTGGTCTTCCTTGGTGGACGTGTGCTTCTGGTGGTTTTCATGGATGTTGGGAGCATAAGGATTGGTGAAGGTGGCGTCAGCGTCCTTGCCGGAGGGGCCATTGATGACGGTGTTTCCCGTATCAGCGATGCCCTGACCCTGCTGTTGGGGGATTAGTTTCGTCCAAATAATTCTGATAGCTGGTGATAACATACGCGCTCAACGAACTGGGCCTGAGCAGCAACTGCCAGCAGTGCAATGGGAATTCCTCCGATAAATCCCTTCATCGTGACGGTTGGCTTTGTTATTACTGTAATGGGGTATTATGCTTTTCCCCGTAGTGTTGAAAGAGTGACTTGAAGTGGATGCTACGGGAGCAAGAGAAATGAATGGCTTAGCAAGTGAAGAAAGTGCTCAATGGACTGCAGGTACCAAGCATTCAGTGCCCGGAGATCCTGGGCGCTTTAGTACTTCCGATCCATTCGTCGTGACCAACGGGATTCGCAGGCGGGAATGTCACTGTGTCAACCCATCGTGAGGCCAAGGCGTGGGAAACACCATCAGAATGTCGCGGAGAATGAAACACACCCTGGCCAGTGTTGTTAAAGCCCCTCGATCAGGCTCAGCCGGTAAACAATTGTCGTGCCATTGAGAAGAGCCGGTTCTGTGGCATTCTTTAGGGGCTCGGGGAGGGATAGATCACCCTGGGCTGCGGTATGCACGAGCGACGCAAACCAGGCCGAGTCCCCTGGCTCCGCCAGATCCTTTCCTATGTTGAAATTCAGGCACAGTGTTGCCCTTTCACCCATGTGCATGTGCTCCCAAAATAAACAAGTAATGGATGATCGTAAAAGAGCCCATTGTTGTCGACCGCACTTCGTGGGCTCTACACTCCGGGGATTCCAAGTGATGTCATTCTCCATTGCTTGTGAGATGAGCGACGCTTCGCCCACGAGTGGCGCCCAGGCACATGTCTCCGAAATTGACAGGGGCGCTTAGTTTCAATTCTACTACAAGTTACAAGCATATCAGCACGGAGCAATGAACTTTTGTTTAAACTTTTTTTTTTGGCATTACTGTTGATGCTATTGAAGGGCAGATAATTGACTACACTCGCACTGCAAGGAAAGGTTGAGGCGAGGGGATGTATCCCGTCTTCGACATCCGAATCCCACACCCTCACTGAAGAGGGGCAGGGAAACGAACTTCCTATCGAGGAACATTTCTCTCCTGAGCCGATCGGTCCCGTAGGACCGAAGGCAACACATCGTCGTGAAAGATGTCGTAAGACAGGACGATGGTCGTGGCGGGCTCAGTTGCTTTTTTTCGATAAAGAAGAAAGAAAAAGGAAGGGAAGGGCGGAAGATTCTGCGGTCTTTTATAGCTTGGAGAGTGGGGCTCCCGGGCCTACATTGTTCCTGCCGAGTCGGTTCGGCCCGGTACTTTCTGCCTGTTTCCTAAGGCTCTATACATGGAAGATTCTGCCTGCACTTGTACACAACTCAAGAAAGATTGAAAGAATAGCCCCGAAACAGTACCCCAAAGAGGGTAAGAGATCTATCAGTCAGACCTCAGGCAGCTTCATGTGGTTTCCAACTACCCTGTGAATCAATGAACTCCGTCAGGTCATAATAATAGAATATTCGCCAGAACTCCGACCAACCACGACATCCACACCCGATCAGAAAAATTCAGGTTGGAGTAAATCGAACGAACTTCCAGTGCTTGGTGTCTTGATCGACCACGTTCGTCATGATGTTTTGCTAGACGCCTGGTGGCGATATTAGCAAACTGCACTTCCCTGACTAGCCGAAAACTCACTTATTCGCTGTGTGTAGTCTTGCCCGCGCTGGATTTCCAACCTGCTCCCCCTACCGCAGCAGTGATCCCCAGCGCAATCGCAATCATGGTACCAATCGTCACCACTGCCACAACTGCCTTCAATACCATTCGCTGCTTATTGCTCAATGACTGCAGCCACGTTCGTGGTTTATTCTCTTCCGTCCACAACTTGGATCTCCGAGGACTTTCGTTGCGATAGATGGAGTATGGGCCAGCATTCTCCAAGTCTCGCAATTGACTTCGGTTCCGGTCGTTTTTGGCCTCGTACGTGAGTTGCTCATAGGAAATTGTAGGGCTACCGTGGCGATAGAAAGGTGAGCATGGCTTAGCACCGACAGAAGGATCAAAATCCGGGCTATGTGCACCGGGTGAGGAAGTGATGGAGCACCGGGGAGAAGGAATCTTAGGTGTGGCGGGTTTCTTGTCGTCGTTGCCTTTGATGGAAGCGGCCACCTGGGCCCCAATCACGCCGAGTCCATGCAAGCTCATCGCGTCTTGAGGGTGGCCAGATGAGAGAGATCGTTGTCAGATCAAAAGATCTTGGATAGGGATCTTTTGAGACTTTGCCGCTTGGACTTGGATTTCCGGGGTGGATGTGACTCTTTGACCTTCAGAGGTGTTGTGATTGCCTCGACGGGAATGACAACAGTTGAGACACCGCCGTACATAAATAAACCCGTATCAACTTGGAATGCACTCCAAGCCCAAGAGTATCTCGGAAGTCTCATCACTTTGGGCAAGATAAGAAATGTGGTTATGGTTGATATGTACTCGTAGACGCGACGGTATATCAATCCTATACCCCGTCGCTCTTTCCTGGTAATCACTCTGTTTGAATTCTCAACAGCAAACCTCGACGTTCTAATTGACAAAGGTGACTTTGCCTACGTACATTCAAAATCTCCTTGGGTAAGAGCATCCGTTGCTAGGGATGCACAACTGGTCCTCCTCGGTGTCCCCCCTTGCTAGACAACCCGTGCCACCCCCATTCAGCATTCCAACGTCACCCAAGGTTGAGGTCCCCCTCTTCAGCGAACCAAGCTCAATTCTTGAGACCATCAGTCGGACTGAATTCTTTCAAGTCCCTCAAGCTTCCAGATGCTTGGTACCTTTTATGGCAACGATTCATGGGGCCCTTCCTGGGTTTGGTTTGCATCTATAGATACTCGCTTTTCGCCGCATTCAAATGATGAAGCCTTGTAGGCTTTTCATATTCGTAGTTAATGATTTTTGAGAGCAGTGGTGGCACAGTAATTCCAGGGTTCCTTCAGGGCTGTTGCATTTTGCCTGTTTCGCAAGTGACCCGTGCGGGACTACACAGGTGACACTCGCAAGCATTGCCGTAATGAACGCCTCGTCTTCTCCCACGCATTTACGGATGTAAATAGTTTACAAGGCTCTAACTTAATTAGCTAGTCACCGAGATCTACCTATAGATATCGCTACTTCTCCTGAAGTCAGTCCTTTTATATGTCAGATGTCTCGGACGCACTCTTGGATGATTTCTACTGGTATATTTTCATGTATTTCAAGATTGATTGAATAATTCATGCGTTATTTCCTACTGGATGGGGCCAGTGAATAGCTTGTAGTACCCAGATGTTCCAACGTTCCGATCTATAGATGTTGAGAGTACCTTCCAATGTTCCAAGGTTGTGCATGTATATATTTAGGTTCCGGGCCGGGATGCATCCTCAGCAAAGTCTCACCCACTTGAGCAGTTTAAGTAAAACACCCAAACCAGGTTGATTCATGCATGCTCTGCAAAGAAATTCTTGGTATCGAGAAAAGTTTCAGATTAAATGCACTTGAAGATTATTGTTGCGTCGTTGTTGCTTCACTATATCTATAGATCTATGTTGAGTTGCGACGCGGCCGGAAAGCCTTGGTCGATGCCTTGCAAACCTTGGAAGCGAACATCGTCAGGGATTCTCAATATTCATGGACGAAACTCAAAGTATCTTCCAATGTTGAATAATACTTTGAATCCCGGTATCGATTCTAGCAGGCCTGAGGGGGTAGAACTGCAGCTACTCAAGTATACCGGAGGACCTTTCAAGATGGTTTGTTCAAGCCACGCCCCTTGAGCATGCTAAGAGACCAAGCGAAGAATGAAGTTTTTCTGGAGTTTTTTAAATCTCTTTCTACCAGCACAGATACTTACTCAAGCACTTGTCGATTCCATTCGAGAGAAAAAGAATTTTCCGCTCATTACATTTCCTATTTTGATTTGACTTGTGTCACCGGTCCTCCAAAGACTCGATTCATGAATGCTTCAGATTTAGCAGCATAGTGACAGCGCTTGCGAATCTTTGCTCCGTACAGCCAGAACAATACTGGCATCGGAGCACACGCGACCGACAGAAAAGCAGCTATAGAGGACGCCCAGTTTACCCCCAAATTACGATACATGTAAGTTGTAAATAGTGGGAAGACCGCCCCAAAGACGGAGCGGAGCATTGAATTACCAGCAAGGACAGAGGCGGCGTATATCGTGTAAGCATCAACCAGATAGTTGAGAATGGGAAGAAAGACCATGACCATCCCAAATCCAAAGGGAACCCCAGCGGCTACCGGAAACATCCAATGAATCGATGTCTGACTTGTCCAAGCGAACCAGAATAGACCGATGGGCAGAGCTATACATGCTGGGAAGCTGGGTGGGAGGCGGGCCTCGGGAGGAAGTCGACCGGGGGAGACCTTGAGTGCGCGCTTCCTGTAGTCGAGGAAAGCGAGACAAATATACGCGACTGCGATGAGAATGCCGACCAGGATCCCGAGAAAGGCGAGTCCGCCCTGACTTTCGCTCCAGCCTCGGACATTCTGGAAGACGATAGGGTATGCTGCAAATAGCATGTATAAGATACCATAGATAATGGCTGTGTAAAGCGAGAGCAAAAACACGATAGGTTCACAGAAGAGAAGAACCCAGGGTCGTGAAAGTGCAGCGGTCAGCGCCTTGCTAGGTTTCATTCTCTTTTCATCCATCTTGCTGCGATAGACATGGCCGGTGGATTTTTGGAGTGCTCGAGCCCGCTTTTGAAGGAGCACTGGTGCATAAGTTTCTGGCAGAAAGAAAATGATCGCCAAGCACAAAGCCCCAGAGAATGCTGCAAGGAAGCCCTGGACCCATTGCCAACCACCACTTGCTTTGGCAATGTAGCCCCCAAAAAGGGGACCTAGGACCGGACCCAGGAAAGGAGCTGCAGCAAAAAGACCACTTGCCAAGCCACGGATGATAAGAGGAAATAAGTCTGCAATGACAGCCCCGGACACAGCCATTGGCGCGGAGCCAAAGGTGCCGGCGAAGAAACGGAGGATGATGAGGGTTTGGATGTTTTTGGCTCCAGCGGCTCCAGCAGTAAAAGCCGTTAGGAACATAGAACTCAGGATGAAAACAAGACGACGACCATAGATCTCACTTAGGGGTGCCCAGATGAGGGGACCCACGGCGAACCCGATCACATAAAGCGAGATTCCGACAAGCGCGAGCTCTTCGCTGATTCGAAAGTATTCCACAATTTCCACCACGGCACCCGAGTACGCAGAAGAGATGAGAGCGACCACAAACGTGGCCAATGAGACGAGAGATGTTATCGCCCATTTAGACGTATCTTTGAACAGCATGGGGTTGCGCGGATCTTCGTCGATCCATGACACAACAAAAGGGTCTTGTTTGGTGCCACTGCCGGGATATGAGTGTCCAAAAATCCGTTGCGTGGTCACACTTTGATCGAACACCATGCGCCAAAATGATATCTTTGATGGTAGGGGTGTCTTATGTGTGGGGCTCAGGGATGCCATTTCGCAATATTCTTTAAGTTGTAAAGTTGGCCTCGACCTAAGATGCGGCACTCGCCAGAGTCCCTCCAGATTCCCTAAATCCGATCGGAGGGGAAGTGGGTTTTATGTATTAACTACACGTTCAACCCAAATCTCGAATAGTCCGTCAGAATTTTCTCGACTAGGATCCGTGATAACAGCACTAACGGACGCTTGTTGGCCCCATTGATCGTCACACGGGGGCCGATCCATCGACGTGCTCAATTGGCTAGGCTTCAATCTGTCTTTTTGTTGTAAAGCCTCTATCAATGGCTGCGCCACTGTTTTTGTAAATCCCCTCAAATTTTCAGTCGGGCCTCGACCGTCGGCGACAGGTTGTTCGCCGATGCTGCTCGGTCTGGCGAATCTGCGCCCCTTGGTTCGGATGAGTGGCACCAATACCCTTTGCTGCTCCTTCTTGGAAGCGTATTTAGGAGTACTGCAGATGCCTCCTCCCGGATCCATTACCGGGAGAGGGGGCACCAATATCTAGTCCCGGTTCTCCTTGCTGGCGATGTTCTCGTCGAGTTTCGCGTTCTCGCTGCCGATCTTATGGGGCCGATCGCCGATCTCACATAAGCCTAATTTACTTCCTGACTTGGAAGGATTGGCTTGAAATTGACTTTACTGGCAAGAAGAAAAATCGGTGGGAAAACGATTGCTTCGACTGCCTGTCGGGGGAGGAGAGAGGGCGGGAAACACCGAGGTTTCAGGGCGCCAGTGGTGTGTGGAGAGAGGCAAATGCCATGAGCATATATATGTTCAAAAGCGACAACCACCAATGGCAAAATCATCCTCCCATCAAAATGGATCCATGTCAACGTTGCAGTCCACATCGTTATCATATTCACCCCAGAATTCTTTGAGGTCTTCAACTCGCCAAGCGGTAGCCCAGCCAGTCTCACGCTCAATTCTAACCAAAGTTTCGATAACGGCTGTGTGCTCAGAGTAGTGCGACATTGCCTTACCAGCTATCCACAGAGGTTGAAGTGCGTTTGTCCAGCAGCCGCTATTCAATCAAACACAGAGTCAGCACCTTGGCCTCGAATTACCATGTTTTGAAAACACGAGAAGGTATGGGGGGAAACTCACTGATGGGCGTTGGACGCGGATATTGCGCATATTTGACGAGCATGCCACAGTACCGATCTCTGATTTTGTTAAAAATTGGCCCTACCTTAGACGTGGAAGACGACTTACGGGTCTTTTGCTCAGTGCCAAAGTCTTTGGCTTTCGCTGGAGCAGCAGTAGAGCTGCGACATGATACATCTGGTTCCCGGAAACTAGTAGGTCAGCATCACAGATTAAACAAGTAGCGAAGAATCTTACTAGCTGCTCCGTTTCCGTACAAAACGATCGGGAATGCACGATCCATTCCTTCCCGCTCAGAAGCAGCAACACTGAAGATGGACTTCATCTGCGCAGGGCGGTTCTCATACCACGCCTCAACGCGATCAAATGATTCCGCCCATCGATTCACATAAGAATCACCATCATCGCTGGGAACGGATTGACATGACGTGCAAGGATGTGACATTTTTGAAGCGCAGCCGAAAAGGACGTTCAAGGTTCGCGCGACAAGGTACACGGTGTAGTTGGCATATGTGTCAAGGTTGGTTTTGGCTGAAGATATAAACGTCTGGGCAGCCTCGTTGTAGCTCATATCTAGTGGTCGCCAATTATGAATGGGTATGATGGTTTCTTCTTCGGATATGAGACCTCCACAAACATCTGGTTGAATTAGTATGTACAATAATAAGGGAGAAAACCAGAAATAATATCTTACCCATCCGGGCAAAGCACCAGAAAAGTGCTTGCTCCTCCTTCCCAGAAAATCCGTTTATGCCAGCCGCTTGGATGAGATATGCACAGCCATCTAGATGGCGACGCCACTCTTTGGGGTTGCCTGCGACTGGTCAGATATCAAAGCAGGTCGCCGGTGAATTGGATACCTACAACTTAACATTTCCAAAACACACAGGATGACACAGGAAGCTATAACAGGAGTACTCTTGCTCCCAAGCTCAGGCAAAAGAAGGTGAATGGCTTCTTGGTAGAGCGATAGGCTTTCCGACTGGGATTTTTGGTTTTTTTGTCGCTCTAGCTGTCGTGCAGATAATGCTAATATCGAATAGCGGAGATGTGTCGATGATTTAGCCATCTGTGGGAAGGTGGAAGCAAAGTGGCGATTGTTGTCAAACATATCGAGCTTTCTGGCATTAGCTGGATTTGAATGTTATGGAGCTTGAGGGAACATAACTCACCCAGGAGCAGATTTCATTGAGATAGTTTTCCCACAAGATGTGTTCTCTTTCAGGCGACAATTCAAAGCGTCTACCAGCTTCAAAGCGCCGTGTCTGCCTCTCAATTCTTGTAAAAGACCCCGCAGCATCACTGAATGCCGTTGGGGTATGCACCAAAGGCAGGGAGTCATGAGAACTGCGCCGGTTTGGGATGTCTGGCCGAGCAGTCCATAGCTGGCGGTTCCTCAACGTCGTGTGGAGTGCTTCATAAGCAGAGCCTGGGAGAAAGACATTGTTGACGAGATCTGCAGGGTCGGAAAAAACACTGTGATTGAACAATGGCGACTGTACAGTTTGATAAGACCCAGTCACGGAGGAGCGGAATTGGGCATTTTGAGGGAAGCCGTTAAGCCCATTGAAGTCATCGACCATATACTCAGGGCTGGAGTTATAGCAATTCGAAGAGTCATCCCTGGACCGAGGAAGAGCGTTGAAGTCACATTGTACGGTCGGTGGATAGTGAGATCGAGGAGATGCTGACTGGACATCCAAGTGGTTCTCATTGATTTCATTGTCAACATGATTTGGGGATCTGTCGTGGGGTATCCTTCGAGAGGGGTGTGACGTATCGCTAGAGTAGGGTGGTGATGGGCCTTGATTGACCGCAGGACTGGGGCTGGGAATCCCTTGGGCGATCAAGGGAGGAGTAGGGCCTGAGTCAACCTCAGCAGTAGCCACAGGTATTGAAGTGGCCTCGGCATCTGGAGCAGGGGTCAAAGATGATCCAAGCTCTGATCTTTGCACCGAAGCTTCCAAACCCGGGTGCTTGGCGCTCTTGGTCCTTGGGGTTTTCGTGGCACTGTTCAAGATCTTGAATCTACTTTGACGCTTTGTTTTGCTCACAGCCACACCCTGGCTCATCGAAGGGTGGTCTGATTCCAGAATCTTTATGTTGGAGTCGCGGAATGCTCCGAGCATGCGCCATTGGCACTCCTCGCCCCGACGCTTACAGCCCGCGCAGGCAGGCTTAGCCTCATCACATTTTCGTCGCCGGCGACTGCAGTTGACACAACCAGTTCTCGTGCGTTTCTTGCGCTCCGCCCCCATTTTCAGGGAGTTTGAATCCTGCGATTCGAGTGAGGTGAAAATCTGTGTCTTTGAGCTACCATCGTTGTCCACTCGTGGGCTATTGAGCGGCGCGTGATTAATGGGCGTGTTGGACATTGCCGTGTAAATCTACCCCTCGTACTGATTAGCTGGGGACTGGTCTGCATGGTGGGAAGAAGATGCGAAGTATTCAAGGGAACTAGAGATCTTTACCCGATTTGGCAAGTTTAGGCACCGGGCTTGGCCCAGACGCCTTGGTTTGGGGCCCCGTGTTTTGCAGGTGCGGAGGTTTGCCGACCTCGGGAAATGGTGGATCCGGCGGTGACGATGCTTGAGTACCTTGGCACGTGATAGCCTGGCAAACACAGAACGGTCTTATTTCTGTAAAGGGTAAGCGGTCCGGTCACCGCATGTATCTAGAAAGGCTTGGCATGAAGACGGCGTTTGTAGATGATTGAGTATTCTAACTTTAGAAGTTGCTCAGGTACCAAGGTAAAATCGACAAAAATGTCTCTTCCATGACACAATACGGCAATCAAACGCCTGGAGTGGCTATGGATATCTATAGATGTGTCCTAAACTTGGAAGCTTCCAAGGCTATTGTCTTTTTTTGCAGGTCTATAGGTAACCTTCTAAAGTTGGAGCACAGTGCTTTGATTATAACATCGCCAAAGCCTTGGTAAAAGACCACTGGCTATAGAATATGGCAGAAGTCACTTGTGCTCCAGGCAATCATAGTAGAAGAGAATGTTTTTAAGTGTGTGCATCGTTGGTATCTATACATCGCCCCTACGAGATATACTTAAGTATCCCAAGGGGGGTTCAAATAAAACAATAAATCGAAGAGTATAAAGTGCAGTTCCTACTCGTTATAGAGCGAACTTGCAATGGGACAGAACCTCGCGAGCAAGGAAATGGAAAATAAAAAGAAAAACGCTTGTTCCCTGCCATTGCTCCAAGATTTACTCAACATGTTGAACATTTGAGCTCTCGAGGTCTTTGGCGTTTCCAACACGTGTATCTACATCACCCGCAATTCCCATTGAGGAATCCCAGTGGAGAAGGACCTTCTCGTTGGTAAACAACAGGTCGATTTGCTCGAGGGTGAGATTTTGCGTTTCCGGGTAGAACAAGTAGATGAGTGGGAAGAAGCAAAAGTTGAAGACTATATTCTAAATTAGCAACGGCTCTGGGGTCACTTTCTAAGATCCTGGTGGCATGGAAATCCAATGTGATACGTACTGGCAAAATAGATGTAGGTCTTGTATCCGATATTTGCGATGCTGACGGGGGTAATTTCCACAACAAGGAATGTGCAGATCCCTAGTAAACATGTAAGTACAGCTTTTTTGAATGATAAAGAAGACTAAGCACATACAGTTTGTTGCAGTTGCCATGGCGGCTGATCGGGTTCGAATTGCAAGTGGTGAGTACTCCGCGGGGACTGTCTCGGATATACCAGATTAGAACCAGATAGACCGGGGAATATACGGATATGTGGAAGTACTCACGCAGCCAAGGGATGGCAAGAAGACCGACTGCAAAGAAGAAGTTGAATACGAATAGCATGACTGTGGCAACCAGACCAGCTGATTTTCCACCATCCCAAATTGTACCAGCTAATATAGCCATGCAGCAGCCTTGTCCGATAACCGCGAACATCATAAGCTTACGGCGTCCGAGACTGAAAAAAGTTAGCATGATACTAAACTTCATGAAGGTTCAATGCGTACCGCTCGATTGTCCAGATAGGGACCAAAGAAGAGAAGAAGTACGCAATTCCGTTGAAACCTGCCAATAGTAAGGCTGTGTGATGGGACATTCCAACAGACTGTTCAAAAATGACGGTGGCATACTAGTGATGTTAGCAATTTTCTGCTTTTGTTGAAAAATTCGCTCCGTGATACTCACGTAAGTAATCAGATTAATTCCAGACAGCTGTTGCATAGCTTGACCACCCATTCCAAGAAGGGTCCGGTACATGAATCGCTGCTTGTTGTTTTGGAAGAGCATTTTGAAAGATCCTCCTGACGAAGCTTCTTGTTCTTCATTGACTGCACGTGTGATCTCATTGACATCCACGCCAACAACAGGATCGTCTTCGTCGATCTCATGAGCATTGTGCTGGAGCGACCAGATGATATGACGGGCTTTGCTTTCGTCTCCGTGTTGGATAAGCTATGTTGTCAGCTCGTAATTCAGGATTCCAGTAACCGTGACTCACCCATCGAGGGGATTCCGGAAGACAAAGCACTCCAATAAACGTGAGAACAGCGAATAAAATTTGTAACGCAATGGGGAATCGGAACTGAGCCTCGTTCTTGACATAACTCATCCCGTAATCTTTGAAGGGCAAATTTTAGCGTTGAGACTTGGTACATTAAGAAACCAATAGACTTACCAACCCAGTATGACAACATGACACCAAAGATGTTGATGGCGAGCTCAATAGCCAACTGTAAAAGACATCAGCGTCATTCAAGAATTAGTCCGCTGCAAAAGCTCACCCCTTTGCCTCGACTTGCTGCCTTGCTGAGCTCGGAGTGCCAGACCGCTGTGGTAATGTGAGTATACAAGGCAGGGTGTTTCCCAGAACAAGAAGATGACTCACGAATGGTACTGGTATTGAGGCCATTTCCGATGCCTGCAATGATTCGGCCGACGATGAGATGAGGGATACTGTAAGCGCTGCATTGAAGTGCGGCACCGATGCTGAGAACGATGCATCCTGCCATGATACACTTGCGTCGGCCAAGCCTCTCACCAATTAACAGGGAAACAATGGCGCCCAAAAAGCATCCCTGGGGGTGTTAGGATCAAGGTATCAAGGTATCATGGGTCATTGGAAATGGAGGTGACCAACAATTTCGTAAATGGCAACACTGTCGTACAAGGTTTAAGATTAATATGTGTTTCAATTAAAAAACCCAATTCAAATTCACTTACACTGTACCCTGCAGGGAAGAACTACCGTGTCCCCCCTTGGTGGTATCGATCTCTGGGAACGTGGCAACAAAGGCGTCTCCAGTCAACAGACTAGACATCACACCCTGATCGTAACCAAACCTAATAAATCGTCAGCCAGCCGTTCCATACTGCACGACAATTGAAGGGATTTGTTCACTCACAGCAAGAAGCCACTGCCAGCGGTGGCCGTGATGGCATAACTCAACGCCCTGCCCACGAGGAAAGTCATGGTGGCGTCGTGGTGAACTGTTCGGGGCTTTGGGGCTCAGAAGGGTGATGCAGCAGCCAAATATGTCAAATGTAGACTATCCAAGCAGTGGGGCACTGGTAGGCTATATAAATAGCGTGCACAAGGGCATCATATCTCATACCCCAAAATGTGGCGTCATGGAATGTTCCGTGAAACCGTAACCCGGGTCCTAACGTAGTCGATCTGGGCTTCCCCGGGATGCCATGTCTCTCAGCCCGGTCCGCGATTTGCGGGGTGCGTCGTGGAGACCTCGAAATCTGGAAAATGCCGCAGGCTTTGGATTTTCTGCACTAGAGACCAAATGGGGTGTTAATCACTACTACATTTAGTTCCAATTAGATTCTATACCAAATAACTTCAGCCTGAAACCTGTAACATACAATGTAGGAAAGGGCAGCTAAGATGTGTACTCCGATGGTAGACGCAGCGTGGGCCGAACCGATTTCCACGCGACAGTCGAAACTTCGGTTCCCCGGACCGGCTAAATCCTTAAACGGCAAAGTGTGTATTATTTCCTAACTCGGAATCTTAAAGCGCCGATAGACTGACTCCTCCAGCCCGCAGGTCACCCACATCACAATCCCCAGATTGTTGTCTCCCCGCCCAGTGCTCCACCGGTCTGCTGCCCCAACTTGCCTGAAACAGTAATTTTTGACACCCGTTGCAATCAAGACGGTTCAGGATTTGATTCTGACTTGCGCAAATTCGGGACTACAGTGAAAAAAATGGGACCTCCAGCAGACTGGATTATGTCGCATCCCATTTTGATCCCTTGAGCTGAATACTTCCCTATTTAGGTTGTACATAACCGCGGCAGGTGGTAGCATGACCAAGAATGACGCGTTGGAGCATGTCAGGTCTTAAAGGAAACGGACACGCTCCAACTCTTTCTCCAATTCCGCGTTCAATCTCCATTTGTTTACCCTTCAGCCTCGACTTACAATGACTCCTTCGATCTCCCTCGACCACACCACTCCGGCTGTTGTGCCGGAGTCCAACGAGACCCCTGCAGCCTTTGCTCCGGCTAATGACCTTTTCTCTCTGTCCGGTCGCACTATCATGATCACCGGAGGTGGTCGCGGGTTAGGCATGTGCTTGACCACAGCCGTGCTGGAGGCGGGTGGTGATGTTGCTTGTCTTGATCTCCTACCCGGGCCAAACCAGGAAGAATGGTACGCCGTGCAAAAGCTAGCTAAGCAGCGCGGCCTGCAGGCAACATACACTCAGTGCGATATCACCAACGAAGAGAACACCAAAAAGGTTCTGGAAGATATTGCTGCTGAGGGCCTGCGCCGCAACAAGCCTCTGCGCGGTGCCATTACGTGTGCTGGCATCCAGCAGATGGTCCCTGCCCTTGAGTACCCTATCGATGGATACCGGAAAATGTTGGATGTCAAGTGAGTGGGAGCGATTTCTTGTGAAGGGGCTATAGGACTGATTACTTCTACACTAGTGTTCTTGGAACATTCATTCCCGCCAAGCACTGTGCCCGCATCTTTGTGGAACAGAAGACCCCAGGGAGCATTGTGATGATCGCCTCTATGTCTGGTCAGATTGCCAACCGGGTAAGATTTACATGCTTGATGGTAGATAGAAATATGCTCGTGGCTAACACCTGATTATTTCCAGGGCCTCACATGTACGGCATACAACTCCTCCAAGGCTGCTGTGCACCAAATGTGTCGATCCGTCGCCCAAGAATGGGGTCAGCACAACATTCGTGTCAACACTCTATCTGCAGGAGTAAGATCCCTTTTCTGGTCGCCTGAATGAGCGCATTAAATATAACTGACTTTTGTGTTATAGTATATCCGCACTGCTATGACTGACGCTTTGCTCGAGGAGAAGCCCGATTTGGAGGAGACTTGGATGCGCGGTGCCCTTCTTGGTCGTCTTGGTGCCCCTGAGGACTTCAAGGGCCCCACCCTCTTCATGCTCACTGATGCGAGTGCCTGGATGACCGGTGCTGATCTTCGAGTCGACGGTGGTCACTGCGCATCTGCATAAGCGAATTCCTTGGTGAACGGTGGGCTCGCATGAGAGACGAGGTAGACGTGACATGTTTCTTTTGGCGTTTTAGAGTAGATTGGATGGGTTTTATAAACATCTTGAAAATAGAATCAAGAGCGAAGGAAAGAATTCTATACCTGCCTCAACAATCACCTGGGCAATGGACCAGACTTAAGTAATAAACTCAGCATGTTAATGGATTACCTAGGTAGAATTATCCTCAAATACTCCAGTAGCCTCCATAGGTTGGAGCTTTTAGCTATCTATAGGTACAAATTCACCCTTGAAAGATTTGGCATCTGCCAATGCCACTACCGCCAACCTGTAACGCTGATTTTGGGGGAGTAGACCGCGAGTCACTTTTTCTAAGTGCAGTGAAGCTCTCCTCCATCGTGAGTATGACAATTCTGTGATAATTAGTACAAATCCACTATGGAAAACTCAATTGATTTACTCACCGCGGGAACATCCAATGTAGACGAGGGCTTCTCAGAAGTGGTGGCAGTCGGGGCTGGCTCTGAAGTAGTTGTCGCCTCATCATGCGTATCTTCATGCTCGTGTTGAACACCTGGGCACCCAATCCCTGGAGCAGATATGTCGTATGCATAGACTTCCAGTGCAAAGTATTGAAGAGTCTCCGAGTCATGCGTAGACAAAGTGGCATTTTTCTTAGCCTGATCAACGACTTCTTCATATCCATCTGCAAAATGGTCTATCCAGTTTTGGCCAATAGCAGGGACATGGTACAGACGGTGCAGGAGATCGGCTGCCCAGAAAGTGTTGGTTTCGGATTCGGAAACAGTGTATCCAAGGCCACACATGGTCGACAGTGATCGACGGGTCTCGTAGCTCATATCGCAAATGACGGTCTCGTCTGTGGCATTCACACCACGCCAGTGTCCGGCCCAACCTGTATCGCTGATTAGAGACTTGTATCCGACGCAGATATGTGCAGCTTACCTTCGTTATCACAATTACCATCCGGGTTATCACACCGGAACAAGATATCTTTCTTGTCGCCGTTGACCACGATATCGAAGGCCCCGATGGCTTCCATGGTAGGTCGATCTCCGAAGTACTTCCTGTAGATTTCGCTTTCGTTACTCCATCTCAGGATATGGCTTTTGGCATGCTCGGCAAGGGTGATGGTTTCGTTCAAGCCTAATTCAATCTGGCGACGTTGGGTTGAATTGCAGCTTGAATGGATGGGGAATCGGTTCACGGCGCCGGCATTCCAAGGCGCAAGACCATTTTGGGAGAATGGCTGGGATTGATTTGCTTCCGAGCTATCGGGGGTTGGAAGAGCAACCGCAGCTGCTACTGAGAGAGCAAGATTCAGCAAAAGCATGATGTTAGTTGCAGATTAATGGTATCTTGATGCACGTGGAAAATCCTCCCAGGCTCGAGGAAAAGAGAGCATTTATACCTTTTTTTTTCTTGTTGATCAAGGTTTCCAAGACTCACAGTTCGGATTTCTGATCTCTGATTGTATCTGCCGGTTAATTTGGCTGTGTTCTGCTCTTCGTCTCGGTTTGATCCTGGTCATCGCCATCTGGGTGTCCCAAGTCGGCTTAGTGAGCGTGATTTAGTACCCGTGTATCTGGGCACAGACATGATTCAATCATCCAATTAAGGACCTTGAGGGTGTTAAATATCCGCATAACCTTTCTCTCCAGCAATCACAGAGCTGAAGTGCCGATGAATGCCAAGAAAAAGCCTCGGCGGAGGGTCGCCAAGAAGTCTGGGCGGGAGTACCTTGAGGAAACAAACGGTTGTTTCCGATGGAAAGCAAGCCCAGGGCTACTCTTGGCACAGGCATGGAAAGGTCTTTTGCTTGGCACTGAGAACCTTGGGGGTGAGACACCAGAGGGAAGGCCCTCTACGCAAAATGTGAAGTGCTTTTTAGAGTGGGTGACTTGCTCATGATTTTGCTTGTTTTATCTCGGTTCAGTTTCACAACAATCACCAACTTGAATATGCTGATTTTCAAGCCTCTCGTCATATCACTGGGCGTTGCCGGAGCATACGCTGCTACTGCCACAACATCTGCGCAGACATCATCCGTCACCGGGTGCCACAACCATGGCTCAAGCATATATTGTATCAATGGAGAAGGCCAAGAGGTTTTAGTATCGGCATCATCTACCCCTACAACTGGGGTGCCAGCACAATATACCGGTTGCCATTCTCATGGCAGCGAATCGTAAGTGGTTGTGTATACAGTCTCGCGAATCGGCACTAACAACCCTCAAAGATACTGTATGGATGCAGATGGAAATGATGTTCTCATAGGAGAAGGGGCTGCAGAGGAGAGTAGTGATGAGCACAGTGATCACGATCACGAAGAATCTTCTAGTGGGACTGAACAGAATTGTCACTTCCATGCTGGTGTTGAGTGGGTCTATCTTTGCATATGAGTGTCCTGATGCGTGCTGACTTTGTGATTGAAAGACACTGTGTCGGCTCAGGTGAATCAGAAAACAGCCATGCATCATGCAGCGTCCAGACAAGAGATTACGACATACCTTTGCGCATTGGAACATTGTTCGTTATCCTTGTAACGAGCGCGATCGGTGTTTTTGCGCCTATTCTTCTAATGAAGCTTCCATTCGCCACTATCAACGGTGTCGTCTCAACCGTTATCAAACAGTTTGGAACCGGCATCATTCTATCTACGGCCTTTGTCCACGTAAGTCATCTCATGCTCTACCCTCAGAAATGGTCCTATACAGCCTGGTGCTCACAACATCGTTTAGCTATACACACATGCGAATCTTATGTTCACCAACGAGTGTCTGGGTGAGCTAGATTATGAAGCTACAACATCTGCGGTCGTGATGGGTGGTATTTTCCTCGCCTTTTTGCTGGAGTACATTGGCCACAGAATCATTGTTGCCCGCAACAGCAAGACTGCCGCGGAAACTACCGAGGTCGAATCCCAGCCCACACACCATAAGGGTCATTATAACGAATCTCCCGAGCAGCCTCAGCAGTCTACTCTGGCTTGCCTTGGGCACAGTCACGGAAACTCTGATCCTACACAACCCGCCAACAAATTTTCTGTGCTCGTCATGGAAGCAGGTGTACTGTTCCACAGTATTTTGATTGGTCTCACTCTGGTTGTTGCTGGGGACTCCTTCTACAAGACACTTCTGGTAGTCATCGTCTTTCATCAATTTTTTGAGGGATTGGCGCTCGGTGCTCGTATTGCAACCCTTCCCGGTGCCATCTTCCCTTCTAAAGTCGGGATGGCGGCGGCATTCGCATTGATCACACCCATTGGAATGGCAATCGGGCTTGGTGTTCTGAACTCTTTCAATGGAAACTCTCGGGGTACCTTGATTGCTCTGGGAACACTGGATGCGCTTTCCGCTGGTATTCTAGTGTGGGTTGGTGTCGTTGATATGTGGGCTCGGGATTGGGTGATCGAAGGGGGCGAGATGTTGAATGCAACAATAGGAAAGGTCTTGACTGGTGGTATTTCTCTGATCACTGGAATGGTTCTGATGGGAGTCTTGGGGAAATGGGCTTGAGCAATAGGCCAAAAAGACTCACGAAGTCCAGGAATATGTGTCGCAAGATATCCATCCATGGATCGATGTCATCGCAATTCATAGCTAAATAAATGTCATATAATTGCAACCTATCTTCTCCAAATCACCCCAAGGTCTTCTAACCCCTTTTCCAAGGTTGCAGACCGATGAAGCATGGTTAGAGCGGCACCTCAGCCTGACAACGCTGCCGCCATACCCGGGCAGGAGCATCACACCGGCTATCCGTTCATCATTATCGTACATTCCGAAGTTCTTGCTTGCTGGGAGTCGCGATTTCTGCCAAGGTGACGAGGTAGCCGTGGAGTGCGTCCTGGCCCTAGACTCTATACTCCGTATACATGTTTCCTCTCACGGCGATGATGGAGAGTCCTTCTGGGGTGTACTCATTATCCCACAAGAAGGGATGTTACTGGGTTTTTATGTGAAACCCGTGACGCGGGAAGTTCGCTTGAAACAAGGAGAGGTAATGGGGGAAGAGAACACAGCGGGAGAATGCTTGACATTTGTTCACAAGCGGCTTGACCTCTTCTAGTCTCGCTTTGCATTATCGTGGAGCAAGGTCTATGGTTGGAAGGTATTCCAGGAAAATTTTTCCACCGAATGAAGATATTAAAAATGGACAAAGTAACAAGCGTGAAGCTCGCCAGCAAAAGAGAAAGTATATTAATCTATGGCGCGAGCCAGCAAGCAAACAGTGCAAACAGTGCAAACAGAACATGTCAGGAACCATCAATTGATGCCCACACCACACTTCCTCCACAACTAACATTGTATCCACAGACCAGTGTCTTTCTCCTCTTCTGGTCTGTATCCCGAGCAAACACGACTTGCTCGTCGGTGTGCATCTCCGACCGACTGATCTCCGCCCCGAGTTTGGCCTCATTCCGTCTCGTCCCCACAACATGGACAATAAAATCTCTCACTTGAGAAGAACAGAGGGAATGTTTGGCTCGGTGGGAGGATGAGACCAAGGGCAGTGGTTACTTCCATATCATTGCGAGACATGGGGAAGGGAAGGGGCTCACAGTCTGAACCACGGCGATCTCCTACAACCTTGGATCCGGAGAGCTTCCCGCGGAGAGCCTGATGCTTCCATGCCACCTGAGCTACTCGTACTTGTAAAGGACGGCACAGGTGTACGAGTAAAGTGTGCCGTCAACTCCACCTGCAAATTTTTTGAGTTCGCGCGTTCTCTTTGTGAAGCGCTAGAATGCAATGCGGGATCCACACGGGCCACAAATTTGAGATTCAAGTCTTGTGACGAACGCAGTTTATGCAACTAGTATGCAGGGGTAAACTAAACTTCTCTCTCTAGTAATAAATGCTGTATGTCATGAACGAGATCGAACGGAACGAATGCCAACTGCGTAAGAAAGTACGGAGTAGTTACGGAGTACTCCGTGCTCTGTACACCGTGCTCAATACGGTTCGGCCTAGGTTCGGGGAAGACCACCCGGGGTGGATACTGTTGCTCGCTTCGGGCCATAGCCAATTGTGGGTTAGGGTGGACCGTGAAGGTTCGTGACAGTTCCAGAGCCCGAGGGCCTATCATCGTATCATTCTATGACAGTTCATTAATTACATCCCTAACCGTGACCAGGCAGGTGGTTCATCGGCGCCTCTCCGTAGTCTGTCCCTCCCTCATTAAGTAGAGCTACCTTTTTATACCCTCATTATTATAGGCATCAACGAGTATACTACCCGTCCTGCCAGAAGCCCAGCTCCCAGCGACTTGATCAAACAAAAGCATGATGACCTGTGCTTAAGAGGAGTTTGAGTTGTCGATACAACTGAAAGCCGAGCCTATCGTGAAAGTCAATATAAGATCCAGCCACGTGGAGGAATACTTCAACATACCGATTGCGCCCGTCGCATAGGCATCGATGATCTGAATAACAACACCGTACGTGGCACCAACTAGGAAGAAGATTCCAAGCAAAACCATTCCCCAGTGCAGTAGGTAAATGACCTTCTGCACCAATGTACCTCTGCGGTAATGCCCATTGCTGTGCAGCCACAAGAAGCCAGGCAGACACATGGCAAGAGGAGCAAAACAGACGGAGCCAACCAAAGCAATTAGATAATTGAAAATAGGGATAGCTTCAGCAAGAATAAAGGATATGGCACCAAGCATGATCGTGCAGCCCATCCAGGTTGCCCAGTGGACAACAGTATTGGCTTGCAGATGGCGAGTCTTACCCAAGATACGTACAAAAACGTATTTGGCCGCAATCTGAACAAAAATATAAGTAAGTTCTTATTCTCATCCTCTTCAAGGAATACTGACATGTAGATAGATCGTGGCGCTCACGACGAGTCCTAGTAGTGCAACACCGTAAGATACCATCTTGATCGTCTGTCCAGCGCTCTAGAAAATAAAGTTAGCTCAAAGTCTTGAATACTCAATGTGTGTAAAACAGAGGGATATTCACCCCCAAAGACGGACTAGCCACCCATTGGCCGCACCAACGGTAGACGACCAGACTGAAGGCAAGGTATGATGCAGTAACCAAAGCCATGCACAGGTATAGCGACTTTTTGTAATCCTTCGGGTTTCGCATTTCGGACATCACCGGTATGAAGGCACTGGTACCGGCCGACGATACAAATATCGTGCTAGAGGCGACCATGCCAGCCGCAAATCCGGGGTTATTGATGGCTACGAAGCCAAGGTCGTAGGGGCCCTCCTGCGGTGCGGCGGCAGGTCGGTCGCGTGTTGTGACTCCGATGACAACAATCAAAACCGCGGCATATATCGAAATGAAGCCTGCATACGTGAGCCAGCCCACGTGCTGGAGTTTGCGCACTGAGGCGGTCGCGATAATTACCACGGCAGCAATGAAAGACCACCAGACAGTGCATGCGGCGTGGTGAGACAGGGCATTCAGGGCTGTTGATACACCGATGATACCACTGCCCGTAACAAGAACATATCCAATGAGGAACAGCAGCCCTGTGAGCTCTTTCGCAAAGAAGCCACCGGCAACCTCTGCCATGTCAGCGATGGAGTGACAATGGGGATGCTTCTTGCGGAAGTTCCCTAGAATCACGAAAGAGTAGGTGTTGAATGCGCCCCAAGCGATGATGCTGATAGAGCCGCCCACTGCACCGAGAGAGTATAGCGATGAAGGTAGTGATAGGACTCCCGTCGCAAAGAGAACCTTCACAAAGATGATGCACGCTTTAAACCAGCCAACATTGCGGAAGCTGACACCATCTTCGGTCTTCTTGAAGACTTCATGCTCCTCGGTCGAGTCTCGAGAACTTCCTAGCTCTGTGTCCTGCGCTCTTACTTTCTCATTGACAACCATGATATTTTTTTTCTGGTAGACACGAGATACTAAGGAAGATGAACTTTTTTCAAAAACCAATTCTGAAGAGAAAAACAATTTTTCCTGGGTGCTATAGCGCAGAGGCCCGGGGCCGCCATGGTATTCTACAGTGGACCCTTTCTGAAGCGACGGCACACTAGTGCCAGACTAAGGCGGCTACGCTTAATTCAAGCTTGAAGCATGGAGGTCGATCGGACCTTAGAAAATGCCGTGTACAATAAATTAATTAAAATGCTCTTTTTTTTTTCATTTTGCCTGAATTGGAAGTTTTCAACTTCAATGGTGGCTGCACAAGGAGTGTGAAGCTAGACCACTGAAGCTTCCAAGACTTTGTTCCCTACCTCACTGGAATGAGATAAATTCTTTCCTCGTGGCCCAACTGGAGTTGTAGATCGATGGCATTTTTATGGCCTCGCATTTTACTCGGTTTGCATCGTTTGCACTGTTTGCTCCCTTCACTCTCAGGCTTCTCTGCCTTTGCTATCGTCTTGCTTCTCCATAATTTGTTATCTTCACTTTATGTTCTCTTTTTTTTTCAAAAAAAAAAGTCCTGACACTTTAGTTTTGTCAGTGAGACTTGCATACCTTTTGGCGTCTTCAATAGGAACTATCCGAAGAGACTCACAAAATTGGATACAGCTGTATTGTTGTGGTGATGGGACTGAGAATGTACGCGGGGCCGCAGGACACGTCAAGGTACATTGCATTCAAGATGAAGACAGCCATACAAAGCAATGAGCCGTGAGAGCTATGGAGATTCCTAGTTATTGGAGTGGGACAAGGCGAAAACAGCTAGCCCCTGTGCCCTCAAACTTGAGACTTGGAATACATATTGACTTAGCATTCAGTTGCGTGCTTCTTTAAATCAGGCCCCTCGCTGCGGCAAAAAAATGATATGCGTGTGGTTTCTGTGAGGACTTGGAGCTTATGCCTTCGACTGAGGGCTGCGAATCATGCAGTAAAGCTATGAGAGCGGCAATCAGTCAAAATCCACGCCTGCAATTGGGCTTGTGTGCTTTCAGCGTACCTTGCAAATGTCTCCTCCATCAACACATTCAATCTCTTTGATCAACTCAAAGCCCATCTTCTCATATATCTTCACATTTGGGTATCCCTTCGAGCTCTCAAGATAGCAAGGCATGTTTTCCCGGTCCGCTTTGTCGATCACATCAGCCATGAGCTTCTTTCCTACACCCATCCCGCGAGCCTGTGAGCTGACACCAACCACATTGCAGAAGTAATATCCACGAGGGTCTTGCCAGATCAAATCATGCGCATTTTGCTGCACTTGTTTCCAAACCCTGTATCGATGGACGTTCAGCCCACCACGGCCGAGGAAGAGAATGTTGTTCATTAGCTGACGGAAGGAGAGAATCCAGTCCTGTGCCCAAACGGTCCAGGTTTGGGGCAGCGATGGTGCTTGTGGTGAGTACCACCAAGCAACACCGACCACGCTACCGGGCGGCAGGCGTATGTCTGCATCCCTTTTGTCGTCGCTCGGCGCGCGTGTAAGTTTGGCAACAGATATTGGACAGCCGCAGCTGATACCGTATTTGAAGTGGGCGGCGAGAGAAGCTGCGTTTCGTTCCACATTGAACTGCCAACCTCTGTTATTACTTGGGAATCCAGAAGCCCTTGCCTCTTCGCTCTGCCTCGCAGGTCAAGCGATGCCGGATGCAAAAAGGAAAAGAAAAGAATTCCGGGTATTTGACTTTCGGGTAAGGATAGCCCATACCTTGGATGGATCATCAAAAGCCCATCGGAAGTATGGATCATCTGCAAAAGCTTGTTGCACGCATTCTACCGCGCCGGGAATATCGGCCTGAGCTAGCGGAGTGATTTCGATTGACATTGTCGTGTCACTACAGTTTCGTGAACGGCAACGTCAAGTTCAACGAGCACTTTTAGAATTCTGGGAACTTTTTCTACTAGCTCCGCGAATGGCTTGAGATAGAGATATAGTATAGGAGTGCCAAGGAAGCCGTTGGGGACAGTGAGAGACAACCGCCATCTAAGTATAACTGAAACGGTGTGATTCCGTGAGTTGATATGCGATGTGGTAGGGTCAAAGAAGTTCTGTGTTGTTGTGCCAGAATCCAGAAAAGTATGTAGTGGATGAAATATCTCCAAGGCTCTGAGGGGGGAAAGAGATAGGGATCATATAACGAGCAGAGAGGACCCACTTCCTGTTTGGAGGGCCTGAGGGCGATAACCTCTTATCCTGACCTGTCCCACTAGCCATTCTGGGCAGCTCCAGCCGGACAGATACACCTGAATTGTGGAGCTTTCACAATGTGTTCCTCCATACAAAATCTAGCTCTTAGAGTTCCTCCGGCAGTAGCCGTGGAGAGACGAGACCGATTGGAGGCCACATGGCTGCTTGCAGAGATAGAGCATAAATAAATATGACTTCTCTAAATGATTTGGCCAATTTGACGATCTCATATGCAATTCACACATGAGTACGGAGTATGCGGGGGATCGATGAGGGGGGCATCGACCTGGGTCATGTGGGGAGGCTATTCTGAATCGGGAAGGTCGTTGCGGTATCAGTCTGCAGCGTATCTCAGCAACGATAAGAGCCCTGGAGTTTGCAGATCAGGAGAAGTACACCACTGCGTACAAGTGTGAGGATCACACGGTAAATCGATTGGATTAGAGTAGTTTTGCAAATGTAGAATATCTGCCTTACAGGGCGAGGCGGTCATTCAGTGTGGATCATCATCGCGATTTGATCATACTTTCATATTGACGAAGCAAAGTCACTCGTATGAGGTTTTTGTGGCGTGTCTTGGAGTGTTCATTTGTCAAGTATGTCAAAAGGGCATTCCGAAAGTAAAATCTGCAAATTAGATTGTGTTGCGCGAGACCTTGAGGGAAAGAGGAGGGAAGAGGGTGAAGGGGGGTGAAAGAGAGAGAGAGAGAGTAAACCCTCGCAGTAGTCATTCCCTAGTATAAACCCCTTAGAAAACCAGGCTTCAAGCTCCTTTTCATTCCTCCTTCGCTCTCTCTCTCTCTCTCTCTCTCTCTCTCTCTCTCTCTCTCTCGCACGCGCAGCTCTCGCTAGATCTATCAAGATTCTTCCGCGGTTTTCAAACCCTCTTTCCTCTCAAGTCTATCTTTTCTTACCACCATATCCCTATCGATAAAATTGAGCATGCTGGACTGTGTTGTTTTTGTTCTATCATACTAGTACTACAAACGGAGTTAAGACCCGGTTACCAAAATGTCCTCAGGTATGTACTCCTGTATGAACCGTGGTAGGGGTCTTTCAAGGTACACATCGGGCCAGTCAAAAAGCAGCTGGGATCTCTAGATCTGTTGTATCTAGGTATTGATATCGTCACTCTGAGCTATGCCGTCACTCCTACTTAAGTATCATGCTACGCAGGTCGTCACTTCTTCCAGGAAATCTTTCGCTTTCGCGTTTTCCGGGCGCCCACTTCGCCCTTTGGATTGAGAATTTAATCGTTTTCATTCAATGAGATGTCTGTCAAAGATGGAGCACATTTCGACTTCATTGTTGTTGGAGGGGGCACGGCAGGCAGTATGGTTGCCTGTCGTCTGGCGGAGAACCCCCGTGTCAAAGTTTTAATCGTCGAGGCTGGGGTCGGCAACGCAATCAATATCCCAGAGATAAGAACTCCATCCGGAGCAATGGAGTTGAGAAACAGCCAGTACGACTGGGCTTACAAAACGACCCTCATTAAACGCGATGATTATGAGCGGGTCGAGAAACCTAACACCCGTGGAAAAATCATCGGTGGAAGCTCCTCGATCAACTATTTCACTTGGGCCCCTGGGAGCCGAGGCACTTTCGACATGTGGGAAGAATACGGTGGTAAAGAATGGATGTGGGATAGTCTTCTTCCTTACCTCCGCAAAAGTGCTACTTACCACGATGACAGTGGTATGCATCCGCCTGAGCTCAAGAACATCGGCAGTGGGGGTCCAATCAAGATTTCCCACTCCGAGTTGATTCCCGAAATGTCACCCTTTCGCGATCTTCTGACGAGAGGCTGGAAGTCTACGGGGAAACCCGTGACTGAAAATATTTTTGACGGTGAAATGCTGGGTCTGACACACAGTGTGAACACGATCTATAAGGGCCAGCGATCGGGAAGTTTCCTAGGCCTTGAAAACAAACCAAATATCACTATATCGGCTTTAAGTCACTCCAGGTGCCTTATCATTGACAAAGCCGACCACTCCTGCAAAGGGGTCATTGTCAGTACTTCTTCTGGTGAAGAGCGCAGCTTCTATGCCACCCGAGAGGTTATCGTATCCGAGGGGGTCTTTGAGAGCCCCAAGCTGCTAATGTTAAGCGGGATTGGTCCCAAGCATGAGTTGGAGCGCCATGGTATTGAATTGATCGTCGACTCTCCTCATGTAGGCCAACACCTGCTCGACCACCCCGGCGTACCGTTTGTTCTCCAAGTCAAAGACGGATATGGCATGGATGAACACATTTTGCGCCCAGGAACCAAGCGCAACGATGCCATCATCACATACCAGGAAAGCCTCGGTGGACCGATGGCGTCAGGTTTCTTGGAGATGGTTGGATTTCCTCGCATCGACGAGTATCTCGAGAAAGACGCGCAGTACAGAAAGGCAAAAGCCGAGAATGGCGGAATTGATCCGTTCTGTCCGTACAACCAGCCTCATTTCGAACTGGACTTCGTCTGTATGTTCGGCAGTGCTTTCCAGTGGCATTACCCGACTCCAAAGAGGGGCAACTATATCACTGTCATGGTTGACCTTGTTCGTCCTTTGTCCAAGGGTGGTGAAGTGACGCTTAACAGCGCCGATCCCCTCCAACAAGCTCATATCAACCTCGATTATTTCAACAATGAGCTCGACATCATTGCGATCCGGGAAGGCATCAGGTTCAGCTATGACGTCTTGAAGAATGGCGAAGGGTTCAAGGACATCATTGTTGATGAATATCCATGGGAGATGCCTTTAGATGATGATGATTTGATGAGGCGAACTGTATTGGAACGCTCTCAGACTTCCTTTCACCCCTGCGGTACCACCCGTTTGTCGAAAAATATCGGTCAAGGTGTACTCGACCCTTCCCTGAAAGTCCACGGGATCAAAAATCTGCGGGTAATTGATGCTTCGGTGATGCCTGTTATTCCAGACTGTCGGATCCAAAACTCGGTGTACATGGTGGCAGAGAAAGGGGCGGATCTCATCAAGGGAGATCACACCGATTTGTTTGTCCACTGACGTCATATGCAAAAGTTCCAAATCTCACACTTGTTGGTTGCGGTGTTTCTCTGGTGTTTCTTTGCTTTCTTTTGTTTTACTTTTGACTCATGAAACTTCTTCAGATAGTTATCTCATTTAGGATAATCGACTCAACAGTTCCTTTCAACCGTTGTCTATGTTTCTCATGCGTTTAAAGCCTTCTAGATGTGGTTGGTGATGCTGTACTAGTTTAAGTCTCGCTGAAACAATGTCTGCAGTTTATGACATGTCATAAATCCCAACCCATAGCCACTTGATAAAGAAATCATCCGGGTCATACTTTAACGAGCTGCATCAGTCCGATATCACCCAATGTACGCCAGTTTTGTCTTTGTGGACTTGCAAGCCACTCGTGATCACATGCGAGTATTTGAAGTCTTTCTAGAAACGGAGTATACAGAATGAAATTGACCATCATATCCGCTTCCAATTGATTCATATTGTGTATGACTCCGGGGTGCATAACTCCAGTTCTTCCAGCTCGCGCAACTATACTCACCGATCGCATCATCAGTCGTTGAACAGAGGTACACTGTCCTCCCTCAAGTGATAAACTTAAGCTCCTTGAGATCCTCATATTATCAATTATCTGGACAATTTGGTCTTGAGACATGGCGTTTAAGTATTTTGGCTTTGAAGCGCAAGGTCAACAGATGCGATTATGGATGGAGAGTCCCACAGGGTCCAATTGTCCGATCAAAAGGTCCACAGTCGACATGGCAACTCTACAAAAATCTGAACTATGGGTCATTCAATCCAAAGTGGTATATCTTGCGGACAATTGGCACGAATGGGCGGATAGAGTGGGGTTTCCAATCGTGAGCATAGGAGGAGACACCTGCCTCTATTCGAAGAGCATTCGTCAAGTCACTCGGAAACCCCCAGCGATGACCAAATGGATTGGAAGAATTGGACCTGGGGTGATCTTTGCTGACGATTTCCGAAGAGAACTTGGCGCCCATGACCCATACATGTCAGAGTTTATGAAAAGTGTGTACGAAGCGCACTTCTCCGTCATGAGCCTCAAGCATGTCATTTTTACCAGTGTGGTTGAGAAGAAAACCTATAGGTTTGTCACCCGTGAGCTTTATAGCTCACGGGGGCTTGCTACTCCATTGGATGAGCCACAAACCTGGGAGTCTCCTTCTTCGGAGTTCTGTGGGATTCTTGGGACACCCATTGGGAAGATTACTGGCGCATTTGTTCTTGGAACTTATGGTCAGGGCATCAAGCGGATTGCCCGTATTGTTACTTTCTATACAGATTACGCTTTGCACATGCAATTTGATCTCGAGAATGTCAAGTAGAATGTTTGCATGGCATATAAAGTTTTGATTGTGATTTATCCTAGTTGGAATAGATCGTAGCTTGGTGAGTAGTGAATTGATGCCAGTTCTAATGTGCAATAGTATGTATATGGTGTTTTCCGATAGGTTCTGTGAAGGACTGCAAGCGCTTTCTCGGGTGTCAGGCCAAGTTTTGAATTGAGCCAATCAACATGTAGCATCCTTTCATTTGTGGCCTTGGGCTCAGGTCTAAGGTCGTAAGACTCAGCGCCAAGAAGTCAGCACTGTGTTTACTTTTCAATCACCAGCAGGCTATACAACCTTCAAAACCCGTGGATCCATCGATATCTCAGAGATTCCTTCTATGGCCGACCAATGAGAAATTGCGAGTGCAACGCACCTTCCCTTTGTTCCAAGGCCAAGGATAAGGACGATTGTGAGCATAAGCGCGCTCTGTGTCGCTCTGTGTTGCTCTGTGTCACTTCAACTCCACTTTCTTCACTTTCGACTCTGCCTAATTCTTCTCTTTCTCTTCTCTCTGGCACTTTTCAAGCTCTCGGAAACTTGCATTTGTTGTCTCCTCTCGATTCCGATCATGGCTGGACTCACCAACTCCGCCATCATTGTCATTGTCCTCGTCGTTTGCCTCGCAGTGACCGCACTGGGAGCATCTCTCTTCAAACACTACAAACCCGCCGACGGCGAAACCCCATTCAGTCCGGGCTACGAGCAAAAACTATACATGGCCGAGGTACGCGCGCGAGGGTTCGAAACCCTTCAGCAGGCCTGCTGGGGCCGAGATGTTGAATCTCGTTGTAAGTTCCATTTTGTCACTGATGATCATCTCGCTAATCGTCGATTAGATGTACCGGGCCCGAGCTACTATCGCCCCCACATTCACCCCGAAGACACGAACACGAACACCGCGAGCTTTTAGCTTGATGCGCTTCTTTTCCTACCTCACGATTACAAGAATGCAGGCATTACTGGGATAGTGGGATATCCCGGAATGGCGAAACGGCGAAACGGCGAAACAGCGTTAAAAAGGAGTTTTCTGTCATATTTGATGGGCGAGGCGCAGACGGGATTACTGAAATGATTGTGAGCGAGACACAGTTACAAAATGGGCAATATGACCTGGTCGGTCCTAGTGATTTGGGTGAATTTGCGTGGTTCTTGGGTTCGGTGTCGGTGGATCCCACGGTAAGCTCCGTGGACTCGACAGCTCTTGCATTTGTTACCAGCTGCGTATTCTCAATGCAATCCACTTTGTTCTTTTTTGAAGGAGTTAGGCTTCCTGTGCCGACCCAGAGCTAACACTGGAAATTCCTTTTCGGTCGGAAATTAGTTTTGTTAACACATGCCCGGTCCATTAGTTCGAGACGCCGTCGATTGACTCCCGACCACGCCTTCAAAATTCCATCTTGAAAAGCCATCCTGCCACCGCTATCAAGTCCGTCATTTCGGGCCGAACAAAGACAATTGGCGCATGGCAATCCCAGCATTTGAACAAATGCCCGAAGTTCTGTGCGCGTTAAACCTTCCCATACATCCAACGCATCTCATCGTTGCCAACCACAGCGACCCAGCCGACTTAAATACCTCTGAGCTCCAGATGTCTCTGTCGGTGGAACATCTGTCGCTGAACTGGATGGTTTGCGACAACACTAAGCTCTGCGCCGACAGTTGATTTCCTGTGGCGGACGGGTGTAATTCTTTGGGTTACATCGCCCATCATAGGACCCCGTGTGTTCCTTCGTACTTGGGCACCGAGCGTACATTGCAGTGCAAAGCGGTTGTCCAATCTCTATTGGACCTCACGTTTTGACGTCTGCTGGGGTGGATTTTCGTCCAGCTACGAGAACATCATTCAACATTAATGGCCCGCAGTGAGATCTCCGGCAGGCTGTTGCATTCTCTTACTTGCGCCAGCCATGGCTTTTCGTCATTTTGATCGATCTTGATTAAAATTCACAGCGAAGAGAAATCCCTCATCCCCTTGGCGGGGCAATGCTAGAAACGAGGCGGTGCATAGCCGTGATCTTAATTGTTGATATAATTCGAGATGGACCTTATCGACGAGCATTTTACTCCTCACAACCGGTCCTGTTGTACTCCGTATTCCGAATGGCTTCGCAACACCGGGTGAAAGGAGTAATTGTTGCGGGCGGGATAATTTCGATGCTTGGCGCGATAGGAAGGTCTTTTTTTAGCTGCACCGTGTCCGAGTCCGTCTCCGTTTCAACTTGATCTGCAATGCTTGGCGACTCACGTCTTGTTTCATTTCAATTGATCGGCAAGTCTCAAGGGTTCGAGATCGACCGCAGTGCTATATTCTACTAGCAGCGTGTCCTCGAGGAACTGGAGGTTGCTGACGCCCCGGCCCCCGGCCCCTTTCGCCCCGGGCGGAAACCTGCAACTCATCCCCTATTCCACTGACAGACAAAGAAACGCAAATCATAATCCTGTGGCCCCCTACGGAGTACGGATGCCAATCAAGCGTTCCTCGGAAGACAGGCCAAGTGGATTCGCAACCCTTGCTCAAAAGAGAGCTTTTTCGGTGCCTATTCAAACCCCTACAAAGTACAGTTACAATGTGTGCTATCATACGAGTACGGACACGGTGTTGGCATCTCAATGTCAAAATGCTGAGGGGTTATAGGCAACCAGAATTTTCCTATGCAGCAAAAACGGACCGTATTCGTAAATTTCTTCGAGATGGTCGTCTCCACATGGTTCGTGCACGGAAGAATACGAGTACGGTCATAGGGCGAGGCCATTTTATTTTTCTTAAAGGGTGCTTCTTTGGCACTGGATTTGAGTTATACTGATCATTTCCTGATCTTCAATTTGAGATTCAATATGGCTTCTCCTGACACTTTGAGCTACGAGAGTGATACGGCCAGCGAGGAACAGTATGTCACCAACTACATTCAAAGGTTCATACACTAACACATCGCCAGGTCCCCATCTCAACTGAAGACCAAGATTCAAGCCAAATTTCGAATTGCTCGACCGCCTCCTAAGTCAAGTCAACGGCTACGACTTAGTCCGAAATTACTCCTTCAAATTCAACAATTGCCCCGCGGTCACCGACCAGTTCCTGTACTGGAGATATGGCAACCACCACTCCGCAAGTCCGGGTTAACCAAAGGATTCTCCCAACGTCCTAAACTTGGCATGAAGGATATTTATGCCACCGTCAATGAACCATATATTACGAGAAATGAACGACCACAAGAACAAGAGTCTCAGCATCCGAATCCCAACCACGATACCCAAGAAAAGGATGTCATCGCTGCCATGTATCAACTCCCAGCACGCGAAACTACCGCATCAAGTTCTGCAATTCATTTCCGTGACGCGCAATGTGTTTGGCAGGCCATGGCCAGCCCAGCAGGTTCTGGTCAAAACCCAGCGTGTTACAAATTCGCAGTCAAAAATGAGGAGAACACCATGGGCGCTGGACAGTCCAAGATGTTCATGCAGTGGGAGAAGCGGGCCCTCTCCACCGATACAGACGGAAGTTCCGAGACAGAAAACGAGCATTTCGTACTTCTCGCGATTGATCGCCAGGCGCGACGTAAGAGTAGGATTGCAACTATGAGTCGCGAGGGGTTTGAGATCACAGTGAGGAAGAGTTCGATTCTAGAGCATCTGCGGACTTGTATGAGTTTGACCAGTCCTGTATCTAACGGTACTACCGATGTGGATTCTGATGCGGATCTAGAGGTTTGGCTATATACTCACGTTCTCACACTTGGTGTTTGGGTTGCGTCTCAGGAAGGGTGGCTGAATTGAACTATCTCAAAGAACAAATTTTTCCCAAATCTGGTCTCTACAGTCGCTAAATTGAGCTGTGCGTTGTATGCTTTGGCTTGACATCCCCGTGGAGGTGTAAGAAAAGTGCGCTTCAAAACTGGTGAGTGGTATTCAAAGGCTAGCACAATACTAGTTGCGATCTAGACTCCAACAAATCTAAACAACCTCGCAACACTAGTAAGTAGTACGACCCTCCTCAAGTGCCTTAATCTGGAGTGCCAAGAGACGAGAGTAATATCTGCACAAGGCCAGGTTCCCACCCATGAACCAGAATCCGGGGTGACCACTCCGACGCCAGATTGTGCGGAATTCTCCCTCCTCGTCGAGTCCCCAAATATCGCCAACACGATCAGCGACTTTGTCGCCAAAGATGATACGAGCCTGGGTCCTCATGTTCTGATATCCAGTCGCAAAGACAATCTCGTCCGCTTCGAGCTCAGAACCATCGGCAAATCGTAGGCCATTAGGAAGGACCTCGCTGATTTCCTGACCATGTTTCACCTTGACTTTTCCATCCATGATGAGCTGACTGGCGCCTACATCAATGTAGTAGCCGCCTCCGCGCTGGAAATACTTCATGAAAAGACCGGAGTCCATGGGGCCCTTGTCCACTTTGAAGCCTGCCTTGTCAAGCCCCTCCAGAATCTTTGCATCGTTCTGATTCATTGCCTTGGTGACTTTCAATTGCTGGGACTTGAACAGGGGTGGCGGGATACTCCACAGGTAAAGGTCTGCATCTTCAGTTGGAGGTCCAGACTCTTCATACAACCCCTTCAATGCGATGTTCGTGATAGAGTCGGATGTAACCACGCATGTAGAGCTTCGCTGCACCATGGTTACATCGTATCCTTTCTCAAAGTAATCCTGGGCAATATCGTGCCCCGAGTTGCATGATCCAACGACAATTGCCTTTTTACCCTTCGACTCGGACTTTGCGCCGGCAAATTCTGAGCTATGGCAGAGTCGGTCTCCTTGGAAGCTCTCTATTCCCTTGAAAGTGGGCATCTTCTTCTTGCCGGAGTGGCCGGTGGCTTGAATGATGTGGCGAGGGTGCAAGGTGCGTGTCTCGGTGGTTCCGTCGACATTCTTGCGCTCGAGGACAATGGTCCACTTCTTCTCTTTCTCGTCCCACGTGGATGAAACCACTTCAGTCTTGGTCCAGACGTTAAGCTCCAGAAGCTTCACGTATGACTCAAAGAAGTCTGCCAGTTTGTCCTTTGGTGTGAAGATTGGCCAGCTGGATGGAAAGGGCAGGTATGGCATATGGTCAAACCAAACAGGGTCGTGGAGCACGAGTTGATGGTAACGCTGTCTCCAACTGTCGCCGATTCTCTCTTCTTTGTCGACTATCAGGGTGTCGACGTTGAGCATCTTGAGACGCGCAGCAGCAGTCAGGCCGCCCTGTCCAGCTCCTTTACTTCAATTAGTCTGTGTTCCTTCAAAACTTGTGATCATGTGTACATACCAACAATCAATACTGCAGGGTCTTTGCTCTCGAAGTTGGCCTCGTCTACGCGACGGTCTCTCCAATTCTTTCGGCCTTGTTCTTCCCCATGATGAGCACCAACAGGCCTATTGGGGCCGGTTGCCTCATTGATACCCGTGGCCCCGGTCAAGGAGGTGAAGACAGTGAAGACCTTCCACTTGCCATCTTCTTCCGCCAATCGCACGACACCATCACCCTGTCCGTTCTGTGTGGTGACCTTGATAAAGAATTCGATGCCATTCACATCACCAAAGGCATCAATGGGACCAGCATGTGGGGCCTTGAGGGCAGAAGACCGGTCGATCTCGATCTTGCTAGGGGTATTTGGCTCAGTCACAAACGCGGAGATGGCTTGGTCTCCCTTGATAGTGTGGTAATCCCATGAGTAGCACAAATGATCACGCCAATAACTGTTCTCGATAAACAGTGCAGAGACTGCTGCGCTATCCTTAGCCGAGAGACTCTGGTTGAGCTGATCCACTACATCCGTTGCGATGCGGTCCGGGTCTTCGGGTGTTGTGGAACTTGTTGTGGGGAATTGACCGAAGGCGATATTGTGAGAGCCTGGTTCTACGCGCTCGCTTGACGGGATTTCGGTGACTGCTGTCATGATTGTTTGAATTGGTGGTGTTTTGTAGGGAGTGACAAATGGAAGTGGGAAACGGGACTCATAAAAGGGCGACCCCTCAGCTCGTCACACCCCGCAAATTACAATTACAGCTGCAGCTGAGTAGTTGACAATCTCCAATTAGCCTGCAGATCTGCCACCTCATCCCCCACTCTGCATTGGCACTCACGACATGATTTTCGGCTTAGAGTTCAGTTCTTTATTTCTCCCGAGGTCGTGCCTGGTGCCTGACGTTCGGGCCGTCGCCGAACAATTCGTTTAACCATTTTTCTTCAAGAGTCGTCCTATTCTGCGCTCAATATGTCTCGGGATTTTTGCGTTGTGCCATGAAATCATTGCTGTGGGTCAATTTATGACATGTCCAAAATGAATCTGCCACATTGAACAGCCAGGCATTCCGTACCCACCCATGCTGCATCGTGGCCAAAATTTGGGTGTCTCGCTCCTATAGAGAAAAAAAAAACTTCATATTCTCAACCATTTTGCCTTGATAACACTTGAACATTCATGATTGAGCTCTCACCCTCCAGTAATAAACATAAATATCCAGATGAACTTTAGAATTTGAAAATACAGGTCATTAAAAATGGGGATATGCCGCGAAAATTATCAATAGGTAAGTATTCCCGCAAGCTCTGGAAGCGACAATATATATCGGGTCTCCAGCCCTTCGAAGTCCACGGGTGTTCAACGCTTTCCAGAACTTCTAAAGTTCCGCAATATCTGTTAGATGACTGTAGATTGAAGTTCATAAGCAAAGCGTACCCCGTATTAAATCGAATCCACAAAATATGTGACCCTGATGCATTTGATCAACGATAAATTCATTTTATGAATATCCCTCGTAGTATTTTCTGCTTGGTAGAATCTAGATCACAAAAGTGGGAAAATCTACATCAACTAGCATCATTGGTCTAGTGGTAGAATTCGTCGTTGCCATCGACGAGGCCCGTGTTCGATTCACGGATG